CACAGTGCTTTCACACAACGTCACAATTCCACACACAAAACACACATCACACATACCATCCACCCTCTCGTCATCCCACATCCGTGTCACTCTGCCTACAATTAGTGTGAATCTCTGAATCTCTGAATCTCTGAATCCACTACACCACCGATCGTGATCATGCATTCAGCTACACACCAACATTAACACGCTGTCGACACTCACCATCACATTCACCATCGACACATTTGCATTGCGAACACTCGTCAACGCAACCACTGTCATTCAGTCAGTCGATCTCTGCATTAACCAACCAGTCACTCAATCATCTCATCAATCAATCAGTCAATCACTCAATCAATACGTCTACCAATCAATCCATCGATCAATCAACACGTTGATCAAACAGTCAGTCGGTCGATGTGTCAATCAGTGAGACAGTCAGTCAATGCACTCAACATGAACACACATGTCATGTGAACACGTGTTGAATGAGGTGTGAGAACAGGTGTGTAGGGAGATTGGTGTATTGCAAAACAATTCGGACCTACCGAAAGTAGCTGCAGTAGTAGTTGATGACGGGTCGGTCATCCGCATCGTAGCCAATGTTGCCACCGTGGTCATCGTCGTCGACGGCGTCAATGCTGTGCTTGTGGTGGCGGAGGTGCTAGTGCTAGTGCTAGTGCTAGTGCCAGTGCTAGTGCTCGTGCTCGTGCCCATGCTCGTGCTCTTGCTTGTGCTCGTACTAGTGCTAGTGGTGTTCGGTTGACTGAGTTCTGACGCTGCACTTGTGTCTGTGTGCCCGACGCTGCTGGTCTCACTCCTAACGCCTGTCGATGTGTCTGTACAGAAGCAGAGAGAACACACACAAACACACAAACAATCACAATTAGTACACTCGTCACAAATCAACATCATCTCAACATTGTCTCGCAATATGCCAGACACATCCTCTGTCTCAGGTCACACCACCAACATAACTATCAATGCAACACCAAATACCGACACTTATGCCACCGTCTCCAACAACATCATCACACCAATATCTACGCCTACACAAACAACAACATACAATACAACAACTACCAATGCATCGACCACTGCAACACCATCTACACAACTCCGTGACAAAAACAACACAGTGCTTTCACACAACGTCACAATTCCACACACAAAACACACATCACACATACCATCCACCCTCTCGTCATCCCACATCCGTGTCACTCTGCCTACAATTAGTGTGAATCTCTGAATCTCTGAATCTCTGAATCCACTACACCACCGATCGTGATCATGCATTCAGCTACACACCAACATTAACACGCTGTCGACACTCACCATCACATTCACCATCGACACATTTGCATTGCGAACACTCGTCAACGCAACCACTGTCATTCAGTCAGTCGATCTCTGCATTAACCAACCAGTCACTCAATCATCTCATCAATCAATCAGTCAATCACTCAATCAATACGTCTACCAATCAATCCATCGATCAATCAACACGTTGATCAAACAGTCAGTCGGTCGATGTGTCAATCAGTGAGACAGTCAGTCAATGCACTCAACATGAACACACATGTCATGTGAACACGTGTTGAATGAGGTGTGAGAACAGGTGTGTAGGGAGATTGGTGTATTGCAAAACAATTCGGACCTACCGAAAGTAGCTGCAGTAGTAGTTGATGACGGGTCGGTCATCCGCATCGTAGCCAATGTTGCCACCGTGGTCATCGTCGTCGACGGCGTCAATGCTGTGCTTGTGGTGGCGGAGGTGCTAGTGCTAGTGCTAGTGCTAGTGCCAGTGCTAGTGCTCGTGCTCGTGCCCATGCTCGTGCTCTTGCTTGTGCTCGTACTAGTGCTAGTGGTGTTCGGTTGACTGAGTTCTGACGCTGCACTTGTGTCTGTGTGCCCGACGCTGCTGGTCTCACTCCTAACGCCTGTCGATGTGTCTGTACAGAAGCAGAGAGAACACACACAAACACACAAACAATCACAATTAGTACACTCGTCACAAATCAACATCATCTCAACATTGTCTCGCAATATGCCAGACACATCCTCTGTCTCAGGTCACACCACCAACATAACTATCAATGCAACACCAAATACCGACACTTATGCCACCGTCTCCAACAACATCATCACACCAATATCTACGCCTACACAAACAACAACATACAATACAACAACTACCAATGCATCGACCACTGCAACACCATCTACACAACTCCGTGACAAAAACAACACAGTGCTTTCACACAACGTCACAATTCCACACACAAAACACACATCACACATACCATCCACCCTCTCGTCATCCCACATCCGTGTCACTCTGCCTACAATTAGTGTGAATCTCTGAATCTCTGAATCTCTGAATCCACTACACCACCGATCGTGATCATGCATTCAGCTACACACCAACATTAACACGCTGTCGACACTCACCATCACATTCACCATCGACACATTTGCATTGCGAACACTCGTCAACGCAACCACTGTCATTCAGTCAGTCGATCTCTGCATTAACCAACCAGTCACTCAATCATCTCATCAATCAATCAGTCAATCACTCAATCAATACGTCTACCAATCAATCCATCGATCAATCAACACGTTGATCAAACAGTCAGTCGGTCGATGTGTCAATCAGTGAGACAGTCAGTCAATGCACTCAACATGAACACACATGTCATGTGAACACGTGTTGAATGAGGTGTGAGAACAGGTGTGTAGGGAGATTGGTGTATTGCAAAACAATTCGGACCTACCGAAAGTAGCTGCAGTAGTAGTTGATGACGGGTCGGTCATCCGCATCGTAGCCAATGTTGCCACCGTGGTCATCGTCGTCGACGGCGTCAATGCTGTGCTTGTGGTGGCGGAGGTGCTAGTGCTAGTGCTAGTGCTAGTGCCAGTGCTAGTGCTCGTGCTCGTGCCAGTGCTAGTGCTCGTGCCGATGCTCGTGCTCTTGCTTGTGCTCGTACTAGTGCTAGTGGTGTTCGGTTGACTGAGTTCTGACGCTGCACTTGTGTCTGTGTGCCCGACGCTGCTGGTCTCACTCCTAACGCCTGTCGATGTGTCTGTACAGAAGCAGAGAGAACACACACAAACACACAAACAATCACAATTAGTACACTCGTCACAAATCAACATCATCTCAACATTGTCTCGCAATATGCCAGACACATCCTCTGTCTCAGGTCACACCACCAACATAACTATCAATGCAACACCAAATACCGACACTTATGCCACCGTCTCCAACAACATCATCACACCAATATCTACGCCTACACAAACAACAACATACAATACAACAACTACCAATGCATCGACCACTGCAACACCATCTACACAACTCCGTGACAAAAACAACACAGTGCTTTCACACAACGTCACAATTCCACACACAAAACACACATCACACATACCATCCACCCTCTCGTCATCCCACATCCGTGTCACTCTGCCTACAATTAGTGTGAATCTCTGAATCTCTGAATCTCTGAATCCACTACACCACCGATCGTGATCATGCATTCAGCTACACACCAACATTAACACGCTGTCGACACTCACCATCACATTCACCATCGACACATTTGCATTGCGAACACTCGTCAACGCAACCACTGTCATTCAGTCAGTCGATCTCTGCATTAACCAACCAGTCACTCAATCATCTCATCAATCAATCAGTCAATCACTCAATCAATACGTCTACCAATCAATCCATCGATCAATCAACACGTTGATCAAACAGTCAGTCGGTCGATGTGTCAATCAGTGAGACAGTCAGTCAATGCACTCAACACGAACACACATGTCATGTGAACACGTGTTGAATGAGGTGTGAGAACAGGTGTGTAGGGAGATTGGTGTATTGCAAAACAATTCGGACCTACCGAAAGTAGCTGCAGTAGTAGTTGATGACGGGTCGGTCATCCGCATCGTAGCCAATGTTGCCACCGTGGTCATCGTCGTCGACGGCGTCAATGCTGTGCTTGTGGTGGCGGAGGTGCTAGTGCTAGTGCCAGTGCTAGTGCTCGTGCTCGTGCCCATGCTCGTGCTCTTGCTTGTGCTCGTACTAGTGCTAGTGGTGTTCGGTTGACTGAGTTCTGACGCCGCACTTGTGTCTGTGTGCCCGACGCTGCTGGTCTCACTCCTAACGCCTGTCGATGTGTCTGTACAGAAGCAGAGAGAACACACACAAACACACAAACAATCACAATTAGTACACTCGTCACAAATCAACATCATCTCAACATTGTCTCGCAATATGCCAGACACATCCTCTGTCTCAGGTCACACCACCAACATAACTATCAATGCAACACCAAATACCGACACTTATGCCACCGTCTCCAACAACATCATCACACCAATATCTACGCCTACACAAACAACAACATACAATACAACAACTACCAATGCATCGACCACTGCAACACCATCTACACAACTCCGTGACAAAAACAACACAGTGCTTTCACACAACGTCACAATTCCACACACAAAACACACATCACACATACCATCCACCCTCTCGTCATCCCACATCCGTGTCACTCTGCCTACAATTAGTGTGAATCTCTGAATCTCTGAATCTCTGAATCCACTACACCACCGATCGTGATCATGCATTCAGCTACACACCAACATTAACACGCTGTCGACACTCACCATCACATTCACCATCGACACATTTGCATTGCGAACACTCGTCAACGCAACCACTGTCATTCAGTCAGTCGATCTCTGCATTAACCAACCAGTCACTCAATCATCTCATCAATCAATCAGTCAATCACTCAATCAATACGTCTACCAATCAATCCATCGATCAATCAACACGTTGATCAAACAGTCAGTCGGTCGATGTGTCAATCAGTGAGACAGTCAGTCAATGCACTCAACACGAACACACATGTCATGTGAACACGTGTTGAATGAGGTGTGAGAACAGGTGTGTAGGGAGATTGGTGTATTGCAAAACAATTCGGACCTACCGAAAGTAGCTGCAGTAGTAGTTGATGACGGGTCGGTCATCCGCATCGTAGCCAATGTTGCCACCGTGGTCATCGTCGTCGACGGCGTCAATGCTGTGCTTGTGGTGGCGGAGGTGCTAGTGCTAGTGCTAGTGCTAGTGCCAGTGCTCGTGCTCGTGCCCATGCTCGTGCTCTTGCTTGTGCTCGTACTAGTGCTAGTGGTGTTCGGTTGACTGAGTTCTGACGCTGCACTTGTGTCTGTGTGCCCGACGCTGCTGGTCTCACTCCTAACGCCTGTCGATGTGTCTGTACAGAAGCAGAGAGAACACACACAAACACACAAACAATCACAATTAGTACACTCGTCACAAATCAACATCATCTCAACATTGTCTCGCAATATGCCAGACACATCCTCTGTCTCAGGTCACACCACCAACATAACTATCAATGCAACACCAAATACCGACACTTATGCCACCGTCTCCAACAACATCATCACACCAATATCTACGCCTACACAAACAACAACATACAATACAACAACTACCAATGCATCGACCACTGCAACACCATCTACACAACTCCGTGACAAAAACAACACAGTGCTTTCACACAACGTCACAATTCCACACACAAAACACACATCACACATACCATCCACCCTCTCGTCATCCCACATCCGTGTCACTCTGCCTACAATTAGTGTGAATCTCTGAATCTCTGAATCTCTGAATCCACTACACCACCGATCGTGATCATGCATTCAGCTACACACCAACATTAACACGCTGTCGACACTCACCATCACATTCACCATCGACACATTTGCATTGCGAACACTCGTCAACGCAACCACTGTCATTCAGTCAGTCGATCTCTGCATTAACCAACCAGTCACTCAATCATCTCATCAATCAATCAGTCAATCACTCAATCAATACGTCTACCAATCAATCCATCGATCAATCAACACGTTGATCAAACAGTCAGTCGGTCGATGTGTCAATCAGTGAGACAGTCAGTCAATGCACTCAACACGAACACACATGTCATGTGAACACGTGTTGAATGAGGTGTGAGAACAGGTGTGTAGGGAGATTGGTGTATTGCAAAACAATTCGGACCTACCGAAAGTAGCTGCAGTAGTAGTTGATGACGGGTCGGTCATCCGCATCGTAGCCAATGTTGCCACCGTGGTCATCGTCGTCGACGGCGTCAATGCTGTGCTTGTGGTGGCGGAGGTGCTAGTGCTAGTGCTAGTGCTAGTGCCAGTGCTCGTGCTCGTGCCCATGCTCGTGCTCTTGCTTGTGCTCGTACTAGTGCTAGTGGTGTTCGGTTGACTGAGTTCTGACGCCGCACTTGTGTCTGTGTGCCCGACGCTGCTGGTCTCACTCCTAACGCCTGTCGATGTGTCTGTACAGAAGCAGAGAGAACACACACAAACACACAAACAATCACAATTAGTACACTCGTCACAAATCAACATCATCTCAACATTGTCTCGCAATATGCCAGACACATCCTCTGTCTCAGGTCACACCACCAACATAACTATCAATGCAACACCAAATACCGACACTTATGCCACCGTCTCCAACAACATCATCACACCAATATCTACGCCTACACAAACAACAACATACAATACAACAACTACCAATGCATCGACCACTGCAACACCATCTACACAACTCCGTGACAAAAACAACACAGTGCTTTCACACAACGTCACAATTCCACACACAAAACACACATCACACATACCATCCACCCTCTCGTCATCCCACATCCGTGTCACTCTGCCTACAATTAGTGTGAATCTCTGAATCTCTGAATCTCTGAATCCACTACACCACCGATCGTGATCATGCATTCAGCTACACACCAACATTAACACGCTGTCGACACTCACCATCACATTCACCATCGACACATTTGCATTGCGAACACTCGTCAACGCAACCACTGTCATTCAGTCAGTCGATCTCTGCATTAACCAACCAGTCACTCAATCATCTCATCAATCAATCAGTCAATCACTCAATCAATACGTCTACCAATCAATCCATCGATCAATCAACACGTTGATCAAACAGTCAGTCGGTCGATGTGTCAATCAGTGAGACAGTCAGTCAATGCACTCAACACGAACACACATGTCATGTGAACACGTGTTGAATGAGGTGTGAGAACAGGTGTGTAGGGAGATTGGTGTATTGCAAAACAATTCGGACCTACCGAAAGTAGCTGCAGTAGTAGTTGATGACGGGTCGGTCATCCGCATCGTAGCCAATGTTGCCACCGTGGTCATCGTCGTCGACGGCGTCAATGCTGTGCTTGTGGTGGCGGAGGTGCTAGTGCTAGTGCTAGTGCTAGTGCCAGTGCTAGTGCTCGTGCTCGTGCCCATGCTCGTGCTCTTGCTTGTGCTCGTACTAGTGCTAGTGGTGTTCGGTTGACTGAGTTCTGACGCCGCACTTGTGTCTGTGTGCCCGACGCTGCTGGTCTCACTCCTAACGCCTGTCGATGTGTCTGTACAGAAGCAGAGAGAACACACACAAACACACAAACAATCACAATTAGTACACTCGTCACAAATCAACATCATCTCAACATTGTCTCGCAATATGCCAGACACATCCTCTGTCTCAGGTCACACCACCAACATAACTATCAATGCAACACCAAATACCGACACTTATGCCACCGTCTCCAACAACATCATCACACCAATATCTACGCCTACACAAACAACAACATACAATACAACAACTACCAATGCATCGACCACTGCAACACCATCTACACAACTCCGTGACAAAAACAACACAGTGCTTTCACACAACGTCACAATTCCACACACAAAACACACATCACACATACCATCCACCCTCTCGTCATCCCACATCCGTGTCACTCTGCCTACAATTAGTGTGAATCTCTGAATCTCTGAATCTCTGAATCCACTACACCACCGATCGTGATCATGCATTCAGCTACACACCAACATTAACACGCTGTCGACACTCACCATCACATTCACCATCGACACATTTGCATTGCGAACACTCGTCAACGCAACCACTGTCATTCAGTCAGTCGATCTCTGCATTAACCAACCAGTCACTCAATCATCTCATCAATCAATCAGTCAATCACTCAATCAATACGTCTACCAATCAATCCATCGATCAATCAACACGTTGATCAAACAGTCAGTCGGTCGATGTGTCAATCAGTGAGACAGTCAGTCAATGCACTCAACACGAACACACATGTCATGTGAACACGTGTTGAATGAGGTGTGAGAACAGGTGTGTAGGGAGATTGGTGTATTGCAAAACAATTCGGACCTACCGAAAGTAGCTGCAGTAGTAGTTGATGACGGGTCGGTCATCCGCATCGTAGCCAATGTTGCCACCGTGGTCATCGTCGTCGACGGCGCCAATGCTGTGCTTGTGGTGGCGGAGGTGCTAGTGCTAGTGCTAGTGCTAGTGCCAGTGCTAGTGCTCGTGCTCGTGCCCATGCTCGTGCTCTTGCTTGTGCTCGTACTAGTGCTAGTGGTGTTCGGTTGACTGAGTTCTGACGCTGCACTTGTGTCTGTGTGCCCGACGCTGCTGGTCTCACTCCTAACGCCTGTCGATGTGTCTGTACAGAAGCAGAGAGAACACACACAAACACACAAACAATCACAATTAGTACACTCGTCACAAATCAACATCATCTCAACATTGTCTCGCAATATGCCAGACACATCCTCTGTCTCAGGTCACACCACCAACATAACTATCAATGCAACACCAAATACCGACACTTATGCCACCGTCTCCAACAACATCATCACACCAATATCTACGCCTACACAAACAACAACATACAATACAACAACTACCAATGCATCGACCACTGCAACACCATCTACACAACTCCGTGACAAAAACAACACAGTGCTTTCACACAACGTCACAATTCCACACACAAAACACACATCACACATACCATCCACCCTCTCGTCATCCCACATCCGTGTCACTCTGCCTACAATTAGTATGAATCTCTGAATCTCTGAATCTCTGAATCCACTACACCACCGATCGTGATCATGCATTCAGCTACACACCAACATTAACACGCTGTCGACACTCACCATCACATTCACCATCGACACATTTGCATTGCGAACACTCGTCAACGCAACCACTGTCATTCAGTCAGTCGATCTCTGCATTAACCAACCAGTCACTCAATCATCTCATCAATCAATCAGTCAATCACTCAATCAATACGTCTACCAATCAATCCATCGATCAATCAACACGTTGATCAAACAGTCAGTCGGTCGATGTGTCAATCAGTGAGACAGTCAGTCAATGTACTCAACACGTACATTCATATTATTTTAACACTTATTTTGATATGTTTTTTGATTTGTTATCTATTAGGTGGTTGGTGCATTTTTATGTGTGATATACCTATTCTTCCTTATTGAAACCTTATATTACTCTCGTTTTCTTATACAACAATTATTTCTTTTTTTATGGAGTTCTGCTTTATTTTAAATTCCAAATAATTTACCATCTTTCTTGTTCATGTAATACTCCTTGAATAAATATTTTCTCGGATTACTATTTAATGCTTCCATTCAAATACTGGTGGATATCACATTGACCTCGCGTTGGAGACTTTGATGGAACTGTTGGACTTACATTCAGATTTGAATGCTTTCCAGTATTATATGGAGAGTTTCGAAATCCGAGCTATGATCATGGAAGATATTGAGCATTTTAATATTGTGGCTCATTTCCTCACATTCTTTGGAAAAGAAGCATACAGTTTATTAGATACTTTGGTATCTCCAGACAAACCGATTTCACTCCCTTATGCCACTCTCAAGCAACTACTACTGGACCATGTAAAGTATACAAATTTCGAATGCGGTGAAGAAAAAAATCAATGAAATAACTGTCCAAGACAACAGCAATTCCACTTCTTTTCTACATCCTCGCAGTTCAACACGTCATCAAGGTTATTCAAATAACAATTTATTAAATTGTGAAATAGTTCACGAAGATGAGCACAAGTCTGGTAAATTCTTGTTCTGTAGCAAGTTTCACAGATTGTATATTGTGTATTTTGTCATTCTAACTACTTTAAATGTGATAAAACTTGACACATTCAGTCACTTTGTAATATTATGGTTCATTTTGCTGAAATTAATGCTAAAACGTGTGATTGTGATCTTACTAAGTTTGATGTTTCTAAGTATCACTCATCTTTATCCAAAACTTCTAAAAGCTGTACAACGTCAGATAGCAGTCCGGAGTTGAATGAAGCCCATAATCATTGTGAGATAAAAGTTTCTAATCAACCAACTTCTTATCAGATTTCTCGTATTGTTGTACCAGATATGGTTTTTCATAATGATTCACATATTTGCGATGGAATTTCTTACAAATTGGAGGAATATATGTTGAGTGAATCGAATCATGATCGAAAATCTGATGCAGTTTTGGTAATTGCTAATGTCTCTGATGATTCATTATTCTTGAATGAAATTCTTAGTAAATTTGAGGAAAACATTTCAGAAAAATCAAATTCTTATATCATATCAAATGTCAGTGGTCCCCTCAAACAATTTGCTTCTAGTAATATTCTTAATGAATGTGACAAATATGTACGGAATGAGTCAAATTCTAGTCACTTTTGTAATGTTATTGTATCAAATGTTGGATGTTCTCACGAACAATGTATGTTGAATAAAATCCCTAGTCAGTGGTATGGTAAATCAGAGGGAATAGCAAGTTTTCCCGAAGCAATTAGAGAACCAGTCTGCCCAGATGAAACGTTTGCACGGGCAGAAAATTCAAATGAAGTCCAAGATTATCCTAATGAGTATGAGGCAGACGCATGTTTTCCAGTTGAATCAAGCCTAGATGAATCACATGTGTTAATTACACTTATCAATGCATATTTATCTGTGAACACTAATATCAATAAAAAAAGAATATCTATCATAATTTTTATGCAAGTCGAAGTCACATGATCGAATACTTTGATTTATATATCAGTGTGCATCCCCAAATGCTCACATGCAGTAATCGGAGCGTAAGATTTGTGAAGATAATGCAAATTAGGAACGTCATACTGGTTATGGCATTGTGACGTAAGGACCCAACATTATTTATTGGGAGGATAGTGATGGAAAATCTATTATGTGAATTCTAGATGTCAGTAGTTTCAATTCAAAACCAACATGATGGTTGTGAACAATTCCAGAAAACAGGTGAGTTTGTTCCAATTTCGGCTGTTAATTCTTCTTCGGATATAACAGCCAGTAGGTCAGTTAGTCCGATAATCTACCAGTAACTTAATAAATTAACAAATAAGACAAACAATTAACATACACTGTACAACATATCGCGTGTGGGCGTATATAATAAAAGATGTGCACAACACTTAATGTCATGCAACATAATGTGAACCCACCGAAAGCAGTTCCAGTAGTAGTTGATGACGGGCTGTTCATCCGCACAGTCGAAATTGTAGTCATCGTTTCCGTCAAGGTGGTCCTGATCGGCTGACTCGATTTTGTCGAGGCGCTTCCTAATGTTTGTTCGAGACCGTCAGTCGATGCCACAGTGCTTGTTCGTGGACCTTTTAAATTAAACAGAAAACACATGAAGTTGTATTGGTCAGCCAGTAATATCTTCGTGTCAGCTTACATACGGGAATAAGATGGTTAATAATTAGACGATTTAAATTATTCTGCTAATTAAAAGCTATTTGAAGGAGTAAACAGATAGGAAAAACATAAAAAAAGCATTGAATCGGATAGTCCACATGCTAAATTGAAAAAATTATATCGAAAATTTTTGCAAATGAACACCACAATACACAACAAAACACGGTCACATCACACAAATGCTACACTGTACATCGTAGACCACAAACACTCAACATCTTCAACATCACCACGATGCATGTGACCTGTGAAAGAAAACTGGTCAATGTCACACCTCCTCATCCATCAGCAAATCACTCACATCACATAGAACATGTGCGTTCACACACAATGGAAGCAGTAAACGTTCCACCTGACTGTCGCAATCTCCATAAACCTTTCCACACAACAGGTGTGCACATCCGAGAATGGGAACAATCAGGTGATTAGCAATACTGTCACTGCTCTCCTATCTCAATAGCACCACAGTCGGTGTCTCTTCTCACTATCGTATCATATCATATCATATCATATCAAATCATTGAGAAAATAATGGACAACAACAATTGACAACTTACGATATACTGTGATGTTTCTCAAACTTGGTCCGCTCCTGATATTCAGGAGTGTGCATCCACGAATCAGAGTCTCCGAGAGATCAGTCTCAGTTGGTTGTGATCCACGGGACAGACGCAACTGCACACTCACAATCACTCGAACAGCTTCGATTGAGACACGATTGGCACCCGTGTCTGTATGAGCTTGACCGACACTGTCAATCCAGATGATGATCCGAATGAAGACGACATGAACACAAGTAGCACCTCGAGAGATCTCTTCATTACCCAGACGTAGACCGTTCAATAGCTGCAACGTGAGAAACAAAATTACACAGGATACACAATCAGTCAGTCAGTCAGTCAGTCAGTCAGTCAATCAGTCAGTTAGTCAGTTAGTTCGGTTAGTCAGTTTGTCGACCTGTCGGTCGCTTCTTCATATATCAACACCACAACTACAATTCTCAATGAGACCGGTGTCGACGAGTGATCATCATCACTATCATCATTGTGATGACTAACTGCACGACTACCACTTCACAAATGGACAATCACTGACAATCACTGGCTTACTCACTCAACTAACCGACACTCACATTAGTCAACATTAACAACATCTCACAGACCTTCTGATCATTACCAGCTTCAATATCACACATACAACGCCACTTATTCATCAATCACCTCCTCACTTACTCAATAACTAAATCACTCAGTCATTCACTCACCATTTCAACAACTTACTCGCTCATCTGCTCACTTGCTTCTTTGCACACCTACGCAGTCGCTTAGTTTATATAGTTTATACCAACTCATCGAATTGCATTCCATCACGTCCCTCACTCTTACAAATAGTTGCTATCCTCATCTCACAGAATGCTTTGTCACATACACTAGTGTGATTCCACCTATTCACACACTGCTTCTCTGATTACTGCATACCACTACATACAGAACACAATAAACATAACGAATGCACACCTACCAGGTCACAAATTGACGTCGATAAATTTCTGTACATAACACTTGACTGATTAGACAGATCAGATGACCAATTCATGGGCACTTTAAGTTCTTCAATGTAGATCAAAATATCCACTTCGAACTCAGAGATTTCTACAAGTGAAAAGCAACGAGAAAGGTCACAATTACAAGAGCCTATTGTTAATAATGATAATGATATAATAATAATAATAATAATAATAATAATAATAATCAAAAGAAGAAGAAGAACTATAATAATAATAATCATTCAATCAATCAATCGACTAATTGTTGGGCACAGCACAAACTCAAATCTCATGTGACCACGTATGCAAATAGATGCGGACAACACGTGACTTCTGACAAATAAATAATGTGAACCTACCGAAAGCATCTGACGTAGTAGTTGATAATGGGCTCGTCATCTTCACAGTCGGTGTTGACTTCACCGTCACCATCTCCGTTGTCCTAATCGGTTGCGCTAATTCTGTTGAGACACTTCTGTCTGTCTGTTGACGACTGCTAGTCGAAGTTGACATGCTTGTTGGTGAACCTGTTTAATTAAATATGAAAACACACATAATTTTATCTATCGTTGATTCACTCGTCGCACCCGAGAACACCTTCACAAATCAACACTACACTACACTACACAACACAACACGGTCACATCACACAAATGCTACACTGTACATCGTAGACCACAAACACTCAACATCTTCAACATCACCACGATGCATGTGACCTGTGAAAGAAAACTGGTCAATGTCACACCTCCTCATCCATCAGCAAATCACTCACATCACATAGAACATGTGCGTTCACACACAATGGAAGCAGTAAACGTTCCACCTGACTGTCGCAATCTCCATAAACCTTTCCACACAACAGGTGTGCACATCCGAGAATGGGAACAATCAGGTGATTAGCAATACTGTCACTGCTCTCCTATCTCAATAGCACCACAGTCGGTGTCTCTTCTCACTATCGTATCATATCATATCATATCATATCAAATCATTGAGAAAATAATGGACAACAACAATTGACAACTTACGATATACTGTGATGTTTCTCAAACTTGGTCCGCTCCTGATATTCAGGAGTGTGCATCCACGAATCAGAGTCTCCGAGAGATCAGTCTCAGTTGGTTGTGATCCACGGGACAGACGCAACTGCACACTCACAATCACTCGAACAGCTTCGATTGAGACACGATTGGCACCCGTGTCTGTATGAGCTTGACCGACACTGTCAATCCAGATGATGATCCGAATGAAGACGACATGAACACAAGTAGCACCTCGAGAGATCTCTTCATTACCCAGACGTAGACCGTTCAATAGCTGCAACGTGAGAAACAAAATTACACAGGATACACAATCAGTCAGTCAGTCAGTCAGTCAGTCAGTCAATCAGTCAGTTAGTCAGTTAGTTCGGTTAGTCAGTTTGTCGACCTGTCGGTCGCTTCTTCATATATCAACACCACAACTACAATTCTCAATGAGACCGGTGTCGACGAGTGATCATCATCACTATCATCATTGTGATGACTAACTGCACGACTACCACTTCACAAATGGACAATCACTGACAATCACTGGCTTACTCACTCAACTAACCGACACTCACATTAGTCAACATTAACAACATCTCACAGACCTTCTGATCATTACCAGCTTCAATATCACACATACAACGCCACTTATTCATCAATCACCTCCTCACTTACTCAATAACTAAATCACTCAGTCATTCACTCACCATTTCAACAACTTACTCGCTCATCTGCTCACTTGCTTCTTTGCACACCTACGCAGTCGCTTAGTTTATATAGTTTATACCAACTCATCGAATTGCATTCCATCACGTCCCTCACTCTTACAAATAGTTGCTATCCTCATCTCACAGAATGCTTTGTCACATACACTAGTGTGATTCCACCTATTCACACACTGCTTCTCTGATTACTGCATACCACTACATACAGAACACAATAAACATAACGAATGCACACCTACCAGGTCACAAATTGACGTCGATAAATTTCTGTACATAACACTTGACTGATTAGACAGATCAGATGACCAATTCATGGGCACTTTAAGTTCTTCAATGTAGATCAAAATATCCACTTCGAACTCAGAGATTTCTACAAGTGAAAAGCAACGAGAAAGGTCACAATTACAAGAGCCTATTGTTAATAATGATAATGATATAATAATAATAATAATAATAATAATCAAAAGAAGAAGAAGAACTATAATAATAATAATCATTCAATCAATCAATCGACTAATTGTTGGGCACAGCACAAACTCAAATCTCATGTGACCACGTATGCAAATAGATGCGGACAACACGTGACTTCTGACAAATAAATAATGTGAACCTACCGAAAGCATCTGACGTAGTAGTTGATAATGGGCTCGTCATCTTCACAGTCGGTGTTGACTTCACCGTCACCATCTCCGTTGTCCTAATCGGTTGCGCTAATTCTGTTGAGACACTTCTGTCTGTCTGTTGACGACTGCTAGTCGAAGTTGACATGCTTGTTGGTGAACCTGTTTAATTAAATATGAAAACACACATAATTTTATCTATCGTTGATTCACTCGTCGCACCCGAGAACACCTTCACAAATCAACACTACACTACACTACACAACACAACACGGTCACATCACACAAATGCTACACTGTACATCGTAGACCACAAACACTCAACATCTTCAACATCACCACGATGCATGTGACCTGTGAAAGAAAACTGGTCAATGTCACACCTCCTCATCCATCAGCAAATCACTCACATCACATAGAACATGTGCGTTCACACACAATGGAAGCAGTAAACGTTCCACCTGACTGTCGCAATCTCCATAAACCTTTCCACACAACAGGTGTGCACATCCGAGAATGGGAACAATCAGGTGATTAGCAATACTGTCACTGCTCTCCTATCTCAATAGCACCACAGTCGGTGTCTCTTCTCACTATCGTATCATATCATATCATATCATATCATATCATATCAAATCATTGAGAAAATAATGGACAACAACAATTGACAACTTACGATATACTGTGATGTTTCTCAAACTTGGTCCGCTCCTGATATTCAGGAGTGTGCATCCACGAATCAGAGTCTCCGAGAGATCAGTCTCAGTTGGTTGTGATCCACGGGACAGACGCAACTGCACACTCACAATCACTCGAACAGCTTCGATTGAGACACGATTGGCACCCGTGTCTGTATGAGCTTGACCGACACTGTCAATCCAGATGATGATCCGAATGAAGACGACATGAACACAAGTAGCACCTCGAGAGATCTCTTCATTACCCAGACGTAGACCGTTCAATAGCTGCAACGTGAGAAACAAAATTACACAGGATACACAATCAGTCAGTCAGTCAGTCAGTCAGTCAGTCAGTCAATCAGTCAGTTAGTCAGTTAGTTCGGTTAGTCAGTTTGTCGACCTGTCGGTCGCTTCTTCATATATCAACACCACAACTACAATTCTCAATGAGACCGGTGTCGACGAGTGATCATCATCACTATCATCATTGTGATGACTAACTGCACGACTACCACTTCACAAATGGACAATCACTGACAATCACTGGCTTACTCACTCAACTAACCGACACTCACATTAGTCAACATTAACAACATCTCACAGACCTTCTGATCATTACCAGCTTCAATATCACACATACAACGCCACTTATTCATCAATCACCTCCTCACTTACTCAATAACTAAATCACTCAGTCATTCACTCACCATTTCAACAACTTACTCGCTCATCTGCTCACTTGCTTCTTTGCACACCTACGCAGTCGCTTAGTTTATATAGTTTATACCAACTCATCGAATTGCATTCCATCACGTCCCTCACTCTTACAAATAGTTGCTATCCTCATCTCACAGAATGCTTTGTCACATACACTAGTGTGATTCCACCTATTCACACACTGCTTCTCTGATTACTGCATACCACTACATACAGAACACAATAAACATAACGAATGCACACCTACCAGGTCACAAATTGACGTCGATAAATTTCTGTACATAACACTTGACTGATTAGACAGATCAGATGACCAATTCATGGGCACTTTAAGTTCTTCAATGTAGATCAAAATATCCACTTCGAACTCAGAGATTTCTACAAGTGAAAAGCAACGAGAAAGGTCACAATTACAAGAGCCTATTGTTAATAATGATAATGATATAATAATAATAATAATAATAATAATCAAAAGAAGAAGAAGAACTATAATAATAATAATCATTCAATCAATCAATCGACTAATTGTTGGGCACAGCACAAACTCAAATCTCATGTGACCACGTATGCAAATAGATGCGGACAACACGTGACTTCTGACAAATAAATAATGTGAACCTACCGAAAGCATCTGACGTAGTAGTTGATAATGGGCTCGTCATCTTCACAGTCGGTGTTGACTTCACCGTCACCATCTCCGTTGTCCTAATCGGTTGCGCTAATTCTGTTGAGACACTTCTGTCTGTCTGTTGACGACTGCTAGTCGAAGTTGACATGCTTGTTGGTGAACCTGTTTAATTAAATATGAAAACACACATAATTTTATCTATCGTTGATTCACTCGTCGCACCCGAGAACACCTTCACAAATCAACACTACACTACACTACACAACACAACACGGTCACATCACACAAATGCTACACTGTACATCGTAGACCACAAACACTCAACATCTTCAACATCACCACGATGCATGTGACCTGTGAAAGAAAACTGGTCAATGTCACACCTCCTCATCCATCAGCAAATCACTCACATCACATAGAACATGTGCGTTCACACACAATGGAAGCAGTAAACGTTCCACCTGACTGTCGCAATCTCCATAAACCTTTCCACACAACAGGTGTGCACATCCGAGAATGGGAACAATCAGGTGATTAGCAATACTGTCACTGCTCTCCTATCTCAATAGCACCACAGTCGGTGTCTCTTCTCACTATCGTATCATATCATATCATATCATATCATATCATATCATATCAAATCATTGAGAAAATAATGGACAACAACAATTGACAACTTACGATATACTGTGATGTTTCTCAAACTTGGTCCGCTCCTGATATTCAGGAGTGTGCATCCACGAATCAGAGTCTCCGAGAGATCAGTCTCAGTTGGTTGTGATCCACGGGACAGACGCAACTGCACACTCACAATCACTCGAACAGCTTCGATTGAGACACGATTGGCACCCGTGTCTGTATGAGCTTGACCGACACTGTCAATCCAGATGATGATCCGAATGAAGACGACATGAACACAAGTAGCACCTCGAGAGATCTCTTCATTACCCAGACGTAGACCGTTCAATAGCTGCAACGTGAGAAACAAAATTACACAGGATACACAATCAGTCAGTCAGTCAGTCAGTCAGTCAGTCAATCAGTCAGTTAGTCAGTTAGTTCGGTTAGTCAGTTTGTCGACCTGTCGGTCGCTTCTTCATATATCAACACCACAACTACAATTCTCAATGAGACCGGTGTCGACGAGTGATCATCATCACTATCATCATTGTGATGACTAACTGCACGACTACCACTTCACAAATGGACAATCACTGACAATCACTGGCTTACTCACTCAACTAACCGACACTCACATTAGTCAACATTAACAACATCTCACAGACCTTCTGATCATTACCAGCTTCAATATCACACATACAACGCCACTTATTCATCAATCACCTCCTCACTTACTCAATAACTAAATCACTCAGTCATTCACTCACCATTTCAACAACTTACTCGCTCATCTGCTCACTTGCTTCTTTGCACACCTACGCAGTCGCTTAGTTTATATAGTTTATACCAACTCATCGAATTGCATTCCATCACGTCCCTCACTCTTACAAATAGTTGCTATCCTCATCTCACAGAATGCTTTGTCACATACACTAGTGTGATTCCACCTATTCACACACTGCTTCTCTGATTACTGCATACCACTACATACAGAACACAATAAACATAACGAATGCACACCTACCAGGTCACAAATTGACGTCGATAAATTTCTGTACATAACACTTGACTGATTAGACAGATCAGATGACCAATTCATGGGCACTTTAAGTTCTTCAATGTAGATCAAAATATCCACTTCGAACTCAGAGATTTCTACAAGTGAAAAGCAACGAGAAAGGTCACAATTACAAGAGCCTATTGTTAATAATGATAATGATATAATAATAATAATAATAATAATAATAATAATAATCAAAAGAAGAAGAAGAACTATAATAATAATAATCATTCAATCAATCAATCGACTAATTGTTGGGCACAGCACAAACTCAAATCTCATGTGACCACGTATGCAAATAGATGCGGACAACACGTGACTTCTGACAAATAAATAATGTGAACCTACCGAAAGCATCTGACGTAGTAGTTGATAATGGGCTCGTCATCTTCACAGTCGGTGTTGACTTCACCGTCACCATCTCCGTTGTCCTAATCGGTTGCGCTAATTCTGTTGAGACACTTCTGTCTGTCTGTTGACGACTGCTAGTCGAAGTTGACATGCTTGTTGGTGAACCTGTTTAATTAAATATGAAAACACACATAATTTTATCTATCGTTGATTCACTCGTCGCACCCGAGAACACCTTCACAAATCAACACTACACTACACTACACAACACAACACGGTCACATCACACAAATGCTACACTGTACATCGTAGACCACAAACACTCAACATCTTCAACATCACCACGATGCATGTGACCTGTGAAAGAAAACTGGTCAATGTCACACCTCCTCATCCATCAGCAAATCACTCACATCACATAGAACATGTGCGTTCACACACAATGGAAGCAGTAAACGTTCCACCTGACTGTCGCAATCTCCATAAACCTTTCCACACAACAGGTGTGCACATCCGAGAATGGGAACAATCAGGTGATTAGCAATACTGTCACTGCTCTCCTATCTCAATAGCACCACAGTCGGTGTCTCTTCTCACTATCGTATCATATCATATCATATCATATCATATCATATCATATCAAATCATTGAGAAAATAATGGACAACAACAATTGACAACTTACGATATACTGTGATGTTTCTCAAACTTGGTCCGCTCCTGATATTCAGGAGTGTGCATCCACGAATCAGAGTCTCCGAGAGATCAGTCTCAGTTGGTTGTGATCCACGGGACAGACGCAACTGCACACTCACAATCACTCGAACAGCTTCGATTGAGACACGATTGGCACCCGTGTCTGTATGAGCTTGACCGACACTGTCAATCCAGATGATGATCCGAATGAAGACGACATGAACACAAGTAGCACCTCGAGAGATCTCTTCATTACCCAGACGTAGACCGTTCAATAGCTGCGACGTGAGAAACAAAATTACACAGGATACACAATCAGTCAGTCAGTCAGTCAGTCAGTCAGTCAATCAGTCAGTTAGTCAGTTAGTTCGGTTAGTCAGTTTGTCGACCTGTCGGTCGCTTCTTCATATATCAACACCACAACTACAATTCTCAATGAGACCGGTGTCGACGAGTGATCATCATCACTATCATCATTGTGATGACTAACTGCACGACTACCACTTCACAAATGGACAATCACTGACAATCACTGGCTTACTCACTCAACTAACCGACACTCACATTAGTCAACATTAACAACATCTCACAGACCTTCTGATCATTACCAGCTTCAATATCACACATACAACGCCACTTATTCATCAATCACCTCCTCACTTACTCAATAACTAAATCACTCAGTCATTCACTCACCATTTCAACAACTTACTCGCTCATCTGCTCACTTGCTTCTTTGCACACCTACGCAGTCGCTTAGTTTATATAGTTTATACCAACTCATCGAATTGCATTCCATCACGTCCCTCACTCTTACAAATAGTTGCTATCCTCATCTCACAGAATGCTTTGTCACATACACTAGTGTGATTCCACCTATTCACACACTGCTTCTCTGATTACTGCATACCACTACATACAGAACACAATAAACATAACGAATGCACACCTACCAGGTCACAAATTGACGTCGATAAATTTCTGTACATAACACTTGACTGATTAGACAGATCAGATGACCAATTCATGGGCACTTTAAGTTCTTCAATGTAGATCAAAATATCCACTTCGAACTCAGAGATTTCTACAAGTGAAAAGCAACGAGAAAGGTCACAATTACAAGAGCCTATTGTTAATAATGATAATGATATAATAATAATAATAATAATAATAATAATAATAATAATAATAATCAAAAGAAGAAGAAGAACTATAATAATAATAATCATTCAATCAATCAATCGACTAATTGTTGGGCACAGCACAAACTCAAATCTCATGTGACCACGTATGCAAATAGATGCGGACAACACGTGACTTCTGACAAATAAATAATGTGAACCTACCGAAAGCATCTGACGTAGTAGTTGATAATGGGCTCGTCATCTTCACAGTCGGTGTTGACTTCACCGTCACCATCTCCGTTGTCCTAATCGGTTGCGCTAATTCTGTTGAGACACTTCTGTCTGTCTGTTGACGACTGCTAGTCGAAGTTGACATGCTTGTTGGTGAACCTGTTTAATTAAATATGAAAACACACATAATTTTATCTATCGTTGATTCACTCGTCGCACCCGAGAACACCTTCACAAATCAACACTACACTACACTACACAACACAACACGGTCACATCACACAAATGCTACACTGTACATCGTAGACCACAAACACTCAACATCTTCAACATCACCACGATGCATGTGACCTGTGAAAGAAAACTGGTCAATGTCACACCTCCTCATCCATCAGCAAATCACTCACATCACATAGAACATGTGCGTTCACACACAATGGAAGCAGTAAACGTTCCACCTGACTGTCGCAATCTCCATAAACCTTTCCACACAACAGGTGTGCACATCCGAGAATGGGAACAATCAGGTGATTAGCAATACTGTCACTGCTCTCCTATCTCAATAGCACCACAGTCGGTGTCTCTTCTCACTATCGTATCATATCATATCATATCATATCATATCATATCAAATCATTGAGAAAATAATGGACAACAACAATTGACAACTTACGATATACTGTGATGTTTCTCAAACTTGGTCCGCTCCTGATATTCAGGAGTGTGCATCCACGAATCAGAGTCTCCGAGAGATCAGTCTCAGTTGGTTGTGATCCACGGGACAGACGCAACTGCACACTCACAATCACTCGAACAGCTTCGATTGAGACACGATTGGCACCCGTGTCTGTATGAGCTTGACCGACACTGTCAATCCAGATGATGATCCGAATGAAGACGACATGAACACAAGTAGCACCTCGAGAGATCTCTTCATTACCCAGACGTAGACCGTTCAATAGCTGCAACGTGAGAAACAAAATTACACAGGATACACAATCAGTCAGTCAGTCAGTCAGTCAGTCAATCAGTCAGTTAGTCAGTTAGTTCGGTTAGTCAGTTTGTCGACCTGTCGGTCGCTTCTTCATATATCAACACCACAACTACAATTCTCAATGAGACCGGTGTCGACGAGTGATCATCATCACTATCATCATTGTGATGACTAACTGCACGACTACCACTTCACAAATGGACAATCACTGACAATCACTGGCTTACTCACTCAACTAACCGACACTCACATTAGTCAACATTAACAACATCTCACAGACCTTCTGATCATTACCAGCTTCAATATCACACATACAACGCCACTTATTCATCAATCACCTCCTCACTTACTCAATAACTAAATCACTCAGTCATTCACTCACCATTTCAACAACTTACTCGCTCATCTGCTCACTTGCTTCTTTGCACACCTACGCAGTCGCTTAGTTTATATAGTTTATACCAACTCATCGAATTGCATTCCATCACGTCCCTCACTCTTACAAATAGTTGCTATCCTCATCTCACAGAATGCTTTGTCACATACACTAGTGTGATTCCACCTATTCACACACTGCTTCTCTGATTACTGCATACCACTACATACAGAACACAATAAACATAACGAATGCACACCTACCAGGTCACAAATTGACGTCGATAAATTTCTGTACATAACACTTGACTGATTAGACAGATCAGATGACCAATTCATGGGCACTTTAAGTTCTTCAATGTAGATCAAAATATCCACTTCGAACTCAGAGATTTCTACAAGTGAAAAGCAACGAGAAAGGTCACAATTACAAGAGCCTATTGTTAATAATGATAATGATATAATAATAATAATAATAATAATAATAATAATAATAATAATAATAATAATAATAATAATAATAATAATCAAAAGAAGAAGAAGAACTATAATAATAATAATCATTCAATCAATCAATCGACTAATTGTTGGGCACAGCACAAACTCAAATCTCATGTGACCACGTATGCAAATAGATGCGGACAACACGTGACTTCTGACAAATAAATAATGTGAACCTACCGAAAGCATCTGACGTAGTAGTTGATAATGGGCTCGTCATCTTCACAGTCGGTGTTGACTTCACCGTCACCATCTCCGTTGTCCTAATCGGTTGCGCTAATTCTGTTGAGACACTTCTGTCTGTCTGTTGACGACTGCTAGTCGAAGTTGACATGCTTGTTGGTGAACCTGTTTAATTAAATATGAAAACACACATAATTTTATCTATCGTTGATTCACTCGTCGCACCCGAGAACACCTTCACAAATCAACACTACACTACACTACACAACACAACACGGTCACATCACACAAATGCTACACTGTACATCGTAGACCACAAACACTCAACATCTTCAACATCACCACGATGCATGTGACCTGTGAAAGAAAACTGGTCAATGTCACACCTCCTCATCCATCAGCAAATCACTCACATCACATAGAACATGTGCGTTCACACACAATGGAAGCAGTAAACGTTCCACCTGACTGTCGCAATCTCCATAAACCTTTCCACACAACAGGTGTGCACATCCGAGAATGGGAACAATCAGGTGATTAGCAATACTGTCACTGCTCTCCTATCTCAATAGCACCACAGTCGGTGTCTCTTCTCACTATCGTATCATATCATATCATATCATATCATATCATATCATATCAAATCATTGAGAAAATAATGGACAACAACAATTGACAACTTACGATATACTGTGATGTTTCTCAAACTTGGTCCGCTCCTGATATTCAGGAGTGTGCATCCACGAATCAGAGTCTCCGAGAGATCAGTCTCAGTTGGTTGTGATCCACGGGACAGACGCAACTGCACACTCACAATCACTCGAACAGCTTCGATTGAGACACGATTGGCACCCGTGTCTGTATGAGCTTGACCGACACTGTCAATCCAGATGATGATCCGAATGAAGACGACATGAACACAAGTAGCACCTCGAGAGATCTCTTCATTACCCAGACGTAGACCGTTCAATAGCTGCAACGTGAGAAACAAAATTACACAGGATACACAATCAGTCAGTCAGTCAGTCAGTCAGTCAATCAGTCAGTCAGTCAGTCAATCAGTCAGTTAGTCAGTTAGTTCGGTTAGTCAGTTTGTCGACCTGTCGGTCGCTTCTTCATATATCAACACCACAACTACAATTCTCAATGAGACCGGTGTCGACGAGTGATCATCATCACTATCATCATTGTGATGACTAACTGCACGACTACCACTTCACAAATGGACAATCACTGACAATCACTGGCTTACTCACTCAACTAACCGACACTCACATTAGTCAACATTAACAACATCTCACAGACCTTCTGATCATTACCAGCTTCAATCTCACACATACAACGCCACTTATTCATCAATCACCTCCTCACTTACTCAATAACTAAATCACTCAGTCATTCACTCACCATTTCAACAACTTACTCGCTCATCTGCTCACTTGCTTCTTTGCACACCTACGCAGTCGCTTAGTTTATATAGTTTATACCAACTCATCGAATTGCATTCCATCACGTCCCTCACTCTTACAAATAGTTGCTATCCTCATCTCACAGAATGCTTTGTCACATACACTAGTGTGATTCCACCTATTCACACACTGCTTCTCTGATTACTGCATACCACTACATACAGAACACAATAAACATAACGAATGCACACCTACCAGGTCACAAATTGACGTCGATAAATTTCTGTACATAACACTTGACTGATTAGACAGATCAGATGACCAATTCATGGGCACTTTAAGTTCTTCAATGTAGATCAAAATATCCACTTCGAACTCAGAGATTTCTACAAGTGAAAAGCAACGAGAAAGGTCACAATTACAAGAGCCTATTGTTAATAATGATAATGATATAATAATAATAATAATAATAATAATAATAATAATAATAATCAAAAGAAGAAGAAGAACTATAATAATAATAATCATTCAATCAATCAATCGACTAATTGTTGGGCACAGCACAAACTCAAATCTCATGTGACCACGTATGCAAATAGATGCGGACAACACGTGACTTCTGACAAATAAATAATGTGAACCTACCGAAAGCATCTGACGTAGTAGTTGATAATGGGCTCGTCATCTTCACAGTCGGTGTTGACTTCACCGTCACCATCTCCGTTGTCCTAATCGGTTGCGCTAATTCTGTTGAGACACTTCTGTCTGTCTGTTGACGACTGCTAGTCGAAGTTGACATGCTTGTTGGTGAACCTGTTTAATTAAATATGAAAACACACATAATTTTATCTATCGTTGATTCACTCGTCGCACCCGAGAACACCTTCACAAATCAACACTACACTACACTACACAACACAACACGGTCACATCACACAAATGCTACACTGTACATCGTAGACCACAAACACTCAACATCTTCAACATCACCACGATGCATGTGACCTGTGAAAGAAAACTGGTCAATGTCACACCTCCTCATCCATCAGCAAATCACTCACATCACATAGAACATGTGCGTTCACACACAATGGAAGCAGTAAGCGTTCCACCTGACTGTCGCAATCTCCATAAACCTTTCCACACAACAGGTGTGCACATCCGAGAATGGGAACAATCAGGTGATTAGCAATACTGTCACTGCTCTCCTATCTCAATAGCACCACAGTCGGTGTCTCTTCTCACTATCGTATCATATCATATCATATCATATCATATCATATCAAATCATTGAGAAAATAATGGACAACAACAATTGACAACTTACGATATACTGTGATGTTTCTCAAACTTGGTCCGCTCCTGATATTCAGGAGTGTGCATCCACGAATCAGAGTCTCCGAGAGATCAGTCTCAGTTGGTTGTGATCCACGGGACAGACGCAACTGCACACTCACAATCACTCGAACAGCTTCGATTGAGACACGATTGGCACCCGTGTCTGTATGAGCTTGACCGACACTGTCAATCCAGATGATGATCCGAATGAAGACGACATGAACACAAGTAGCACCTCGAGAGATCTCTTCATTACCCAGACGTAGACCGTTCAATAGCTGCAACGTGAGAAACAAAATTACACAGGATACACAATCAGTCAGTCAGTCAGTCAGTCAATCAGTCAGTTAGTCAGTTAGTTCGGTTAGTCAGTTTGTCGACCTGTCGGTCGCTTCTTCATATATCAACACCACAACTACAATTCTCAATGAGACCGGTGTTGACGAGTGATCATCATCACTATCATCATTGTGATGACTAACTGCACGACTACCACTTCACAAATGGACAATCACTGACAATCACTGGCTTACTCACTCAACTAACCGACACTCACATTAGTCAACATTAACAACATCTCACAGACCTTCTGATCATTACCAGCTTCAATCTCACACATACAACGCCACTTATTCATCAATCACCTCCTCACTTACTCAATAACTAAATCACTCAGTCATTCACTCACCATTTCAACAACTTACTCGCTCATCTGCTCACTTGCTTCTTTGCACACCTACGCAGTCGCTTAGTTTATATAGTTTATACCAACTCATCGAATTGCATTCCATCACGTCCCTCACTCTTACAAATAGTTGCTATCCTCATCTCACAGAATGCTTTGTCACATACACTAGTGTGATTCCACCTATTCACACACTGCTTCTCTGATTACTGCATACCACTACATACAGAACACAATAAACATAACGAATGCACACCTACCAGGTCACAAATTGACGTCGATAAATTTCTGTACATAACACTTGACTGATTAGACAGATCAGATGACCAATTCATGGGCACTTTAAGTTCTTCAATGTAGATCAAAATATCCACTTCGAATTCGGAGAACTCTGCAAATTGTAATTAGTGAAGCATTTTATTTGAATGTGATAAGTGATATTTTTCTAAGTGTGTGAAATTCTGCTTTCATTATTATTTTGTTTAGTAGTTTTTAATTGTTTTTATTAATACCATTATCGTTGTACTTATCACCCGCTTTAGTCTCAGAGTGTTATTAGGATTTTTATCCTGAAGATTAATATTATTTGGTTACCATTTTTCGTCACGTAATATACCATTTATGATATTTGCTTTGTTTATTGTTCTCATGTTTTATTCGTTTACTTTTTTATAATTTCTTCTTGCCTGTTCTTTTTTCTCTTCATAATCGACAACAAGTGATTTTAATATATGTAATGTCTGTGTTGTCTTTTCGAGTTCTTTCACTCTCTAATTTTCTTTACCTTCTCATTACAACTAATTTATCTTTCTTTTTCACGAGTATCATTATGATTTTGAAACTGAAGTAACTTGGTAACCATTATCTTTATGATTCATATGGTTCCTTTTTTGGTTAATATATATTTTTCATATTTATTAAGTCAATTCCATAGTTGAAAGCGTGAATTAAATGAAGGTAGACCACCAGGGAAAATCTGCACACACTGTACAGCCATTTTATCCTATTGTGGGACTCTTCAGCAATGCGCATCCACGATCACGCTTTGCAAGATACTAACCCAAGATCTACCAGTCTCGCGCCAAAGCACTTAACAGATAGACCACTGAGCCGGCATCCGATAATGTTTATGCAGTTAGGCTGGTTTTCCCACCAGGTTTTCCCTGGTGATTGAGCTTCAATTGACTCACGCTTTCAATTATGAAAATACTAAATCTCCACAAAAAACCCTTTTGATATTATGTCATTGTTCTATCTTAGGTACATCGTTATTTTCTTTATATTTTGATATGATTCTTAAGGTGATAAGTAAATGTCATCTATTGACTGGATTTAATTAAAATAAGATTTTAAATTTTTTTTATTTTTACATCTGATATTTTCATAAGTAGTATCATCTATATTTTAGTTAATTGTCAAACTGTTGTATCTGAGTAGAGAATAATTTATGAGTAACTTCCCAGAACCATTAATGAACTAATATTATCCATATATTCTTATTTACTAAGTGGATTAATAATCCTTCCATTATTTCCATTTGACATATAGACTAATAGGGTCTAATTTACTATTTTAAAATTATACCCAATTTATTAATTACTGTATTTCATAGTCACAACTACTTATTGTCTTGGGCTTGTACAAATATTCTTGCGTATTTTATGGTGTTCTATGGTTTGATTTGCTTGTAAATAGACTACCTATGTTTGAAGTATAGAATTCATATAATGGAGACTGGTATTGACGTACTGGAATAAACCGTCTAGGATAAACGAGAAGCTACTATCTCAATGGGCCAATAAGAACACATAATTAACTCTATATTTTTCGTACTGGTTTATGTGTCATTGAACTAGTCAATAAATCAGTGTTCTAATTAGCAAACTTATAACATGATGATTAAAAGGCCATAAAGACATACTATTTATTATCGATTGTGTTTAAAGAAACCAATCGAAAATTCCGTTGATGAACTATGACTATCAATTATCAATAAGTATGTAAGTGTCATTACCAAGGTTTGACTTGATATTTTCAAATAAATTGAATAATATGTAATTATTGGTAATAGAGAAGATGGTATATTTGTAATATCAGAGTGAGTAGAAAAATTACGTTTTCAAATGTTCTGATGTTTCGTGAATTAATGTAAGTCACCGCCTTAGAGATTAAATAAACAAATAAAAAGTAACCTAGATTTAAATAGTACAGTTTATATATATATATATAAATACACCAATTTTATTTAATCCTATCAATAGAGGTTTTGCTATCATTTGGCATTAAACCCATTGGTTTATCTGATGTGTGGGAGTGAATGATAATGATTGGTTGTTTTGATGAGTCAGACATGTAAATAGTGTGACAGGTGTTATATGTGTTATATATTCCCTTATCCTTATCATTATGGATTGACTGTTCCTTGGTGTTGGATTGTGTCGAATTTTGGTGTGAAAATATATTGACGTTCTAGTCAGACTAATCTTGTGTTCTTGATCTGGGTTGTGTTAAAGTCCTGTAGAATAGACACTGGGTGGTAATCTAGTGTAGTTATTCATCTAAGGTAAATGAACGTCCCACATACGTGTAAAAAGTGAAAGGACTGTTATAACAAGAAACCTTAGCGTTATAACAAGTATCCTACCTTTATAACACTATCCTACATTTACACATTTCCTGTGTATTATTATAGTGAACAAGAAGTCTTGCTTATGTCTTGGTAACATTAAATCATTTGTTTACACATCTTTTACAAATTTCATCATTCTTACATTCATATTCTTATAATAATTGTGATTTATTTTTTGTTTCTATTCTCTTCAATTCCGTCATCTCAATCATTTTCTGCCAGGAATTCCACTTCCGATTTGTATAACATACTACTTATTTCTGTCAACATAAGTACTTTACACCACATTATTATAATTTTTTTTTTCAAAAAAGGATTCATAAACAAAATTATAATTAGATTAATAACGAATATACTGAAAATTATTTTTATCATTAATTTTTATAGTCATAATCTACCTTTGAAATTGTCTAATGTACTATCAGTTGTTCTTATCAAAGGTAACATAGTTGTTTGATTTATTGGTGATGTTTGAACGGTTATGTGATCAGTTGATATTCCTAAAATATAAATTAGATTTTGTAATGTAAAAAGTAAAACATAAACCAAAAAAAAAAAAATTAGACAGATCCATCTGTATAAAAGTGAACATCGAAGTGCACAGGACAAGCTGTGTACCACATGTGGAGACATTCGAACACTTAACTACTATCCGAAGTTTGTGCTGATGATGTGGTTCAGAAGGCCAATGAAAGCTCTATGACCAAACTATTCACCTCAGAGAATAAAACTTCGTCAAAAGTTAACATTTCTACTTGAAGTAATCAACAATAAGCTTATCAAAAACAGTATTATTATTAATAATAATATATTGGAAATATATTCTATTTAGTTCAATTACTTATAATGATTGAATTCTAGTTAGAATCGTATTATAGTTTATTGAAAAGAAGTCGGTACAACAACTATATTCAGGTTTGTTCCGATTGGCAAATATTATTGTTTACATTATGGGCATACCTTAAAGAAACACCGAATATCAGGTATCATTGAATAAGCATTTCGTCTTAGTATATTATTTCATTTCCATCAGTACTGTAGTGAACAAAACATTAGTTGGGGACAGTCGAATGTATGTAAGCACAAATTACAAACTATCTTAATAAGATCTGATAACCATACAGCAAACAGTTAATTTGCAAAACAACAATCAATTGTCTCAATTCGACTGTTTCTTCCATAGTCTCCGATTATAATTAATCATGCATTTTCGTACCAATTGCGTGTCGTTCCTATTCTCTCCCAATCAATCTTCTACTGAAATGCATTCAATGCTCGACCATCACAATACACTACTTATGTGGATATCAGTAACCCACACCACAGTACTTAATACACAATATCATCAAGAATCAAACTTGATACTCTATGATCAGACGACTAATACTAAATCTTTTGATATCTAAGTTGGCATGTAAAAGCTTACATATTTAGTTATAATCAATTCTAAATATCATGCAATTATTTTATTGAACTTGAGATTGAGAACTGTTTTGTAATCAACATTGTACGTCATACGATGGTGGAGAAGATTTGTAGCTTAGGTGGATGATTTTGATGGAGTTTTGTTCTCTGAGCTCGATGGTTTGGTGATGGAGCTTTCATCGTCCTTCTGAAGGACATCATAAGCACAAACTTCGGATAGAAGTGAAGTGTTTGAATTTCGTTCACAGCTTATCCTATGCTTACTTACTTACTTACTTTCGCCTGTTACTCCCAATGGAGCATAGGCCGCCGACCAGCTTTCTCCAACCCACTCTGTCCTGGGACTTCTTTTCTAGTTCTTTCCACTTCTTGTTCATTCTTCTCATGTCTGTCTCTATTTCTCGGCGTAATGTGTTCTTTGGTCTTCCTCTTCTCCTTCGACCTTCAGGATTCCATGTGAGGGCTTGTCTTGTGAAGCATTTGGGTGATTTCCTCAAGGTTTGCCCAATCCACTTCCAGCGCTTCTTCCTGATTTCTTCCTCTGCTGGAATCTGGTTTGTTGTCTCCCACAGTAACTTGCTGCTGATAGTGTCTGGCCATCGGATCCGAAGTATCTTGCGTAGACAGCTGTTGATGAACACTTGTATCTTCTGGATAATGGCTTTCGTAGTTCTCCACGTCTCCGCCCCATACAGTAGAACTGTCTTGACATTTGTATTGAAAATTCTAACCTTGGTGTTGGTTGACAATTGTTTTGAGCTCCAGATGTTTTTCAGCTGTAGGTATGCTGCTCTTGCTATGCCGATCCTCGCCATAACATCTGCATCTGATCCACCGTGTTCATCGATGATGCTGCCCAGATATTTAAAGATTTACACATCCTCCAAAGCTTCTCCGTCAAGTGTAATTGGATTGGTGCATACTGTATTGTATCGGAGAGTCTTGCTTTTCCCTTTGTTTATATTGAGACCTACTGCTGCTGAGGCTGCTGCTACACTGGTCGTTTTCTCCTGCATTTGTTGTTGCGTTTGTGATAGAAGAGCCAGATCATCCGCGAAGTCTAAATCGTCAAGCTGCATCCTGTCTGTCCACTGTATCCCGTGCTTTCCTCCAGATGTTGACGTCTTCATAATCCAGTCGATCACCAGGAGAAAGAGAAAGGGTGAGAGTAGGCAACCTTGCCTAACACCGGTCTTTACCTCGAACGAGTCGGTGAGTTGTCCTCCGTGGACGATTTGGCAGTTTAGTCCATCATAGAGTTCCGTATGATGTTGACTATCTTCTCAGGCACGCCGTAGTGTCGAAGAAGCTTCCATAGTGTCGTCCTGTCCACGCTATCAAATGCCTTCTCGTAGTCGATGAAGTTGATGTACAGTGATGAATTCCATTCGATTGATTGTTCCACAATGATACGTAGAGTTGTGATTTGGTCTGTACACGATCTATCCTTACGAAATCCAGCTTGTTGATCTCGAAGTTGGGCGTCCACGGAATCCTTCATCCTGTTTAACAATACTCTGTTGAAGACTTTTCCTGGTATTGAGAGGAGAGTGATGTCCCTGTAGTTGTCGCACTTGCTCAGATCGCCTTTCTTTGGTATCTTGATCAGAAGTCTTTTTTTCCAGTCTGTTGGTACTTGTTCTTCGTCCCAAATCTTACCGAAGAGGATGTGGAGTATCTTGGCAGTTGCTGTTACATTTGCTTTCAGTGCCTCTGCCGGGATGTTGTCTGGTCCCGCTGCTTTGCCACTCTTGATTTGTCTAATGGCCATGCTGATCTCCTCAATTGTTGGTGTGCCAACATCGATTGGGAGGTCTGTGGGTGCTGCTTCGATGTTGGGTGGGTTCAGTAGAGCTGGTCGATTCAAGAGTTCCTTGAAGTGTTCTACCCACCTGTTTCGTTGTTCTTCAATGTCGGTGATTACTTTGCCTTCCTTGTTTTTCACTGGTCTTTCTGGTTGACGGTAATTTCCAGCAAGTTTCTTTGTTGTATCATACAGTTGTCTCATGTTTCCCTCTCTTGCAGCCTTTTCCGCTGTCATTGCTAAATCTTCCACATATTTACGTTTGTCGGTCCTGATGCTCCTCTTCACTTGCTTGTTTGCCTCTGTGTATTCGGCTTGTGCCTTGGCTTTTTCTGCTCTTGTTCGGCTGATATTGATTGCTACCTTCTTGTTCCTCCTTGCTTCAATTTTATCCAGTGTACCAACAGTGATCCATTCCTTGTGATGGTACTTCTTTTGGCCCAGAACCTCCTGACATGTTGAAACGATTGCCTCCTTGATACCTTTCCAGCTGCTCTCTATGGTGGTTCCCTCTCCATTGAGTAGGTCATGAAAGGCCTGGAACCTGTTGCTGAGGGCTATGTTAAATTCGTTGAGTTTGTCAGCATCTCGAAGAAAGGCCGTGTTAAACTTTTGTGATGTTGTCCGCGCCATTGTCCAGTGCTTCTTGAGTTTTAGTTTCATCTTGGCGACCAGCAAATGGTGATCGGATGCTATATCAGCTCCTCTTCTGGTTCTCACATCCTCCATCGTCCTCCTGAACTTTTTGTTGATGCAGACATGGTCGATTTGATTTTGTGTAGTGTGATCCGGTGAAATCCAAGTGGCTTTGTGCATGTTTTTGTGTGGGAATATGGTGCCACCTATGACCAGTTTATTGAAGGCACATAGGTTTGCAAATCTCTCACCGTTTTCGTTCCTTCCTCCCAGTCCATGTTGTCCCATGACGTCTTCGTATCCAGTGTTGTCCTTTCCAACCTTGGCATTGAAATCTCCCATTAGAATGGTCAGGTCCTTGGTTGGGCACTTTTCGAAGATTGACTGCAGCCTATCGTAGAATTGGTTTTTAGCGTCTTCATCGTAGTCGTTGGTCGGCGCATAGCATTGGATGATGTTCATTGTAATGCCCTCTCTCTTTGTTCTGAAGGAGGCTTTGATGATCCTTGGTCCATGAGATTCCCATCCTATAAGTGCATTTTGTGCTTTTCTAGACAGCATCAGTGCCACTCCTTGTGTATGTGGGGCATTTTCTTCTTCATGACCGGAATATAACAGAAGTTCCCCTGAAAACAGTCGTTGTTGTCCAACCTGCGTCCAATGTGTTTCACTGATTCCAAGCACTTCCAGGTTGTATTTCCTCATTTCCGCAGAAATTTGGAAGACTCTGCCGGTCTCCCACATTGTCCGGACATTCCATGTACCTATAAAAATTGTCGCTCTGGTTGTAAGAAGGTGCATCGGCCTCATGACTTCCGAATGAACTCGGCTTTCATCACGAGACGTCATTTTTCCTTCTACTCCCAGGGCAGAGTTTGAATGGTCTGAATGATTTTTTCTGGTTAGCGTTTTTTAGCGAGTTGATTTTCTACGGGATGGGGTCGCTAACCCCATGCCCAACCCTCCTCCTTTACCCGGGCTTGGGACCGGCAGCAGCCCCTGGAGGAGCTACAGGCGGAGTTTTATCCTGTGCACCTCGATGTTAATTGGTTCTTGTTGACCTGAATGAACATCAATCAGCAGTCAAACGACACGACATGCCTTCGCTCGTATCAATGCACGTGCACAACTGCGGGCACACATTCGACTGCAAAAATATAGAGATTTTGGACAATTCCAAAAACACCAGAGAATTTTTAGAAGCTTGTCACTCAGGTCAATAAGCAATAAACAAACACGATGAAATCAATCCAATTTATCAAACAATCAAGAAACTTTTTCTCAAACATCTGAACAAAAATCAAACCAATAGAAGATACTACCAATACGAAGAAATAAACAGTGACAGATGTAAGGTTGTCAAGTATCAATCAACATCAAGGTGTACAGGACAAGCTGTGAACCACATATGGAGAAATTCGAACATTTAACTTCCATCCGAAGTTTGTGCTGATGATGTCGTTCAGGTGGCCAATGAAAGCTCCACGACCAAACCATGGAGCTCAGAGAACAAAACTCCATCAAAAACTTTACAAGACTAATTTATGAATTAGGAGAATACAAGTGCCCACATTATCTAAACAGTAATTTTGAAATGAATGGTTACTGCATTTCTTAAGCTTCGTTTATATTAAGGAAACTAGGTTTATCCTTGATGATGTCTATTTCAGGAAATATTATGACTTCCATTAAGATTTAATGACATATCTGTAGCAAATTATAAGAATCTTACTGAATGTATCTAAGTGTACTCATTAACAAATCATAATAAGTCTTTAATCCTAACTATGACATACCCAAGAAACTTGCTATATCCTAGTGAAGATTAAATTACGGGTAACTTCTGAAAACAGTTAGTGGACTAATATTATATATATATATATAGTGTAACTATTCGGTAACTTGATTATGCATATCTATACTTCCCTTATTACAAACTTTATTTTGATCTTTAGACTATCATTACACAATTTACTATTGTTAAATTATACTCAGTTTGTTAATTACAGTCTTCCACGTTCACAACAACGTTTTGACCAGATCATGTACAAGTGTTATCTCTTATTTTATGATGTGATGTGGTCTGTTTGGTTTGTATATTAATCAAGTATTTTTGAAATAAATGATTGGCATAATTGAAGTTGTTATTGGCATTTTGAACTGAACTGGACGAGTTAAGAGAATAAGTAAACAATAAAGACGTTAGGCTGCTTAAACCGGTTGATACATCATTGGTTTGACACAGTACTAACATTGTATAAGTGATATTTCGATTAGGTTACAATAAAACTGATACATCAAAATTGAATAAATGAAAATCTTACGTGAAAATCGTATATCAGTTAAATAGAATTTTGATTCTATTGTTAAATGCATCCATGTTTCCTTTAAAGTCTCTGTCATAGCATTGTCTGTAAATATTACTGGTATTATAAATCTCATTTGTAATGTTATTGTTACTGAGATCTGGTTACTGATATTCGATGTGATAGTGGAATTTTTAAGATTAGTATTATTGTCAGGTATACTTGGTATTTTGGTAAATTTAATATTAAGAATGTTGAGAGATAAATAATCTTGTAAACCTAATATTTGGATAACATTGTTGACCTATTACGTAATCATTATGAAAAGAAATAGTGAAGGAGAATATCAGAAAATGGGTTTTGTGGAAATTGTAGTAGTTTCATAATTGAATTCATATGTCGATTAAAGCTAGATCATCATGGCAAACCTGAAAGCACTGGATCGGTTTGAAATTCTGTGAGTAGGATGGTGGATACACACAGCTGAGCAGTCGCATACTAGTAGGGAACGCCCTTCCAGAGCTTCCTGATTTTCCATGCTGGTCTATCTTTATTCGACTGATGTATTCAACTATGAAAGAAGTTAATTTGATTTAATATTATATTGATAGCATAACTGATGAATAGTTGGCGGAAGGAGGTAGTTGATAAAGAAATGTCTGAATAACATAACAATTGAGTACATTTAAACTTTGTTTATCCGTTCCTTAAACCTCAGCAGATTAAACATCCTATACATAAACATGTATAATATAAATTGTTAAATGCTAACCCGTCAAACTGATAAATACATCTCCAATATAAAATACATCTACATCATTGTTTATATACGATCTCTCTCAGTATTTTACACTTTGATTGAATAGCATAAAACAAGTGTAAATAATGGATCCACACATAAAAATACATACATATTGAGAAATGTATACGAACATTATTTGTGGAGAAAAGTGCATTCAAACTATGTTTGAATGAACTTCAGTATAAGAACAATTCCTTCAGGATAGAAACATGACAACAGAGATTGATTAAGGACAAGCCCTAACATTGGAAAAATTAGAAATGGTAATCCCTTACATGTATGTTTAGCTTATTCATTACGTTTCCCATTTCAACACAATAATTTACCATCATAAATTAGGATGGTTACTAGATCTATACTTGACGTATATCAGCACAATATAAATCATCTAATTATATATACATATTATCTCAGATGCAAAATTATAAATCAACTATACAGATTAGTCAGAAGGGGTTCGATGGTTATTTCAGTATTTTCATAGTTGCAATCATGAGTCCTGGGTTCGAGTCTCACGAGGTGGGATCATGGATGCGCATTGTTGAGGAGTCCCAAAATAGGACAAAACGGCCGTCCATTGCTTCCAGGTTTTCCATGGTTGACTAGCTTCAGTTAACTCATGATTTCAACTATCAATATACAGATCAGGTTACGAGAAATAAAGTGAATCAAACTACAATAAATAATAAATCAACATAACAAGGATAGTTTTATCGAGGGAACAAACTAATTTCACACACATAAGGATGGTTTGAAATATGCAACATTAGAATTGCTGATCTGATATAAACCATCGATCAATCATCATGATTGTTTATAAATGGCCTAAACAGTTTTTCTCTCCAATGATTTTATTTGACCATTGGAATACATTCGTTTCTGTATCCATTTAGACATGAATTCAGTCATCATTAACTAGAGATTACGATTACTTCTCGCTTGTAAGTTTATATATTTGCATATACATATTAAGAGATAGACGAAGTGGGATTTGATGCACTAATTTACATGGTATTTAAGATTTTGTTGGAACACTGACCTCCAAGTTTCGATGATGATAATGAGTTGGTCTGAGTTAAAAAGCTTACTAATCTTTAGTTTAGATCTTTATTTAAGTACAAGACCACTTGAGTCACCTCTGAATTGTAGAATAATCTGGTTTAGTCTCACCATACTGTGGCCTATCTATCGGCTAATGAGCTTCATTATCATAGTGATCTCTCGCTCCCCAATTTGTATAGTTAATCTATTATTTTTCATCTGCCAATGTCTCAGTAATCCATATCAGGTAGAGATAGGTATCTACCTGAGTACAATGAAGGATGTTCGAGGGATTTCGTGGATTGTTTGAATGCTGGCTCAATGAACTAGAAGTTAAGCGTTCACACACGAGACCGAAGTTCTTGAGTGAGGATCCAGCGAACGAGATAGTGGATGTGCTCTACTGAAGAGTTCCATAATAGGACGAAATGATCATTCAGTGCTTCCAGGTATTCAGTGGTGATGGTCTAACATCAATTGAATCATGATCTCAATCAAAATTATGAATTATTCTTCCAAAAATCAATCATTCACATAAATTAACTATTGAAGGTAATTATTATAAACATTCATCAATTACATCCTATAAGAAATGAACATACTTGATTTTTTATATCTAATGAAAAATTCTGATAAATTTCACTTGAATTATTCGTTAACTCATCTAACCATTCCATTGGTTGAAACGAATTTGAAAAATAAATCATTCCATCGATTTGACATAGAATTGCATCTATAAATTCAGTTGAAATGTTTGGTAATCAAATAGAATTAATGTAAATAAAACTGACTAATTAACTAAGTTATTCAATTTAAACAAACATGGATAATGGGTAACAGTGGAATCGCGCGCGTGGACGCGCGTTTCGTCCCATTCGGGACTCGTTAACTGGATGTACCTGCATCTCAGAGTTGATGTTCACAATATGGGACTCGAACTCAGTACCGTTGGCTTCAAACTCCATCGCGTTATCCACTTAGCTATTGAGTCCTGATAGCCACTTCATTGTGCAGTGTGGCTAAGATGTATTCACTTGGTATTATTTGTTTGAATCTTCCCATTGTTATATAGGACTGCAATTGATCAGTTATTCATTTATTCAGTATTAATGGCAATTTTCATTTGATTTTATTCCTTTTTTTTATAGAATTTTATAAATTAAATAGATGAGTTAGATTTATTCGGTGAGACTATAATTTACGGATGATCTATTGGCGATGTTAAACTGATCTTGAGAATAGTCACCTACTAACTAGGACTAAATATGGGTTATAAACCAATGAGAGGAATTACGATGATCACTGCTATAAACTTAAAAGAGAATGCTGGTTATAACGCTGGAGGTTTTCTGGTTATAACAGTCCTTTCACTTTTTACACGTATGTGGGACGTTAATTTACCTTAGACGAATATCTGCACTAGATTCCCACCCAGTGTCTATTCTACAAGACTTCAAAACAACTCAGATCAAGAACACGAGATTAGCCCGACTATAACGCCAATATATTTCCACACCAAAATCCGACACAAAGAACAGTCAATCAATGAGTGTCCATCAACAAGGAACAGTTCATACACAATAAGGATAGGGTAATATATATCTAACACACATAACACCTGTCATCCCATCTACTGTCTGACTCATCAAGACAACCAATCATTGTCATTCTCGCCCACACATCAATCACATATGAGCATGTCACATAGTTATATTTCGATAATGTAATAAAAAGACGAAGATGATTAGAACTATGTGATGAGATATTAGCGTAATACATTTCGAACAATCTGATCACACATACAATATACTTGTTAAGAACATTTATGTATAAGAATAAAAGGTCAACTAGACTGGAAATGGGGGGTAAGAATAGACAAGGATAATAATAATATAAATAATGTGAAAACAATTTGACACCTAATCACTCTGGATAATAAACTAATAATATCCAATAAAAGTAGAGGATAAAAACCCATCATCCTCTATTGCCAAACATATGATCGAAACAGATCAATAAGATGAGGTGGCGTACTAATTAAGGGGTAAGGGAGAAAATAATTTATGGGTCAGATAATAGTTCAATTGACAGATATGAAGAAAAGTGACAAACACAAAGGTCATAATAATAATAATAATAATAATAATAATAATAATAATAATAATAATAATAATAATAACTGATTAGAGTTTAAATGTAAAGTAGTAATTTAAAAACAAAAAAACCCCGATAATAATCAGATAAAAGTACAAAAACAAAAAACCAAAAACCACTGCTGAGGCAGTGACAATCCATGAATTCAAGCCTGAACTTTGCGTGCAGAAATGATTTGTCCAACCTCTTACTCTTCCTTGGCCCTAATTCCCTCATTGAGTACGTTTTTTGGTTGTTTTTTTCCCTGTACTTATATTTGATTATTATCGGTTTTTTTGTTTTTAAATTATTAGTATATAATTCCCATTTAAAGATTAAAATTAAAAACACGAAGTTCACCGAAGGGATCTCTTTTCAATGAATTTATTATCAAACTGTACAATCGTATATATATATGAAAATGTTTTGTTAAAGTACTAATTCCGTGAGGAAATGTGAACACTAATAACCAAGATCATAATACTTGATTACGTAATATAAATAACAACAGTAGATTTAGTGAATATAGTAAGACGGATAAAATGTTTTGGTTACAATAATTAAAGGTCATTAAAGGTCATAGAGGTGTAAAATAAATAAATAAGGTGATGAGTATTCATGAATAAAATAATGAGAATATAAAACATAAGTAAAGGGGGAATGGAGTAATAATAATAATAAAAGAATGATAATAATAATAATAATAATATTAAGGCCATGGTAACGATAATGATAAAACGTACTTCTTCTGGTTTGAGCTCATGGATGGTAAGAGCTTCGGCTATTTTCAAAAGTTTGATCCGAAGAAATCTTGGTAGATTTGAACGAATCATATAAACAACCTTAAAATCAGACTGTGGATTCGTCGAATGATTACAGTCGATTAGGTGTTCGAGTATAGAACTTCTAACTGCTTTCTTTCCACCATTGTAGAACCAAGCTGGTATATGTTCTCGTATCCGGGTTGAAAGCGAGCGCTGGCTATGGCCGATGTACCTTGCTCCACAAGAGCAGGTGAACTGGTAGATGCACATGGAGGCGACCAAACGCGGAAGCTTATCTTTTATGGATACAGAAATTAAGTTCTTACTGGTGAAGGTTATTCGTAGTTTTGCAGCGTTAAATGTCCTTTTTATCGTTGTTGTTAAACGACTTTTAATTATGTCTGATGTTCGATCACCTTTAAATTCCAGACTTATATAAAGGCTTTTCTTTGGGACTGAATAACTAGGATTCCTATCGACGCTACTTCTGTTCATATTCTTCTCTATGAACCGGTCTGGGTAGCCATTTTTCAACAAAGTTTTCTTGAGGAACGCTAGTTCTTCGTTGATGCATTCTGTACTACATATCCGATGTATACGATAGCATAAAGAATGAATCAAGTTTCTCTTTCTAATTAATGGAACCCAGCTATAGAAGTTGCTTAGTTGACCGTTCCATGTTTGCTTTCTAAAGATTATATATATATATATATACGATTGTGCAGCTTGATAATAAATTCGTTGAAAAGAGATCCCTTCGGTGAACTTCGTGTTTTTAATTTGAAATTATTACTTTACATTTAAACTCTAATCAGTTATTATTATTATTATTATTATTATTATTATTATTATTATTATTATTATTATGACCTTTGTGTTTGTCACTTTTCTTCATATCTGTCAATTGAACTATTATCTGACCCATAAATTATTTTCTCCCTTACCCCTTAATTAGTACGCCACCTCATCTTATGATCTGTTTCGATCATATGTTTGGCAATAGAGGATGATGGGTGTTTATCCTCTACTTTTATTGGATATTATTAGTTTATTATCCAGAGTGATTAGGTGTCAAATTGTTTTCACATTATTTATATTATTATTATCCTTGTCTATTCTTACCCCTATTTCCAGTCTAGTTGACCTTTTATTCTTATAAATAAATGTTCTTAACAAGTATATTGTATGTGTGATCAGATTGTTCGAAATGTATTGAGCTAATATCTCATCACATAGTTCTAATCATCTTCGTCTTTTTATTACATTATCAAAATTTATCAAAGGAACTGTAGCATCAGTTTATATGTTAAACCCATATACTTTATTCTAGCTACTGGCCAAGCCAATTCACCTATACATTGAGTCATCTTTTGATCTTGTTAATCATTCGCTTATTAACCTTGAGTACTTTTTATATGAACGCATATGTGTGCACACTTCGTATCTTATTCATCATATGTCTGTCATTTATTTTTATCTGACTATAATTGTTGATCAACGCTTGCTTAAAATGAGTTGGCTTCCCAACCATCTCCACTGCGTGTCATTTCCGCCCCGTTCTCGAGTTGGCACCCCAAAAACTAGAAAAAAGTATATGGGCTTAACATATAAACTGATACTACAGAACTAATTGCTTTAAACATAGTTATATCTCTGAAACTCCCGGATTTTACGAAATTCTAAAATGAACAATATTTGAGGGAACAATTGTTTCTGCAATAATTTCATCATCAGCTCTATAGTTATAAGTCCATAATTATTATGATATTTTACAAAAGCTAAAATGAGACTGGATCACTGAATACTTAAACTGAATGTTATCAACCTCTTCCCCGCCTTTTTTATTTGATCACCTCTATCTTAATCTTCACATCCATCATTCCCAATTCGTGTATCGTAATTACCTTGATATTCACATAATAATCTTATCATTATTACTATTACTATTTATCATTATTATCTCAATTAACAAAGTGAAATTCTCCTGCTATACATTTCATTCACACAATTTTTTTTTTGTATTTTCATTTTCTCTATATTACTATCATACTGATTGTGACTGGACACTTTACTCCAAATTCATTTTGACCTTTATCAAATGACCTTTCTAATTTACAAATAACACAATTTTGAAGTATATATGTCTGAATAGCAGATGCAAACATTCACCATTTTTTAATATACAACATTGTCAAATTCATTAATACATGCCTCATTTTGGCCTTTGTAAAATAATATCAGAAGGCATTTTGTGGAGATTTAGTAGTAGAATCTCGCGAGTGCGGGATCGTGGATGCGCACTACTGAGGAGTCCCATACTAGGACGAAACGGCCGCCCAGTGCTTCCAGGTTTTCCATGGTGGTCTAGCTTCAATTGACTCACGATTTCAACTTTGTAAAATATCACAATAATTATAGACTTATAACTGTGGAGCCTGAAGATGAATTTATTGCAGAAACAATTGTTCGCTCAAATATTGTTCATTTTTGAATATTCTATGGGGATCTTTAAACTACTAAAATCCAATAAGCACCCCAGTTTCACAAGATTGTTTGTTTCTTTCAATAGACACACGATGTAGATTATCATCTTGTTCATATTTGAATTGAATTTTAATGCATAAAAAGGATAATGCGAATCATTACAGATGAAATTGAAATTCATAGGGTTTATACAATCTTGCTGAAAAAAGAATGTGAACGTTGATAGGGGTTTCATTCAAACAATACTGAAGGAAATTTAATTTTCTTTCTGAAATGTAAATAATCTTAGGTAATAATGATAATATCATTATTCCTATACTATGATATTTCAACTTACAATCAACTTGTGGTTGTATAGTAGTTGTGGAGTGTATTCGCGGAAATTGATCATCAGTTCGATTATGAACTAATGGAACTGTTGAAGCAGGCAAAGTTATTCTGATTTCTGTGTTCGTTTCTTTATATTCAGATGAAGTAGATCTATGTGTAATCAGTGTTATTGAACTAGACGATTCTGTGATGAAAGAATAATAAATACACACACATATAAGAAAACGATCTACTAACAGAAAAGGAAACTATTATACAGTTAGATTGAAGGTTATTCACTGAAAGGTATTTCACGACGAATTGCTTCATTATAGTTCCCTATTTATGATTGGTATATATATATATATATACCAGTCTCTAAATTGATCATTTGCAAGGACATTAACAGATGACAACATTTGCAAATAGAAGCGGACAACAGGTGACTTCTGACAAATAAATAATGTGAACCTACCGAAAGCATCTGACGTAGTAGTTGATGATGGGCTCGTCATCTTCACAGTCGGTGTTGACTTCACCGTCACCATCTCCGTTGTCCTAATCGGTTGCGCTAATTCTGTTGAGACACTTCTGTCTGTCTGTTGACGACTGCTAGTCGAAGTTGACATGCTTGTTGGTGAACCTGTTTAATTAAATATGAAAACATACATAGTTTTATCTATCGTTGATTCACTCGTCGCACCCGAGAACACCTTCACTAATCAACACTACACTACACTACACAACACAACACAACACAACACGGTCACATCACACAAATGCTTCACCGTACATCGTAGACCACAAACACTCAACATCTTCAACATCACCACGATGCATGTGACCTGTGAAAGAAAACTGGTCAATGTCACACCTCCTCATCCATCAGCAAATCACTCACATCACATAGAACATGTGCGTTCACACACAATGGAAGCAGTAAACGTTCCACCTGACTGTCGCAATCTCCATAAACCTTTCCACACAACAGGTGTGCACATCCGAGAATGGGAACAATCAGGTGATTAGCAATACTGTCACTGCTCTCCTATCTCAATAGCACCACAGTCGGTGTCTCTTCTCACTATCGTATCATATCATATCATATCATATCATATCATATCAAATCATTGAGAAAATAATGGACAACAACAATTGACAACTTACGATATACTGTGATGTTTCTCAAACTTGGTCCGCTCCTGATATTCAGGAGTGTGCATCCACGAATCAGAGTCTCCGAGAGATCAGTCTCAGTTGGTTGTGATCCACGGGACAGACGCAACTGCACACTCACAATCACTCGAACAGCTTCGATTGAGACACGATTGGCACCCGTGTCTGTATGAGCTTGACCGACACTGTCAATCCAGATGATGATCCGAATGAAGACGACATGAACACAAGTAGCACCTCGAGAGATCTCTTCATTACCCAGACGTAGACCGTTCAATAGCTGCAACGTGCGAAATAAAATTACACAGGATACACAATCAGTCAGTCAGTCAGTCAGTCAGTCAGTCAGTCAGTCAGTCAGTCAGTCAGTCAATCAGTCAGTTAGTCAGTTAGTTCGGTTAGTCAGTTTGTCGACCTGTCGGTTGCTTCTTCATATATCAACACCACAACTACAATTCTCAATGAGACCGGTGTTGACGAGTGATCATCATCACTATCATCATTGTGATGACTAACTGCACGACTACCACTTCACAAATGGACAATCACTGACAATCACTGGCTTACTCACTCAACTAACCGACACTCACATTAGTCAACATTAGCAACATCTCACAGACCTTCTGATCATTACCAGCTTCAATCTCACACATACAACGCCACTTATTCATCAATCACCTCCTCACTTACTCACTAACTAAATCACTCAGTCATTCACTCACCATTTCAACAACTTACTCGCTCATCTGCTCACTTGCTTCTTTGCACACCTACGCAGTCGCTTAGTTTATATAGTTTATACCAACTCATCGAATTGCATTCCATCACGTCCCTCACTCTTACAAATAGTTGCTATCCTCATCTCACAGAATGCTTTGTCACATACACTAGTGTGATTCCACCTATTCACACACTGCTTCTCTGATTACTGCATACCACTACATACAGAACACAATAAACATAACGAATGCACACCTACCAGGTCACAAATTGACGTCGATAAATTTCTGTACATGACACTTGACTGATTAGACAGATCAGATGACCAATTCATGGGCACTTTAAGTTCTTCAATGTAGATCAAAATATCCACTTCGAACTCAGAGATTTCTACAAGTGAAAAGCAACGAGAAAGGTCACAATTACAAGAGCCTATTGTTAATAATGATAATGATATAATAATAATAATAATAATCAAAAGAAGAAGAAGAACTATAATAATAATAATCATTCAATCAATCAATCGACTAATTGTTGGGCACAGCACAAACTCAAATCTCATGTGACCACGTATGCAAATAGATGCGGACAACACGTGAATTCTGACAAATAAATAATGTGAACCTACCGAAAGCATCTGACGTAGTAGTTGATAATGGGCTCGTCATCTTCACAGTCGGTGTTGACTTCACCGTCACCATCTCCGTTGTCCTAATCGGTTGCGCTAATTCTGTTGAGACACTTCTGTCTGTCTGTTGACGACTGCTAGTCGAAGTTGACATGCTTGTTGGTGAACCTGTTTAATTAAATATGAAAACATACATAGTTTTATCTATCGTTGATTCACTCGTCGCACCCGAGATCACCTTCACTAATCAACACTAAACTCTTCATTTTTTTCTTATTTAAATGGTGGTTTTTATGTGTCTCTATATCCTTTTTATTAGAAATGTTTTTTGAGGAGCCATTCGGTTTATGATATTTATGTTTCCCACTTCTTCGTTTATTCCTCACTGCATAAGTGTGTATTAAGAATCAATCGAATGCTGTTTAATCGTGTTATGTCAGATATCAGTTGTGCACATGTATGACCAGAATATGGATCGATACCAATTCTATCGATTTCAGGGATGAACGTATGACCCTCAAAATCATTAATTCGGTGTCTAATCGTAGAATTATGACTTCATTCATTTTGAGCTACAGAATGCTGATTATTTTCTGATATTTTAGACAATTTTTCTGCTTCTGACATGACTTAACCTTATTGGTCACGGATTCTTACTAGAACTTGAAAAACGGTTTAAAGGAATTTACCATCGAGCTGAATTTCACAGTCTACTCAAGGGAGTATTTTCGCATAATAAGATATTATCAACTTACGAGTAAACCTAATGTCCACCAGAAATGGTCCTTTCTTGACATTCAACTTTTTCCATCCTTCAGTGAAAATCCGCGTTATTTCCTCATCGGATAATAATGAAGCTTCAAATGATCTCATTTCCACTGTCATTATCATTAAAATACCGTTGATCAAATCGCTTTTTTCTGTGTATGTTTGAGTATTATTACCGGAGTAGGTTAATTCAAGTCGAAGCAAAACCTTTTGGAACATGACGTCCAGAATTTTGAAATAGTATGAAATTTGTATATCCGCTAGTCGCGCACTACTATCAACCTAATAGTTAAGGGAAGAAAAAGATAATTCAGTTATATAATCAGATATTTAAATTATCGATCAGTTTAAAATAACTTAGCTAGAAACTGAATACCACTAAATTACTTACTTACTAACTTACGCTTGTCACCCCTCATGGAAAAGCATAGGTCGCTCACCAGCATTCTTCATCCAACTCTGTCCTGAGCAATCCTTTTCAGTTCGTTCCAGTTGTTATTCATTCTTTTCATATCTGCTTCTATTTCACAGTGAAATGTTTTCTTTGGCCTTCCTCTTTTCCGCTTCCCTTCTAAAGTTCGAATGAGGGATTGCCTTGTAATGCACATTGGCGATTTCCTTAATGTATTTCCGATGCACTTCCAACGTCTTTCCCTAATTTCCTCTTCAGCTGGAAGCTGGTTTATTCTTTCGTCTTAAAACACTGTTTCTGATAGTGTCCGGTCAATGGATGTTGAGTATTTTGCGTAGACAAATGTTTATAAATACTTATACCTTCTTGACGATGGATGTAGTGGTTCTCCACGTTTCAGCTCCATACAGTAGAACTGTCTTGATGTTCGCATTGAAGATTCTCACTTTGAAGTTAGTTGACAGTTGTTTTGAGTTCCATATGTTCTTCAATTGTAGAAATGCTGCCCTTGCTTTGCCAATCCTCGCCTTTACATCTGCATCCGATCCTCCTTGTTTATCAACGATGCTTTCCAGGTACTTGAATGTTTCCACCTCTTCCAGAGTTTCGCCGTCAAGTGTGATTGGGTTGGTGTTCTCCGTGTTGCATTTGAGAATCTTGCTTTTTCCTTTGTGAATGTGGAGGCCTATTGATGCGGGGGCTGTTGCTACATTTGTTGTTTTCGTCTGTATTTGTTCGTTACTAAATTACTGATTACCGAAAAATACATCAAGTCTTAATGTATGTGTCATCAAAAACTTGTGGTTAAGTAATCCTCATGTTTTTAGACATCGAATTCGTCCAAAGTTACTTTTAAATAAAGAAAAACACTTATGAAAAAGCAGTAGAAGAATTAAGGGCATTTCAATGAAGGAAACATACTCATTTCGACGATATCATCAACTTAAGTTGTATAATCGTTTGGATCGTTAGTCCCATATTCGGGAGGCAAGAATGTAGCATGTTGAGGCATCCTGTATAGCCATAATTTCAAGTGTTTAATGTTGGTTTAACTAATATCAATTTATAAAAATTTTACAAACTCTGCAAATGCTTGTTAACAACTAATAATGTTCATTTTTTACTAGTGAATAGCTTCATTGTGGGATTTCTGGAGTTCTAATTAGAAGCTGGAGATCAACCATATTAGATGAGAGACAACTATCTGCCACAGAAAATGCTTGAGAGTTGCCGAATAACGTGAATTGATTGAATTAAGGCACTAACACCGTTGAACATAGGCTTATTGACCTAGATATTAAGCATTGGCGCGCGAGTCTGAAAAACTTGAATTCGATTTATTATAGTGCGTTTGTGTATGTAATGCTGGTAATCTAACTAAGATCAGTTTTTCGTTTATAGATAATAAAATTTCTATAATCTCTGTCCAAATCAATCAGTGCATGAAATATACATACTCAAAAATCCATTCTCATATTTGACTTAATTAATAATTCCGCTATTCACTAACACAAATTAATTCGATAATTATATACGAAGATTGACGATAATGCATATTTCAATAACATTCATAAGATCCAATTGAAGTCAGATATCTGGCTACTAAAGTTACTTAACAGTTATATATAATATACCCTTATAAGTCAGGGTAATTTTGCATTGGTTTTAAGTAGAACCAGACACCATTCAGACTTCCACTTGACAATCCAAACAGTACAGCTCAATCCTGTTTAACAGGAGAGCCGGACACTATATGGGCTTCAACGCTACAATCTGAACAGTAAAGCTCAATCCTGTGGTGCAACCACACAGGTACCAAGCATCCTGGTGTACCAATCGCACCATTCACATACACATTCACATCACATGTATAATTATTCCGATCGGTGATTGCATAAATCAATTATGCACAGCGTGGACAGGCCAAAGTTTATACATTCCGCTTACACGACAGTCAAACTGATTACTCTTAACAATGGCCACATGCCTTACAATGCTCCAATGACAATAGACCTTGAGAACACTGAAAGGCAACCACCAGTATGAATGAAATCGGTTAACCTGAAAATCCACTTTTCACATGAACAGTCAGCAAAACTTGCCAATGTAATGCCGAACCATTCACAATGTCAATGGTGAACCTCCAGTCTCACATAAGACCTTCAGCTCTATATGGCAATATAGCTTATACTGCATACAACACATGTCTAGGGTACTAAGCTTAACAACCCAACCTGAAACGTTAGGACATACAGAACACTTAAAACTGATTGTTTGGTGTCGGGAAACTAATACAAGACCACCAAGATCATTTTTACGGCATTTGCGAAATTTTCATTTTTCTGACTTTCCAGACCCTGAGTTAGGGGTAGTATTCCTAAAGTTACTTAAAAGCATATTAGATATTAATCATATTAACTATAAATATCAGACAAACATGATCTTACATATTACTCGTTAATCGTTTTAAGTAAACTCTAAAATCTATATCATAACAATTAGAAATGATTTACTTAAAGCAAAATACAAAAACAAAATATTCTTAAATATAAGCAAAAATGGATAGTGACTAGCAGTGAAATCCAGGTCGCGCGTTTCGTCATTATCCATCAATGCTTACAACGCTTGTGAATTAAGGCTATATCGAGGCAATGCACACAGTATGTACATATGCCAATCAGAGACTGACCAGTTACAGTTCTAACACATCGATGAGAAGATTCAAACAAACAATACTAAATGAATTCTTATATATAGTTGAAATCATGAGTCAATTGAAGCTAGACCACCGTGGAAAACTTGGAAGCACTGGATGGACACATATATATTCAATAGAAAAAAATAATTAAAATTATTACATACCAGATATTGAACAGTTGATGTTAAATTTAAATAATATGCACTTGTAGGTATATTTAAATCATTTAACCATTCCATTGGTTTCAATGATTCTGCTATGATGATATATGCTTTGAGTTGTCCTATAGTAGGTGCTAATTGATTAAAAAAATAATCCGAATTTGATTATCAAAGTCTTTTAGGATAACATGAAGTATGAGATATACATATATATATTTAGAGCCGAACAAATAGATAATGACGTTTAATAGCAGTGGAATAATAGTGTGGTGTGGGCTACTGATATCCACATAAGTAGTAAATGGTGATGGTCCGGTATTGAATGTATTTCAGTAGAAGATCGATAAGGAGAGAACGGGAACGGCATGTAATTGGTACGAAAATGCATGAACGATTATAATCGAGGACTATGGACGGATATTTACAGAAGGAACATTCAAACTGAGACAATTGAGTGTAATTTTGAAAATGAACTGTTCACTATATGGTTCTCGTATTTTAATGACATATTCTGTAATGTTGTGCTAAAATACAATCGATTGTCCCTACTCCTGTCTCTTCCACTACAATAAGACTGTCATTTAGTTTTATTATTGACTCATCAGCATCTCAGAGTTGATATTCACACCAGGACTTCAAACCATTACTCTTCTCTATAAATACTGAATGGATCATTTACTAAGCTAACGAGTTCAGATAGACGGTGAATTGCTTAGAAGGACAATGAATAATTCGCTTAAATCGAAAGATACTGAATTCGTGTCCATGAGAGAACATCAACATCGGAGTATAGTTACATACAACTGGTGAATCCTAATTAGAATGAAATTAATATCCTATATTTCATAGCTGACCATAATCCATCATTATGCCTATTAATTTGGTTATCTGTATGCCAGCAATCACTGATCAAGATTCAATTCTGAATATCAACGTCGATTTGTTATGAAACTGGAACAATAATACTGCGTTTAAGATTTAAAATATCATCTACAAACAAAGTGATTTTTCTTATATATCACTAATATAAAATTATTAACATATTACGTAATATCAGAAGGGGTTTTGTGGAGATTTAGTATTTTTCATAGTTGAAAGCATGAATCAATTGAAGCTAGACCACCATGGAAAACCTGGAAACACTGGACGGCCGTTTCGTCCTACTATGGGACTCCACAGCAGTGCGTATCCACGAACCCGCTCTCGCGAGATTCGAACCCAGGACATACCAGTCTCGAGCCGAAGCCCTTAACCGATAGACCACTGAGCTGGCATCCAACGGTGTTATTGTCTAACTTCAACTGATCCACGAAGTTGAGCAACCATTCACCAATTGTCTTCAGTGAGTTGTTATCTCACAACAGACGTGGTTTTGAACTCCACTGGTCACTGCTTCTCACTAGAGCTCCTAGATATACTTCTTGAAGTCACTAGTGAGCATATGATCATATTAATTATGAGAAGGGGTTTTGTGGAGATTTAGTATTTTTCATAGTTGAAAGCGTGAGTCAGATGAAGCTAGACCACCATGGAAAACCTGGAAACACTGGATGCCAGCTCAGTGGTGTATCGGTTAAGGGCTTCGGCTCGAGACTGGTAGGTCCTGAGTTCGAATCTCGCGAGAGCGGGGTCGTGGATGCGCACTGCTGAGGAGTCCCATAATAGGACGAAACGGCCGTCCAGTGTTACGTAATAATGTAATGGTTTGGTTTAATGAAAATATTTAATATACTGTAGTGGCTGGTACTTTATCAAACCCAAATAGGTTACTCTAGTTTCTCAACAGACCAATTCATTCTCCCCAAAGTCACATTTTGACCTTGTCCATAATCGGCTTATTAACCCTGAATGTTTTTTATATGATCGTATATGTGTTGATTGCTTATACTATTCATTACATCTTTGTGCATTATTTTCAATTGAGTATAGATATTCACTCATGCGCGATCAAAACAAGTTGGCTCAATTGCCATCTCCGCTGAGTGTCACTTCGTTTTGTTGCAGTTGACTTCTTTCACTTGGTTTCACAGATTCTTTGTCTGAATCAGCGAGTATGTGAAATATACGAATTGAGAATTCATTTTCATACTTCACTTATCTTATTCTGTTACTCTCTAACATGGAGTTAAGTCGATGAAAATAAATACGACGGTTAATGGCATGTATATTTCAGTAAAAGTCAAAATACAATTTAACTGTAGTCAGATATATATTGGGCCAGTAAAATACTAATTAATGCCCCCAAATGCCCTGTTACGACCGAGAGTGGGGAGAGTCCGCTCTCCCTCTCCAAATGCTCTCAGATGGCCACGTGTATATACCCTCTGTCAGGGAAGTCCTACTCACTACCTTCTCGCACCACGGGTGTTGTTTACGAAAATAAGGAAAGACGAAAAGCGAATGTCAGGCTCTTTAATCGGGTTGGTGGACACGGAAAGTTCACCTAGGGGAGTTGGAAAACCCTGATTCCAAGCCAATGGTTCACATGGGCTCCAGTATTCTGAGGGAACAAATGGCGTATGAATCAATCGTTGGTCACCGGCCACCACGGGACTGCATCTTCTCACGATGCTCCACTGCCCTGTGGATCAGACATTTAGGTCGAAGGCTCCGGGTGTGGCCCCCTAAGAAAACCACTTGCTTCAGTTTTGGCACCTGGGCAATATCATAGCCCTCACACAAATCGAATGAGATCTTTGCGGCGTATATGTATCTGGTGCTTCCTTGCACCAATATTTATGTGCTTTAATAAATAAATAAAGATAATATGAAAGTTTGAAATTTATGTTTAAGATAATTACCATACCACGTAAGTTTTCAATTAGATCGAAGGAAATAAATAAATACTGTTTTATTGTATGAATGGTAAGACTATAATTTATGAACGACCTTTGAGTGACATTGAAATGATCTTGAGAATATTCACCTACTAACTAGGACTAAGTAAGGGTTACAGTTCATTGTGAAGAATAAGGGTTATGACTTAACAGTTGATAGTTATGGTTAAGCTTTAGACTTAGTGTTTTCATTACGAACTGAGATGAGCTAAAATGCCAAATCCCTATTTAGACAAATGGATGAATGAATTTCGCGCCAAAATCCAAGACCTGTTTTTCTAAATCTGATTGGCACATACATTAATTATAGTACCGCTTAATTATGCCAAACACAAAGAAGCAAACAAACAGAAACAACTTACTGTCATATAATGGAGGTATAGTATTTTCAAAAGGTTTAAAAGACAAACCATCACTAATGAAGTCATATACTGGACTGGTAACCAATGGTATAAATGTTGGAGTTGATATTGTTACTGAGGAAATATCTTGATGAATTTCTGTGAATTTACTCGTTGACATTTCGGTAATTATTGTAGTTTCATCAATGATAACTAAAATATTGAAATGTCACGGAAAAGAAAAATGGAATGTAACTAATTAACAATAAACCTAAGAGATTCAATGACAATGTAAACAATAAACTATTGGAATTCACTTAATATTGTTTGTTTCAACTGCGTCACAAGGCAAGCTCTCACATGGAGTCCTGAGGGACAAAGAAGAAGAGGGAGAGTAAAGAACACATTATGGTGAGAAATGGAGATAGACATGAGAAGAATGAACAATAATTGGATAGAGCTAGAAATTAAGGCACAGGACAGAGTGGGTTGGAGAATGCTAGTCGGCTGCCTATGCTGCATTGGGAGTAATAGGCCTATGTAAGTAAGTAACATTGTTTGTTTGAATCCTTCCATTGATGTTTATGAGTGCAATTGATCAGTCTCTTATGGGCCATTCGTGTATACTGTGCGTATTGCCTCAATATAGTCTTAATTCACAAGCATTATAAGGAAAGATTAATAGTGTCTAGCAGTGGAATCCAGGACACGAGTTTCGTCTTATTTGGGACTCGTCAACTGGATATACCTGAATCTCAGATTTGATGTTCACTCTGAGATTCGAAATCAGTAGTGTTTGCTTTAAACGTCATCGCGTTATCCATTCAGCTACTGAGTCTTGACACCCACTTGCTTGTGCAATGGGGTGAAGTTTAAATTCACTTGGAATTGTTTAGTTGAATATTTCCCTAAACTATTTTCATGATATGAATTACAAAATAGATCAGAAATATTTTGTATATTGTTTGATTATGATTTATCTTTACAATATTTATATGTCGAATACTCCATAGAACATGTGATGTTCTTAAACAAAGTATCATATGAATTCACTGGTGAATTTTGATATACTATAGCAGCGAGCACTATGTTTAATACATGATTAACTCGAACTTTGGACGAACTGCGAAAACTCAAACATCGTGTAATCACTGGTCGTATGTTGAGCCCATATAGGTTATTCTAGTTTCAGGACAGATCAATCTATTTATTCTTCTGAAATCACATTTTGATCTTGTCATTTATTCGCTTAACAACTTTGTTTGTTTTTATGTATTGATTCGATCATACTATTGTCAGACAATGGAAATGGGAAATAGATATGAAAAACAGGATTACTGTTCATTATTTATTTACTTTAAGCTCTGAATATATTCAAATCATAAGGAAATTATGATTTTTAGGCATATAGTTGATGTAAAACCTTTAGTTAAATAAATGGATGTCTTTGTGGGAGGATATTATATTGCTAAACTTTAGTTATCTTACATTTACTTAAAGCTATATATATCAACTACCTGACATGGAGTGTAAGTATTACGAAAAAGAAAAAATATCAGTTTACATTTGTCCAGAAAAAATAATCTTCTATCGGTTAGGTCATTTTAATCTCTACTCTAGTTAACGAGATAAGTCTACCTACGACAGACGGTATTTACGGCTTACTGGTATAGAGGTTAGGTTCTCTCGCACGAGACTGTTAGGTCGTAGGTTCGAATCTCGCTAGATGGGATCGTGGACGTGCACTGCTAAGGAGTTCCACATAAGAATGAAACGGATATATATCTAAGAAAATGATTACTAATACTATAATATGAATATAATCACTTACGATTAATTTCTATATTCAAAAAATAGATATTCAAAGTTCTATTAATATTCAATCCATGATATAATAAAGCAGTAACAAATAGACTTTCATTTATATTCATAGAATTTATAAATAATAATTCAATATCAGCACTGGCTTGAACACCTTGAATGATACTTGTATTAATAATTTGTCGTTTTAGTAAACTATTCACATTTATTGGATAGAAGATTACATTGAAACATTTTGTAGTTTTAATTAGATTCGAATAATTTCTCATTAAACTTTCATTAATCTATTTAAAGAAAATAAAGTAATGAGAATATAGAAAAAATGAGTTCTCAATCTAAAGGTCTGATTTAAAAGGTAGTGGAGCAGAATAAGGAGATGCAGTCTCATGGTAGTCGGTGATCAATAGTTGGTTCATACGAAATTCGTTGCATCAAAATCCTAGAATCTGTGTGAACCAATGATTTGAAATCAGGGATTTCCAACTCCCTTAAGTGGACTCTCTGTATCCAACAATCTACTTTTCATCCTCTCAATTTCGTAAACAACACCGGTGCCACGAGAAGTCAGTGAGTAGGACTTCTCTGACAGTGGCTGAATACGCATGGATATGTGCCACAATAGGACAAAACGGCCGTCAAATAGTGCTTCTAGGTTTTCCATGGTGGTCTAGCTTCAATTGACTCATATTCTTCATTTGTGTGTTAGCATTACATAATCATTGCGATATTTAAATCATCTATTCAATGTACAATTTATTTAAAATTATCAAGTCACACCATGGTAATGACATCTAAGTAAATAGAAAATTGGTACATAGATTATACATTTCTACTGTTCAAACACTTAGATTATTGGAACCGTAATGAGATTATTGTATCCATCAATTGAATATCAAATGTATTCGATAAATATAAACAAAGACCTAATTTGTCTTTCAGTTCACTACACAATATTTATGGATTACATTCGAACAATTTATCCTAATTATATGTTAATCTACAAATTATGAATGTAAGACCATATTGTTGACAAAAAATATAATCAACACAAAACTTACGAAGGTGCAAAGTTTCATTTTCAATGTTATATATGCTATTGTTGATGAATTTGTTAAATCTAATGACCAAGGATATGAAACTGAATTGTCACCAGTATAAATTGTTCCTTGAACTCTAAAGATTGCTGTTATGATTAATAATTTATGGAAAGATAACAATGAAAACATTGATAATTAGTACTATGGAAATGAAATCATTTCAAGTTAGTATTTTAATTAATTAACAATTCAAATGGATGGTTTTAAGCTAAACTCTAATATTGTTGAATAACGGCTTAGTGGTTTAGAGGCTTAGCGTTTACACACGAGATCGAAGGTCCTGTATTCGATTTTCTCGTGAAGGTCGTCGATAGGAACTGTTGAGGAGTCCTGTGCTATGACAAAACAGACCTCCAGTGTTATCAGGTTTTTAATGGTGGCCTATCTCATATCAGTTTGTGATTTCAAAAGTGATAATTCCACGTATATTAAACAATGTGGATATACATGATTTACCGATTCAAAAGAATGTTAATTGTTATATAACGTGACATTTCATAGGCTATTCAGTGCCTGTTGACTTCTATTTTGGACAAAACATTTCCTGTTTGAACAGTGTTTTGAATTTGTGAATAAACATTCAAGCAATGGTCTATTCATCTTTGCTTAAGAATATTTGTGAAATAATTACAATATTGAATTAATCCTCATATAATGCACTTATGCAAAAGAGACTGGTCAATTGCAGTCCTAAACATAATTGGGAAGGTCCGAAAACCGAATATAGATTAATTAACATTCAACCCACGGAACAGGGCAGTAGTTTTCTGAATTTAAGAGCTAAGTAGATAACGCGATAGCGTTCGAAGCGGAGTGAACGTCAATTGTGCGGTCTTCTGACAAGTTGCTTGCATTTCTTTGTGTTTTATTAACTCAGTCATGTACCCCCTCTTTTGACTGTAATGAAATTCCCATTTGGACTGCAAACTCTTTGATTGCATATATCAATTATATAATTTATAATTAATTCTTTGGAATAGTTTCGTCAATATTGCAAATCATTTACATTGGTTTCAACTTGAATCGATCCAAGTACATCACCACTGTAGGAGAGGAAGCATTTGACATCAAAACATGAACATTTAGCACTGTGCATTAACAAAACGACAGTGAGCATTAAACACAACAGTTTCACTCTTGCTCGAGATATCAAGAATTGATTGAAGTAAGATAAGCTGACAATCACTTGCTGACACAGTGATCTAGAGGTTGTCATCGAATACAAGAATGAAGTTATTGAGTTCAGTCCATGGTAGAGTTGTTAATGTTGATCGTCCACAGTATATTATAATTTTCACAAATAAGTCTGAAGTTAAAAGAAAAGTACTGTAAAATCGAGAAAGAAAACTATAGATTTACTGAAGGAAATGACAAGAACAGTTGAAGTCTTAATAGGTGTATACATGATAATAAAGTAGATAGCTTGTAAAGAGAATTCAAAGAGAATGAAATACTGTACAAGTGAATTCTTATTACAGTATGTCGATTCACGAAGTCGCATGTATGCCGATGCGGAAGATTATGCAAAGGAGATAAAGAGAGTAGGAATTACAAATGATGCAAAAAATGCAGAAAGTAATCTACGAAATGAAAGAAAATTACACGAAGAGATGGAATAATACGAAAATAGAAAAAAAGATTAGAGTATTGGGAAGAGCAAGCAGCAACAAAATAAAAAAAGTAAAGTAAAAAAGAGATTAAAACAAAAAGGTCAAGAAGAATAAAGAGAAAGAATAATCATATGAAAATGAGTGGATTGAAAACAAAATAAAAGCAAAATCAATTAAACACAATAAAGGAAAGAAAATGAAAATTCAGAAAAATTTGAACGCAAACCGCTCAATGAAATCGGCAAAGAAACATATTGAACAAGAGAGAACGAAAGCGAAAAACATGAAAGAGTGTGTGCGAGTGTTTGATAAATTGATTGTGTAAAAGATTGTAGGAGTGAGTGAGTGTGTGGTTGAATGAGTGAATGATCGAGTTGTTGATTGTTCGAGTGTAAATGTGGATATGTGTGAGATGTGTGGTGTTGTGTGTTGAGACGGAGTGAAATGAAAATGGGATACGTACCTGTTTGCATTGGTGTTGTCGGTGGTGTTTGTACTGGTGTTGTGAGTGGTGTTTGCAGTGTGGTTGATTCTGGCGACTGGAATTCCGTAGTGGGTATTGTAGGTGTTGTGTCGATCGGTTGTGATGTGGATGTGGTTTGTTGATACTGAGTTGGTTGAGTGATGATATCAGTGGTTGGTGGAATGGATGTGGAATCGGAATGGAGACCTGTTGAGAAGGAGTGGTAGGAAATGTGAGAGTGAGTGTGTGGCATGTGGATGATGACATAGAATGAAGGCGATGAATTGAGAGTATTGTGAGGTGTGATGAGAGTGAGGTGGTTGTTAATTGAAGAGTGGTGGTTTGTAGAGAACTAGTGTGTGTATGTATGTGTGTGTGTGTTTGTGTGAGAGCGAGAAGGGTGAGATACATTGGATGAATGTTGAATGGGGAGTGTGTGCTAGTGATGCAGTGAATGATTGAGAGAGTGAGTGATTGAGTGATGCACAGAATGTTGTATAGATTGATGTCGTGCAGTGATGGCATGCATAGAGTGATGGCACGCAGTGATTGAGATATGGATGTGTTGAGTGAATGATGGAGTGTGTGGTTGATGGATTGAGTGATTGACTGAGTGACTGATGAAATGAGTGAGTGTGTGATTGATTGATTGGGAGATTGATTGATTGATTGATCGATTGAGTGAATGAGTGAGTGAGTGAGTGAGCGTGTGAGTGAGTAATTATGTGTGTGTGTATATGTGTGAATGCGTGACGCGTTTGGAGTCAGTGTTTATAGGAGTGTGATTGTAGTGAGTGATGGATAGTGTATGTTGAAGCTGTGATTGGTGTGATTCGATTGTTTGTGTGTTGATTAGAATTGAGTGTGTTGTTGATGGAGTAGTTTAGTTGGTTAGTAGGCTAGTGGAGAATGTAGGATGGTTGTGTGTGAGCGTGTGAGCATGTGGGAATGTGGGAGTGAGTGTGTGAGTGTTTGATAAATTGATTGTGTAAAAGATTGTAGGAGTGAGTGAGTGTGTGGTTGAATGAGTGAATGATCGAGTTGTTGATTGTTCTATTGAAAATGTGGATATGTGTGAGATGTGTGGTGTTGTGTGTTGAGACGGAGTGAAATGAAAATGGGATACGTACCTGTTTGCATTGGTGTTGTCGGTGGTGTTTGTACTGGTGTTGTGAGTGGTGTTTGCAGTGTGGTTGATTCTGGCGACTGGAATTCCGTAGTGGGTATTGTAGGTGTTGTGTCGATCGGTTGTGATGTGGATGTGGTTTGTTGATACTGAGTTGGTTGAGTGATGATATCAGTGGTTGGTGGAATGGATGTGGAATCGGAATGGAGACCTGTTGAGAAGGAGTGGTAGGAAATGTGAGAGTGAGTGTGTGGCATGTGGATGATGACATAGAATGAAGGCGATGAATTGAGAGTATTGTGAGGTGTGATGAGAGTGAGGTGGTTGTTAATTGAAGAGTGGTGGTTTGTAGAGAACTAGTGTGTGTATGTATGTGTGTGTGTGTTTGTGTGAGAGCGAGAAGGGTGAGATACATTGGATGAATGTTGAATGGGGAGTGTGTGCTAGTGATGCAGTGAATGATTGAGAGAGTGAGTGATTGAGTGATGCACAGAATGTTGTATAGATTGATGTCGTGCAGTGATGGCATGCATAGAGTGATGGCACGCAGTGATTGAGACATCGATGTGTTGAGTGAATGATGGAGTGTGTGGTTGATGGATTGAGTGATTGACTGAGTGACTGATGAAATGAGTGAGTGTGTGATTGATTGATTGGGAGATTGATTGATTGATTGATCGATTGAGTGAATGAGTGAGTGAGTGAGTGAGCGTGTGAGTGAGTAATTGTGTGTGTGTGTATATGTGTGAATGCGTGACGCGTTTGGAGTCAGTGTTTATAGGAGTGTGATTGTAGTGAGTGATGGATAGTGTATGTTGAAGCTGTGATTGGTGTGATTCGATTGTTTGTGTGTTGATTAGAATTGAGTGTGTTGTTGATGGAGTAGTTTAGTTGGTTAGTAGGCTAGTGGAGAATGTAGGATGGTTGTGTGTGAGCGTGTGAGCATGTGGGAATGTGGGAGTGAGTGTGTGAGTGTTTGATAAATTGATTGTGTAAAAGAATGTAGGAGTGATTGAGTGTGTGGTTGAATGAGTGAATGATCGAGTTGTTGATTGTTCTATTGAAAATGTGGATATGTGTGAGATGTGTGGTGTTGTGTGTTGAGACGGAGTGAAATGAAAATGGGATACGTACCTGTTTGCATTGGTGTTGTCGGTGGTGTTTGTACTGGTGTTGTGAGTGGTGTTTGCAGTGTGGTTGATTCTGGCGACTGGAATTCCGTAGTGGGTATTGTAGGTGTTGTGTCGATCGGTTGTGATGTGGATGTGGTTTGTTGATACTGAGTTGGTTGAGTGATGATATCAGTGGTTGGTGGAATGGATGTGGAATCGGAATGGAGACCTGTTGAGAAGGAGTGGTAGGAAATGTGAGAGTGAGTGTGTGGCATGTGGATGATGACATAGAATGAAGGCGATGAATTGAGAGTATTGTGAGGTGTGATGAGAGTGAGGTGGTTGTTAATTGAAGAGTGGTGGTTTGTAGAGAACTAGTGTGTGTTTGTGTGTGTGTTTGTGTGAGAGCGAGAAGGGTGAGATACATTGGATGAATGTTGAATGGGGAGTGTGTGCTAGTGATGCAGTGAATGATTGAGAGAGTGAGTGATTGAGTGATGCACAGAATGTTGTATAGATTGATGTCGTGCAGTGATGGCATGCATAGAGTGATGGCACGCAGTGATTGAGACATCGATGTGTTGAGTGAATGATGGAGTGTGTGGTTGATGGATTGAGTGATTGACTGAGTGACTGATGAAATGAGTGAGTGTGTGATTGATTGATTGGGAGATTGATTGATTGATTGATCGATTGAGTGAATGAGTGAGTGAGTGAGTGAGCGTGTGAGTGAGTAATTGTGTGTGTGTGTATATGTGTGAATGCGTGACGCGTTTGGAGTCAGTGTTTATAGGAGTGTGATTGTAGTGAGTGATGGATAGTGTATGTTGAAGATGTGATTGGTGTGATTCGATTGTTTGTGTGTTGATTGGAATTGAGTGTGTTGTTGATGGAGTAGTTTAGTTGGTTAGTAGGCTAGTGGAGAATGTAGGATGGTTGTGTGTGAGTGTTGTTGTGTGTGAGCGTGTGAGCATGTGGGAATGTGGGAGTGAGTGTGTGAGTGTTTGATAAATTGATTGTGTAAAAGAATGTAGGAGTGATTGAGTGTGTGGTTGAATGAGTGAATGATCGAGTTGTTGATTGTTCTATTGAAAATGTGGATATGTGTGAGATGTGTGGTGTTGTGTGTTGAGACGGAGTGAAATGAAAATGGGATACGTACCTGTTTGCATTGGTGTTGTCAGTGGTGTTTGTACTGGTGTTGTGAATGGTGTTTGCAGTGTGGTTGATTCTGGCGACTGGAATTCCGTAGTGGGTATTGTAGGTGTTGTGTCGATCGGTTGTGATGTGGATGTGGTTTGTTGATACTGAGTTGGTTGAGTGATGATATCAGTGGTTGGTGGAATGGATGTGGAATCGGAATGGACACCTGTTGAGAAGGAGTGGTAGGAAATGTGAGAGTGAGTGTGTGGCATGTGGATGATGACATAGAATGAAGGCGATGAATTGAGAGTATTGTGAGGTGTGATGAGAGTGAGGTGGTTGTTAATTGAAGAGTGGTGGTTTGTAGAGAACTAGTGTGTGTTTGTGTGTGTGTGTGTTTGTGTGAGAGCGAGAAGGGTGAGATACATTGGATGAATGTTGAATGGGGAGTGTGTGCTAGTGATGCAGTGAATGATTGAGAGAGTGAGTGATTGAGTGATGCACAGAATGTTGTATAGATTGATGTCGTGCAGTGATGGCATGCATAGAGTGATGGCACGCAGTGATTGAGACATCGATGTGTTGAGTGAATGATGGAGTGTGTGGTTGATGGATTGAGTGATTGACTGAGTGACTGATGAAATGAGTGAGTGTGTGATTGATTGATTGGGAGATTGATTGATTGATTGATCGATTGAGTGAATGAGTGAGTGAGTGAGTGAGCGTGTGAGTGAGTAATTGTGTGTGTGTGTATGTGTGTGAATGCGTGACGCGTTTGGAGTCAGTGTTTATAGGAGTGTGATTGTAGTGAGTGATGGATAGTGTATGTTGAAGATGTGATTGGTGTGATTCGATTGTTTGTGTGTTGATTGGAATTGAGTGTGTTGTTGATGGAGTAGTTTAGTTGGTTAGTAGGCTAGTGGAGAATGTAGGATGGTTGTGTGTGAGTGTTGTTGTGTGTGAGCGTGTGAGCATGTGGGAATGTGGGAGTGAGTGTGTGAGTGTTTGATAAATTGATTGTATAAAAGATTGTAGGAGTGAGTGAGTGTGTGATTGAATGAGTGAATGATCGAGTTGTTGATTGTTCTATTGAAAATGTGGATATGTGTGAGATGTGTGGTGTTGTGTGTTGAGACGGAGTGAAATGAAAATGGGATACGTACCTGTTTGCATTGGTGTTGTCAGTGGTGTTTGTACTGGTGTTGTGAATGGTGTTTGCAGTGTGGTTGATTCTGGCGACTGGAATTCCGTAGTGGGTATTGTAGGTGTTGTGTCGATCGGTTGTGATGTGGATGTGGTTTGTTGATACTGAGTTGGTTGAGTGATGATATCAGTGGTTGGTGGAATGGATGTGGAATCGGAATGGAGACCTGTTGAGAAGGAGTGGTAGGAAATGTGAGAGTGAGTGTGTGGCATGTGGATGATGACATAGAATGAAGGCGATGAATTGAGAGTATTGTGAGGTGTGATGAGAGTGAGGTGGTTGTTAATTGAAGAGTGGTGGTTTGTAGAGAACTAGTGTGTGTTTGTGTGTGTGTGTTTGTGTGAGAGCGAGAAGGGTGAGATACATTGGATGAATGTTGAAGGAGGAGTGTGTGCTAGTGATGCAGTGAATGATTGAGAGAGTGAGTGATTGAGTGATGCACAGAATGTTGTATAGATTGATGTCGTGCAGTGATGGCATGCATAGAGTGATGGCACGCAGTGATTGAGACATCGATGTGTTGAGTGAATGATGGAGTGTGTGGTTGATGGATTGAGTGATTGACTGAGTGACTGATGAAATGAGTGAGTGTGTGATTGATTGATTGGGAGATTGATTGATTGAGTGATCGATTGAGTGAATGAGTGAGTGAGTGAGTGAGCGTGTGAGTGATTAATTGTGTGTGTGTATGTGTGTGAATGCGTGACGCGTTTGGAGTCAGTGTTTATAGGAGTGTGATTGTAGTGAGTGATGGATAGTGTATGTTGAAGATGTGATTGGTGTGATTCGATTGTTTGTGTGTTGATTGGAATTGAGTGTGTTGTTGATGGAGTAGTGTAGTTGGTTAGTAGGCTAGTGGAGAATGTAGGATGGTTGTGTGTGAGTGTTGTTGTGTGTGAGCGTGTGAGCATGTGGGAATGTGGGAGTGAGTGTGTGAGTGTTTGATAAATTGATTGTGTAAAAGATTGTAGGAGTGAGTGAGTGTGTGGTTGAATGAGTGAATGATCGAGTTGTTGATTGTTCGAGTGTAAATGTGGATATGTGTGAGATGTGTGGTGTTGTGTGTTGAGACGGAGTGAAATGAAAATGGGATACGTACCTGTTTGCATTGGTGTTGTCAGTGGTGTTTGTACTGGTGTTGTGAATGGTGTTTGCAGTGTGGTTGATTCTGGCGACTGGAATTCCGTAGTGGGTATTGTAGGTGTTGTGTCGATCGGTTGTGATGTGGATGTGGTTTGTTGATACTGAGTTGGTTGAGTGATGATCCCAGTGGTTGGTGGAATGGATGTGGAATCGGAATGGAGACCTGTTGAGAAGGAGTGGTAGGAAATGTGAGAGTGAGTGTGTGGCATGTGGATGATGACATAGAATGAAGGCGATGAATTGAGAGTATTGTGAGGTGTGATGAGAGTGAGGTGGTTGTTAATTGAAGAGTGGTGGTTTGTAGAGAACTAGTGTGTGTTTGTGTGTGTGTGTGTTTGTGTGAGAGCGAGAAGGGTGAGATACATTGGATGAATGTTGAAGGAGGATTGTGTGCTAGTGATGCAGTGAATGATTGAGAGAGTGAGTGATTGAGTGATGCACAGAATGTTGTATAGATTGATGTCGTGCAGTGATGGCATGCATAGAGTGATGGCACGCAGTGATTGAGACATCGATGTGTTGAGTGAATGATGGAGTGTGTGGTTGATGGATTGAGTGATTGACTGAGTGACTGATGAAATGAGTGAGTGTGTGATTGATTGATTGGGAGATTGATTGATTGATTGATCGATTGAGTGAATGAGTGAGTGAGTGAGTGAGCGTGTGAGTGAGTAATTGTGTGTGTGTGTATGTGTGTGAATGCGTGACGCGTTTGGAGTCAGTGTTTATAGGAGTGTGATTGTAGTGAGTGATGGATAGTGTATGTTGAAGATGTGATTGGTGTGATTCGATTGTTTGTGTGTTGATTGGAATTGAGTGTGTTGTTGATGGAGTAGTTTAGTTGGTTAGTAGGCTAGTGGAGAATGTAGGATGGTTGTGTGTGAGTGTTGTTGTGTGTGAGCGTGTGAGCATGTGGGAATGTGGGAGTGAGTGTGTGAGTGTTTGATAAATTGATTGTGTAAAAGATTGTAGGAGTGAGTGAGTGTGTGGTTGAATGAGTGAATGATCGAGTTGTTGATTGTTCGAGTGTAAATGTGGATATGTGTGAGATGTGTGGTGTTGTGTGTTGAGACGGAGTGAAATGAAAATGGGATACGTACCTGTTTGCATTGGTGTTGTCAGTGGTGTTTGTACTGGTGTTGTGAATGGTGTTTGCAGTGTGGTTGATTCTGGCGACTGGAATTCCGTAGTGGGTATTGTAGGTGTTGTGTCGATCGGTTGTGATGTGGATGTGGTTTGTTGATACTGAGTTGGTTGAGTGATGATATCAGTGGTTGGTGGAATGGATGTGGAATCGGAATGGACACCTGTTGAGAAGGAGTGGTAGGAAATGTGAGAGTGAGTGTGTGGCATGTGGATGATGACATAGAATGAAGGCGATGAATTGAGAGTATTGTGAGGTGTGATGAGAGTGAGGTGGTTGTTAATTGAAGAGTGGTGGTTTGTAGAGAACTAGTGTGTGTTTGTGTGTGTGTGTGTTTGTGTGAGAGCGAGAAGGGTGAGATACATTGGATGAATGTTGAAGGAGGAGTGTGTGCTAGTGATGCAGTGAATGATTGAGAGAGTGAGTGATTGAGTGATGCACAGAATGTTGTATAGATTGATGTCGTGCAGTGATGGCATGCATAGAGTGATGGCACGCAGTGATTGAGACATCGATGTGTTGAGTGAATGATGGAGTGTGTGGTTGATGGATTGAGTGATTGACTGAGTGACTGATGAAATGAGTGAGTGTGTGATTGATTGATTGAGTGAATGATTGATTGAGTGATCGATTGATTGAGTGATCGATTGTGTGAGTGAGTGAGCGTGTGAGTGAGTAATTGTGTGTGTGTGTATGTGTGTGAATGCGTGACGCGTTTGGAGTCAGTGTTTATAGGAGTGTGATTGTAGTGAGTGATGGATAGTGTATGTTGAAGATGTGATTGGTGTGATTCGATTGTTTGTGTGTTGATTGGAATTGAGTGTGTTGTTGATGGAGTAGTTTAGTTGGTTAGTAGGCTAGTGGAGAATGTAGGATGGTTGTGTGTGAGTGTTGTTGTGTGTGAGCGTGTGAGCATGTGGGAATGTGGGAGTGAGTGTGTGAGTGTTTGATAAATTGATTGTATAAAAGATTGTAGGAGTGAGTGAGTGTGTGATTGAATGAGTGAATGATCGAGTTGTTGATTGTTCGAGTGTAAATGTGGATATGTGTGAGATGTGTGGTGTTGTGTGTTGAGACGGAGTGAAATGAAAATGGGATACGTACCTGTTTGCATTGGTGTTGTCAGTGGTGTTTGTACTGGTGTTGTGAATGGTGTTTGCAGTGTGGTTGATTCTGGCGACTGGAATTCCGTAGTGGGTATTGTAGGTGTTGTGTCGATCGGTTGTGATGTGGATGTGGTTTGTTGATACTGAGTTGGTTGAGTGATGATATCAGTGGTTGGTGGAATGGATGTGGAATCGGAATGGAGACCTGTTGAGAAGGAGTGGTAGGAAATGTGAGAGTGAGTGTGTGGCATGTGGATGATGACATAGAATGAAGGCGATGAATTGAGAGTATTGTGAGGTGTGATGAGAGTGAGGTGGTTGTTAATTGAATAGTGGTGGTTTGTAGAGAACTAGTGTGTGTTTGTGTGTGTGTGTGTTTGTGTGAGAGCGAGAAGGGTGAGATACATTGGATGAATGTTGAAGGAGGATTGTGTGCTAGTGATGCAGTGAATGATTGAGAGAGTGAGTGATTGAGTGATGCACAGAATGTTGTAAAGATTGATGTCGTGCAGTGATGGCATGCATAGAGTGATGGCACGCAGTGATAGAGATATCGATGTGTTGAGTGAATGATGGAGTGTGTGATAGAATGTGTGATTGATTGATTGAGTGATTGCATGATTGAGTGATAGATTGAGTGAATGAGTGAGTGAGTGAGTGAGCGTGTGAGTGATTAATTGTGTGTGTGTGTATATGTGTGAATGCGTGACGCGTTTGGAGTCAGTGTTTATAGGAGTGTGATTGTAGTGAGTGATGGATAGTGTATGTTGAAAATGTGATTGGTGTGATTCGATTGTTTGTGTGTTGATTGGAATTGAGTGTGTTGTTGATGGAGTAGTTTAGTTGGTTAGTAGGCTAGTGGAGAATGTAGGATGGTTGTGTGTGAGTGTTGTTGTGTGTGAGCGTGTGAGCATGTGGGAATGTGGGAGTGAGTGTGTGAGTGTTTGATAAATTGATTGTGTAAAAGATTGTAGGAGTGAGTGAGTGTGTGATTGAATGAGTGAATGATCGAGTTGTTGATTGTTCTATTGAAAATGTGGATATGTGTGAGATGTGTGGTGTTGTGTGTTGAGACGGAGTGAAATGAAAATGGGATACGTACCTGTTTGCATTGGTGTTGTGAATGGTGTTTGCAGTGTGGTTGATTCTGGCGACTGGAATTCCGTAGTGGGTATTGTAGGTGTTGTGTCGATCGGTTGTGATGTGGATGTGGTTTGTTGATACTGAGTTGGTTGAGTGATGATATCAGTGGTTGGTGGAATGGATGTGGAATCGGAATGGACACCTGTTGAGAAGGAGTGGTAGGAAATGTGAGAGTGAGTGTGTGGCATGTGGATGATGACATAGAATGAAGGCGATGAATTGAGAGTATTGTGAGGTGTGATGAGAGTGAGGTGGTTGTTAATTGAAGAGTGGTGGTTTGTAGAGAACTAGTGTGTGTTTGTGTGTGTGTGTGTTTGTGTGAGAGCGAGAAGGGTGAGATACATTGGATGAATGTTGAAGGAGGAGTGTGTGCTAGTAATGCAGTGAATGATTGAGAGAGTGAGTGATTGAGTGATGCACAGAATGTTGTATAGATTGATGTCGTGCAGTGATGGCATGCATAGAGTGATGGCACGCAGTGATTGAGATATCGATGTGTTGAGTGAATGATGGAGTGTGTGGTTGATGGATTGAGTGATTGACTGAGTGATTGATGAAATGAGTGAGTGTGTGATTGATTGAGTGGGAGATTGATTGATTGAGTGATCGATTGAATGAATGAGGGAGTGAGTGAGTGAGCGTGTGAGTGAGTAATTGTGTGTGTGTATGTGTGTGAATGCGTGACGCGTTTGGAGTCAGTGTTTATAGGAGTGTGATTGTAGTGAGTGATGGATAGTGTATGTTGAAGATGTGATTGGTGTGATTCGATTGTTTGTGTGTTGATTGGAATTGAGTGTGTTGTTGATGGAGTAGTTTAGTTGGTTAGTAGGCTAGTGGAGAATGTAGGATGGTTGTGTGTGAGTGTTGTTGTGTGTGAGCGTGTGAGCATGTGGGAATGTGGGAGTGAGTGTGTGAGTGTTTGATAAATTGATTGTGTAAAAGATTGTAGGAGTGAGTGAGTGTGTGGTTGAATGATTGAATGATCGAGTTGTTGATTGTTCGAGTGTAAATGTGGATATGTGTGAGATGTGTGGTGTTGTGTGTTGAGACGGAGTGAAATGAAATGGGGTTTGCATTGGTGTTGTGAATGGTGTTTGCAGTGTGGTTGATTCTGGCGACTGGAATTCCAGTAGTGGGTATTGTAGGTGTTGTGTCGATCGGTTGTGATGTGGATGTGGTTTGTTGATACTGAGTTGGTTGAGTGATGATATCAGTGGTTGGTGGAATGGATGTGGAATCGGAATGGAGACCTGTTGAGAAGGAGTGGTAGGAAATGTGAGAGTGAGTGTGTGGCATGTGGATGATGACATAGAATGAAGGCGATGAATTGAGAGTATTGTGAGGTGTGATGAGAGTGAGGTGGTTGTTAATTGAAGAGTGGTGGTTTGTAGAGAACTAGTGTGTGTTTGTGTGTGTGTGTGTTTGTGTGAGAGCGAGAAGGGTGAGATACATTGGATGAATGTTGAATGGGGAGTGTGTGCTAGTGATGCAGTGAATGATTGAGAGAGTGAGTGATTGAGTGATGCACAGAATGTTGTATAGATTGATGTCGTGCAGTGATGGCATGCATAGAGTGATGGCACGCAGTGATTGAGACATCGATGTGTTGAGTGAATGATGGAGTGTGTGGTTGATGGATTGAGTGATTGACTGAGTGACTGATGAAATGAGTGAGTGTGTGATTGATTGATTGGGAGATTGATTGATTGATTGATCGATTGAGTGAGTGAGTGAGTGAGTGAGCGTGTGAGTGAGTAATTGTGTGTGTGTGTATGTGTGTGAATGCGTGACGCGTTTGGAGTCAGTGTTTATAGGAGTGTGATTGTAGTGAGTGATGGATAGTGTATGTTGAAGCTGTGAGTGGTGTGATTCGATTGTTTGTGTGTTGATTGGAATTGAGTGTGTTGTTGATGGAGTAGTTTAGTTGGTTAGTAGGCTAGTGGAGAATGTAGGATGGTTGTGTGTGAGTGTTGTTGTGTGTGAGCGTGTGAGCATGTGGGAATGTGGGAGTGAGTGTGTGAGTGTTTGATAAATTGATTGTGTAAAAGATTGTAGGAGTGAGTGAGTGTGTGGTTGAATGAGTGAATGATCGAGTTGTTGATTGTTCTATTGAAAATGTGGATATGTGTGAGATGTGTGGTGTTGTGTGTTGAGACGGAGTGAAATGAAAATGGGATACGTACCTGTTTGCATTGGTGTTGTCGGTGGTGTTTGTACTGGTGTTGTGAGTGGTGTTTGCAGTGTGGTTGATTCTGGCGACTGGAATTCCGTAGTGGGTATTGTAGGTGTTGTGTCGATCGGTTGTGATGTGGATGTGGTTTGTTGATACTGAGTTGGTTGAGTGATGATATCAGTGGTTGGTGGAATGGATGTGGAATCGGAATGGACACCTGTTGAGAAGGAGTGGTAGGAAATGTGAGAGTGAGTGTGTGGCATGTGGATGATGACATAGAATGAAGGCGATGAATTGAGAGTATTGTGAGGTGTGATGAGAGTGAGGTGGTTGTTAATTGAAGAGTGGTGGTTTGTAGAGAACTAGTGTGTGTATGTGTGTGTGTGTGTTTGTGTGAGAGCGAGAAGGGTGAGATACATTGGATGAATGTTGAATGGGGAGTGTGTGCTAGTGATGCAGTGAATGATTGAGAGAGTGAGTGATTGAGTGATGCACAGAATGTTGTATAGATTGATGTCGTGCAGTGATGGCATGCATAGAGTGATGGCACGCAGTGATTGAGACATCGATGTCTTGAGTGAATGATGGAGTGTGTGGTTGATGGATTGAGTGATTGACTGAGTGACTGATGAAATGAGTGAGTGTGTGATTGATTGAGTGGGAGATTGATTGAGTGAGTGAGTGAGTGAGTGAGTGAGTGAGCGTGTGAGTGAGTAATTGTGTGTGTGTATGTGTGTGAATGCGTGACGCGTTTGGAGTCAGTGTTTATAGGAGTGTGATTGTAGTGAGTGATGGATAGTGTATGATGAAGCTGTGAGTGGTGTGATTCGATTGTTTGTGTGTTGATTGGAATTGAGTGTGTTGTTGATGGAGTAGTTTAGTTGGTTAGTAGGCTAGTGGAGAATGTAGGATGGTTGTGTGTGAGTGTTGTTGTGTGTGAGCGTGTGAGCATGTGGGAATGTGGGAGTGAGTGTGTGAGTGTTTGATAAATTGATTGTGTAAAAGAATGTAGGAGTGATTGAGTGTGTGGTTGAATGAGTGAATGATCGAGTTGTTGATTGTTCGAGTGTAAATGTGGATATGTGTGAGATGTGTGGTGTTGTGTGTTGAGACGGAGTGAAATGAAAATGGGATACGTACCTGTTTGCATTGGTGTTGTCGGTGGTGTTTGTACTGGTGTTGTGAGTGGTGTTTGCAGTGTGGTTGATTCTGGCGACTGGAATTCCGTAGTGGGTATTGTAGGTGTTGTGTCGATCGGCTGTGATGTGGATGTGGTTTGTTGATACTGAGTTGGTTGAGTGATGATATCAGTGGTTGGTGGAATGGATGTGGAATCGGAATGGAGACCTGTTGAGAAGGAGTGGTAGGAAATGTGAGAGTGAGTGTGTGGCATGTGGATGATGACATAGAATGAAGGCGATGAATTGAGAGTATTGTGAGGTGTGATGAGAGTGAGGTGGTTGTTAATTGAAGAGTGGTGGTTTGTAGAGAACTAGTGTGTGTATGTGTGTGTGTGTGTTTGTGTGAGAGCGAGACGGGTGAGATACATTGGATGAATGTTGAATGGGGAGTGTGTGCTAGTGATGCAGTGAATGATTGAGAGAGTGAGTGATTGAGTGATGCACAGAATGTTGTATAGATTGATGCCGTGCAGTGATGGCATGCATAGAGTGATGGCACGCAGTGATTCAGACATCGATGTGTTGAGTGAATGATGGAGTGTGTGGTTGATGGATTGAGTGATTGACTGAGTGACTGATGAAATGAGTGAGTGTGTGATTGATTGATTGGGAGATTGAATGAATGAGGGAGTGAGTGAGTGAGCGTGTGAGTGAGTAATTGTGTGTGTGTATGTGTGTGAATGCGTGACGCGTTTGGAGTCAGTGTTTATAGGAGTGTGATTGTAGTGAGTGATGGATAGTGTATGTTGAAGCTGTGAGTGGTGTGATTCGATTGTTTGTGTGTTGATTGGAATTGAGTGTGTTGTTGATGGAGTAGTTTAGTTGGTTAGTAGGCTAGTGGAGAATGTAGGATGGTTGTGTGTGAGTGTTGTTGTGTGTGAGCGTGTGAGCATGTGGGAATGTGGGAGTGAGTGTGTGAGTGTTTGATAAATTGATTGTGTAAAAGAATGTAGGAGTGATTGAGTGTGTGGTTGAATGAGTGAATGATCGAGTTGTTGATTGTTCGAGTGTAAATGTGGATATGTGTGAGATGTGTGGTGTTGTGTGTTGAGACGGAGTGAAATGAAAATGGGATACGTACCTGTTTGCATTGGTGTTGTCGGTGGTGTTTGTACTGGTGTTGTGAGTGGTGTTTGCAGTGTGGTTGATTCTGGCGACTGGAATTCCGTAGTGGGTATTGTAGGTGTTGTGTCGATCGGTTGTGATGTGGATGTGGTTTGTTGATACTGAGTTGGTTGAGTGATGATATCAGTGGTTGGTGGAATGGATGTGGAATCGGAATGGAGACCTGTTGAGAAGGAGTGGTAGGAAATGTGAGAGTGAGTGTGTGGCATGTGGATGATGACATAGAATGAAGGCGATGAATTGAGAGTATTGTGAGGTGTGATGAGAGTGAGGTGGTTGTTAATTGAAGAGTGGTGGTTTGTAGAGAACTAGTGTGTGTATGTGTGTGTGTGTGTTTGTGTGAGAGCGAGACGGGTGAGATACATTGGATGAATGTTGAATGGGGAGTGTGTGCTAGTGATGCAGTGAATGATTGAGAGAGTGAGTGATTGAGTGATGCACAGAATGTTGTATAGATTGATGTCGTGCAGTGATGGCATGCATAGAGTGATGGCACGCAGTGATTGAGACATCGATGTGTTGAGTGAATGATGGAGTGTGTGGTTGATGGATTGAGTGATTGACTGAGTGACTGATGAAATGAGTGAGTGTGTGATTGATTGATTGGGAGATTGAATGAATGAGGGAGTGAGTGAGTGAGCGTGTGAGTGAGTAATTGTGTGTGTGTATGTGTGTGAATGCGTGACGCGTTTGGAGTCAGTGTTTATAGGAGTGTGATTGTAGTGAGTGATGGATAGTGTATGTTGAAGCTGTGAGTGGTGTGATTCGATTGTTTGTGTGTTGATTGGAATTGAGTGTGTTGTTGATGGAGTAGTTTAGTTGGTTAGTAGGCTAGTGGAGAATGTAGGATGGTTGTGTGTGAGTGTTGTTGTGTGTGAGCGTGTGAGCATGTGGGAATGTGGGAGTGAGTGTGTGAGTGTTTGATAAATTGATTGTGTAAAAGAATGTAGGAGTGATTGAGTGTGTGGTTGAATGAGTGAATGATCGAGTTGTTGATTGTTCTATTGAAAATGTGGATATGTGTGAGATGTGTGGTGTTGTGTGTTGAGACGGAGTGAAATGAAAATGGGATACGTACCTGTTTGCATTGGTGTTGTCGGTGGTGTTTGTACTGGTGTTGTGAGTGGTGTTTGCAGTGTGGTTGATTCTGGCGACTGGAATTCCGTAGTGGGTATTGTAGGTGTTGTGTCGATCGGTTGTGATGTGGATGTGGTTTGTTGATACTGAGTTGGTTGAGTGATGATATCAGTGGTTGGTGGAATGGATGTGGAATCGGAATGGAGACCTGTTGAGAAGGAGTGGTAGGAAATGAGAGAGTGAGGTGTGGCATGTGGATGATGACATAGAATGAAGGCGATGAATTGAGAGTATTGTGAGGTGTGATGAGAGTGAGGTGGTTGTTAATTGAAGAGTGGTGGTTTGGAGAGAACTAGTGTGTGTATGTGTGTGTGTGTGTTTGTGTGAGAGCGAGAAGGGTGAGATACATTGGATGAACGTTGAAGGAGGAGTGTGTGCTAGTGATGCAGTGAATGATTGAGAGAGTGAGTGATTGAGTGATGCACAGAATGTTGTATAGATTGATGTCGTGCAGTGATGGCATGCATAGAGTGATGGCACGCAGTGATTGAGACATCGATGTGTTGAGTGAATGATGGAGTGTGTGGTTGATGGATTGAGTGATTGACTGAGTGACTGATGAGATGAGTGAGTGTGTGAATGATTGATTGGGAGATTGATTGATTGAGTGATCGATTTAATGAATGAGGGAGTGAGTGAGTGAGTGAGCGTGTGAGTGAGTAATTATGTGTGTGTATGTGTGTGAATGCGTGACGCGTTTGGAGTCAGTGTTTATAGGAGTGTGATTGTAGTGAGTGATGGATAGTGTATGTTGAAGCTGTGAGTGGTGTGATTCGATTGTTTGTGTGTTGATTGGAATTGAGTGTGTTGTTGATGGAGTAGTTTAGTTGGTTAGTAGGCTAGTGGAGAATGTAGGATGGTTGTGTGTGAGTGTTGTTGTGTGTGAGCGTGTGAGCATGTGGGAATGTGGGAGTGAGTGTGTGAGTGTTTGATAAATTGATTGTGTAAAAGAATGTAGGAGTGATTGAGTGTGTGGTTGAATGAGTGAATGATCGAGTTGTTGATTGTTCTATTGAAAATGTGGATATGTGTGAGATGTGTGGTGTTGTGTGTTGAGACGGAGTGAAATGAAAATGGGATACGTACCTGTTTGCATTGGTGTTGTCGGTGGTGTTTGTACTGGTGTTGTGAGTGGTGTTTGCAGTGTGGTTGATTCTGGCGACTGGAATTCCGTAGTGGGTATTGTAGGTGTTGTGTCGATCGGTTGTGATGTGGATGTGGTTTGTTGATACTGAGTTGGTTGAGTGATGATATCAGTGGTTGGTGGAATGGATGTGGAATCGGAATGGAGACCTGTTGAGAAGGAGTGGTAGGAAATGTGAGAGTGAGGTGTGGCATGTGGATGATGACATAGAATGAAGGCGATGAATTGAGAGTATTGTGAGGTGTGATGAGAGTGAGGTGGTTGTTAATTGAAGAGTGGTGGTTTGGAGAGAACTAGTGTGTGTATGTGTGTGTGTGTGTTTGTGTGAGAGCGAGAAGGGTGAGATACATTGGATGAATGTTGAATGGGGAGTGTGTGCTAGTGATGCAGTGAATGATTGAGAGAGTGAGTGATTGAGTGATGCACAGAATGTTGTATAGATTGATGTCGTGCAGTGATGGCATGCATAGAGTGATGGCACGCAGTGATTGAGACATCGATGTCTTGAGTGAATGATGGAGTGTGTGGTTGATGGATTGAGTGATTGACTGAGTGACTGATGAAATGAGTGAGTGTGTGATTGATTGATTGGGAGATTGATTGAGTGAGTGAGTGAGTGAGTGAGCGTGTGAGTGAGTAATTGTGTGTGTGTATGTGTGTGAATGCGTGACGCGTTTGGAGTCAGTGTTTATAGGAGTGTGATTGTAGTGAGTGATGGATAGTGTATGTTGAAGCTGTGAGTGGTGTGATTCGATTGTTTGTGTGTTGATTGGAATTGAGTGTGTTGTTGATGGAGTAGTTTAGTTGGTTAGTAGGCTAGTGGAGAATGTAGGATGGTTGTGTGTGAGTGTTGTTGTGTGTGAGCGTGTGAGCATGTGGGAATGTGGGAGTGAGTGTGTGAGTGTTTGATAAATTGATTGTGTAAAAGAATGTAGGAGTGATTGAGTGTGTGGTTGAATGAGTGAATGATCGAGTTGTTGATTGTTCTATTGAAAATGTGGATATGTGTGAGATGTGTGGTGTTGTGTGTTGAGACGGAGTGAAATGAAAATGGGATACGTACCTGTTTGCATTGGTGTTGTCGGTGGTGTTTGTACTGGTGTTGTGAGTGGTGTTTGCAGTGTGGTTGATTCTGGCGACTGGAATTCCGTAGTGGGTATTGTAGGTGTTGTGTCGATCGGTTGTGATGTGGATGTGGTTTGTTGATACTGAGTTGGTTGAGTGATGATATCAGTGGTTGGTGGAATGGATGTGGAATCGGAATGGAGACCTGTTGAGAAGGAGTGGTAGGAAATGTGAGAGTGAGGTGTGGCATGTGGATGATGACATAGAATGAAGGCGATGAATTGAGAGTATTGTGAGGTGTGATGAGAGTGAGGTGGTTGTTAATTGAAGAGTGGTGGTTTGGAGAGAACTAGTGTGTGTATGTGTGTGTGTGTGTTTGTGTGAGAGCGAGAAGGGTGAGATACATTGGATGAATGTTGAATGGGGAGTGTGTGCTAGTGATGCAGTGAATGATTGAGAGAGTGAGTGATTGAGTGATGCACAGAATGTTGTATAGATTGATGTCGTGCAGTGATGGCATGCATAGAGTGATGGCACGCAGTGATTGAGATATGGATGTGTTGAGTGAATGATGGAGTGTGTGGTTGATGGATTGAGTGATTGACTGAGTGACTGATGAAATGAGTGAGTGTGTGATTGATTGATTGGGAGATTGATTGAGTGAGTGAGGGAGTGAGTGAGCGTGTGAGTGAGTAATTGTGTGTGTGTATGTGTGTGAATGCGTGACGCGTTTGGAGTCAGTGTTTATAGGAGTGTGATTGTAGTGAGTGATGGATAGTGTATGTTGAAGCTGTGAGTGGTGTGATTCGATTGTTTGTGTGTTGATTGGAATTGAGTGTGTTGTTGATGGAGTAGTTTAGTTGGTTAGTAGGCTAGTGGAGAATGTAGGATGGTTGTGTGTGAGTGTTGTTGTGTGTGAGCGTGTGAGCATGTGGGAATGTGGGAGTGAGTGTGTGAGTGTTTGATAAATTGATTGTGTAAAAGAATGTAGGAGTGATTGAGTGTGTGGTTGAATGAGTGAATGATCGAGTTGTTGATTGTTCTATTGAAAATGTGGATATGTGTGAGATGTGTGGTGTTGTGTGTTGAGACGGAGTGAAATGAAAATGGGATACGTACCTGTTTGCATTGGTGTTGTCGGTGGTGTTTGTACTGGTGTTGTGAGTGGTGTTTGCAGTGTGGTTGATTCTGGCGACTGGAATTCCGTAGTGGGTATTGTAGGTGTTGTGTCGATCGGTTGTGATGTGGATGTGGTTTGTTGATACTGAGTTGGTTGAGTGATGATATCAGTGGTTGGTGGAATGGATGTGGAATCGGAATGGAGACCTGTTGAGAAGGAGTGGTAGGAAATGTGAGAGTGAGTGTGTGGCATGTGGATGATGACATAGAATGAAGGCGATGAATTGAGAGTATTGTGAGGTGTGATGAGAGTGAGGTGGTTGTTAATTGAAGAGTGGTGGTTTGTAGAGAACTAGTGTGTGTATGTGTGTGTGTGTGTTTGTGTGAGAGCGAGACGGGTGAGATACATTGGATGAATGTTGAATGGGGAGTGTGTGCTAGTGATGCAGTGAATGATTGAGAGAGTGAGTGATTGAGTGATGCACAGAATGTTGTATAGATTGATGTCGTGCAGTGATGGCATGCATAGAGTGATGGCACGCAGTGATTGAGATATGGATGTGTTGAGTGAATGATGGAGTGTGTGGTTGATGGATTGAGTGATTGACTGAGTGACTGATGAAATGAGTGAGTGTGTGATTGATTGATTGGGAGATTGATTGAGTGAGTGAGGGAGTGAGTGAGCGTGTGAGTGAGTAATTGTGTGTGTGTATGTGTGTGAATGCGTGACGCGTTTGGAGTCAGTGTTTATAGGAGTGTGATTGTAGTGAGTGATGGATAGTGTATGTTGAAGCTGTGAGTGGTGTGATTCGATTGTTTGTGTGTTGATTGGAATTGAGTGTGTTGTTGATGGAGTAGTTTAGTTGGTTAGTAGGCTAGTGGAGAATGTAGGATGGTTGTGTGTGAGTGTTGTTGTGTGTGAGCGTGTGAGCATGTGGGAATGTGGGAGTGAGTGTGTGAGTGTTTGATAAATTGATTGTGTAAAAGAATGTAGGAGTGATTGAGTGTGTGGTTGAATGAGTGAATGATCGAGTTGTTGATTGTTCTATTGAAAATGTGGATATGTGTGAGATGTGTGGTGTTGTGTGTTGAGACGGAGTGAAATGAAAATGGGATACGTACCTGTTTGCATTGGTGTTGTCGGTGGTGTTTGTACTGGTGTTGTGAGTGGTGTTTGCAGTGTGGTTGATTCTGGCGACTGGAATTCCGTAGTGGGTATTGTAGGTGTTGTGTCGATCGGTTGTGATGTGGATGTGGTTTGTTGATACTGAGTTGGTTGAGTGATGATATCAGTGGTTGGTGGAATGGATGTGGAATCGGAATGGAGACCTGTTGAGAAGGAGTGGTAGGAAATGTGAGAGTGAGGTGTGGCATGTGGATGATGACATAGAATGAAGGCGATGAATTGAGAGTATTGTGAGGTGTGATGAGAGTGAGGTGGTTGTTAATTGAAGAGTGGTGGTTTGGAGAGAACTAGTGTGTGTATGTGTGTGTGTGTGTTTGTGTGAGAGCGAGAAGGGTGAGATACATTGGATGAATGTTGAATGGGGAGTGTGTGCTAGTGATGCAGTGAATGATTGAGAGAGTGAGTGATTGAGTGATGCACAGAATGTTGTATAGATTGATGTCGTGCAGTGATGGCATGCATAGAGTGATGGCACGCAGTGATTGAGACATCGATGTGTTGAGTGAATGATGGAGTGTGTGGTTGATGGATTGAGTGATTGACTGAGTGACTGATGAAATGAGTGAGTGTGTGATTGATTGATTGGGAGATTGATTGAGTGAGTGAGTGAGTGAGTGAGTGAGCGTGTGAGTGAGTAATTGTGTGTGTGTATGTGTGTGAATGCGTGACGCTTTTGGAGTCTGTGTTTATAGGAGTGTGATTGTAGTGAGTGATGGATAGTGTATGTTGAAGCTGTGAGTGGTGTGATTCGATTGTTTGTGTGTTGATTGGAATTGAGTGTGTTGTTGATGGAGTAGTTTAGTTGGTTAGTAGGCTAGTGGAGAATGTAGGATGGTTGTGTGTGAGTGTTGTTGTGTGTGAGCGTGTGAGCATGTGGGAATGTGGGAGTGAGTGTGTGAGTGTTTGATAAATTGATTGTGTAAAAGAATGTAGGAGTGATTGAGTGTGTGGTTGAATGAGTGAATGATCGAGTTGTTGATTGTTCTATTGAAAATGTGGATATGTGTGAGATGTGTGGTGTTGTGTGTTGAGACGGAGTGAAATGAAAATGGGATACGTACCTGTTTGCATTGGTGTTGTCGGTGGTGTTTGTACTGGTGTTGTGAGTGGTGTTTGCAGTGTGGTTGATTCTGGCGACTGGAATTCCGTAGTGGGTATTGTAGGTGTTGTGTCGATCGGTTGTGATGTGGATGTGGTTTGTTGATACTGAGTTGGTTGAGTGATGATATCAGTGGTTGGTGGAATGGATGTGGAATCGGAATGGAGACCTGTTGAGAAGGAGTGGTAGGAAATGTGAGAGTGAGTGTGTGGCATGTGGATGATGACATAGAATGAAGGCGATGAATTGAGAGTATTGTGAGGTGTGATGAGAGTGAGGTGGTTGTTAATTGAAGAGTGGTGGTTTGTAGAGAACTAGTGTGTGTATGTGTGTGTGTGTGTTTGTGTGAGAGCGAGAAGGGTGAGATACATTGGATGAATGTTGAAGGAGGAGTGTTTGCTAGTGATGCAGTGAATGATTGAGAGAGTGAGTGATTGAGTGATGCACAGAATGTTGTATAGATTGATGTCGTGCAGTGATGGCATGCATAGAGTGATGGCACGCAGTGATTGAGACATCGATGTGTTGAGTGAATGATGGAGTGTGTGGTTGATGGATTGAGTGATCGATTGAGTGAGTGAGTGAGTGAGTGAGCGTGTGAGTGAGTAATTATGTGTGTGTATGTGTGTGAATGCGTGACGCGTTTGGAGTCAGTGTTTATAGGAGTGTGATTGTAGTGAGTGATGGATAGTGTATGTTGAAGCTGTGATTGGTGTGATTCGATTGTTTGTGTGTTGATTGGAATTGAGTGTGTTGTTGATGGAGTAGTTTAGTTGGTTAGTAGGCTAGTGGAGAATGTAGAATGATTGTGTGTGTGAGTGTTGTTGTGTGTGAGCGTGTGAGCATGTGGGAATGTGGGAGTGAGTGTGTGAGTGTTTGATAAATTGATTGTGTAAAAGAATGTAGGAGTGATTGAGTGTGTGGTTGAATGAGTGAATGATCGAGTTGTTGATTGTTCTATTGAAAATGTGGATATGTGTGAGATGTGTGGTGTTGTGTGTTGAGACGGAGTGAAATGAAAATGGGATACGTACCTGTTTGCATTGGTGTTGTCGGTGGTGTTTGTACTGGTGTTGTGAGTGGTGTTTGCAGTGTGGTTGATTCTGGCGACTGGAATTCCGTAGTGGGTATTGTAGGTGTTGTGTCGATCGGTTGTGATGTGGATGTGGTTTGTTGATACTGAGTTGGTTGAGTGATGATATCAGTGGTTGGTGGAATGGATGTGGAATCGGAATGGAGACCTGTTGAGAAGGAGTGGTAGGAAATGTGAGAGTGAGTGTGTGGCATGTGGATGATGACATAGAATGAAGGCGATGAATTGAGAGTATTGTGAGGTGTGATGAGAGTGAGGTGGTTGTTAATTGAAGAGTGGTGGTTTGGAGAGAACTAGTGTGTGTATGTGTGTGTGTGTGTTTGTGTGAGAGCGAGAAGGGTGAGATACATTGGATGAATGTTGAATGGGGAGTGTGTGCTAGTGATGCAGTGAATGATTGAGAGAGTGAGTGATTGAGTGATGCACAGAATGTTGTATAGATTGATGTCGTGCAGTGATGGCATGCATAGAGTGATGGCACGCAGTGATTGAGACATCGATGTGTTGAGTGAATGATGGAGTGTGTGGTTGATGGATTGTGTGATCGATTGTGTGAGTGAGTGAGTGAGTGAGCGTGTGAGTGAGTAATTATGTGTGTGTATGTGTGTGAATGCGTGACGCGTTTGGAGTCAGTGTTTATAGGAGTGTGATTGTAGTGAGTGATGGATAGTGTATGTTGAAGCTGTGAGTGGTGTGATTCGATTGTTTGTGTGTTGATTGGAATTGAGTGTGTTGTTGATGGAGTAGTTTAGTTGGTTAGTAGGCTAGTGGAGAATGTAGGATGATTGTGTGTGTGAGAGTTGTTGTGTGTGAGCGTGTGAGCATGTGGGAATGTGGGAGTGAGTGTGTGAGTGTTTGATAAATTGATTGTGTAAAAGAATGTAGGAGTGATTGAGTGTGTGGTTGAATGAGTGAATGATCGAGTTGTTGATTGTTCTATTGAAAATGTGGATATGTGTGAGATGTGTGGTGTTGTGTGTTGAGACGGAGTGAAATGAAAATGGGATACGTACCTGTTTGCATTGGTGTTGTCAGTGGTGTTTGTACTGGTGTTGTGAGTGGTGTTTGCAGTGTGGTTGATTCTGGCGACTGGAATTCCGTAGTGGGTATTGTAGGTGTTGTGTCGATCGGTTGTGATGTGGATGTGGTTTGTTGATACTGAGTTGGTTGAGTGATGATATCAGTGGTTGGTGGAATGGATGTGGAATCGGAATGGAGACCTGTTGAGAAGGAGTGGTAGGAAATGTGAGAGTGAGTGTGTGGCATGTGGATGATGACATAGAATGAAGGCGATGAATTGAGAGTATTGTGAGGTGTGATGAGAGTGAGGTGGTTGTTAATTGAAGAGTGGTGGTTTGGAGAGAACTAGTGTGTGTATGTGTGTGTGTGTGTTTGTGTGAGAGCGAGAAGGGTGAGATACATTGGATGAATGTTGAATGGGGAGTGTGTGCTAGTGATGCAGTGAATGATTGAGAGAGTGAGTGATTGAGTGATGCACAGAATGTTGTATAGATTGATGTCGTGCAGTGATGGCATGCATAGAGTGATGGCACGCAGTGATTCAGACATCGATGTGTTGAGTGAATGATGGAGTGTGTGGTTGATGGATTGAGTGATTGACTGAGTGACTGATGAAATGAGTGATTGCATGATTGATTTATCGATTGAGTGAATGAGGGAGTGAGTGAGTGAGCGTGTGAGTGAGTAATTGTGTGTGTTTATGTGTGTGAATGCTTGACGCGTTTGGAGTCAGTGTTTATAGGAGTGTGATTGTAGTGAGTGATGGATAGTGTATGTTGAAGCTGTGAGTGGTGTGATTCGATTGTTTGTGTGTTGATTGGAATTGAGTGTGTTGTTGATGGAGTAGTTTAGTTGGTTAGTAGGCTAGTGGAGAATGTAGGATGGTTGTGTGTGAGTGTTGTTGTGTGTGAGCGTGTGAGCATGTGGGAATGTGGGAGTGAGTGTGTGAGTGTTTGATAAATTGATTGTGTAAAAGAATGTAGGAGTGATTGAGTGTGTGGTTGAATGAGTGAATGATCGAGTTGTTGATTGTTCTATTGAAAATGTGGATATGTGTGAGATGTGTGGTGTTGTGTGTTGAGACGGAGTGAAATGAAAATGGGATACGTACCTGTTTGCATTGGTGTTGTCGGTGGTGTTTGTACTGGTGTTGTGAGTGGTGTTTGCAGTGTGGTTGATTCTGGCGACTGGAATTCCGTAGTGGGTATTGTAGGTGTTGTGTCGATCGGTTGTGATGTGGATGTGGTTTGTTGATACTGAGTTGGTTGAGTGATGATATCAGTGGTTGGTGGAATGGATGTGGAATCGGAATGGACACCTGTTGAGAAGGAGTGGTAGGAAATGTGAGAGTGAGTGTGTGGCATGTGGATGATGACATAGAATGAAGGCGATGAATTGAGAGTATTGTGAGGTGTGATGAGAGTGAGGTGGTTGTTAATTGAAGAGTGGTGGTTTGTAGAGAACTAGTGTGTGTATGTGTGTGTGTGTTTGTGTGAGAGCGAGAAGGGTGAGATACATTGGATGAATGTTGAAGGAGGAGTGTGTGCTAGTGATGCAGTGAATGATTGAGAGAGTGAGTGATTGAGTGATGCACAGAATGTTGTATAGATTGATGTCGTGCAGTGATGGCATGCATAGAGTGATGGCACGCAGTGATTGAGACATCGATGTGTTGAGTGAATGATGGAGTGTGTGGTTGATGGATTGAGTGATTGACTGAGTGACTGATGAAATGAGTGAGTGTGTGATTGATTGTTTGAGTGATCGATTGAGTGAGTGAGTGAGTGAGTGAGCGTGTGAGTGAGTAATTATGTGTGTGTATGTGTGTGAATGCGTGACGCGTTTGGAGTCAGTGTTTATAGGAGTGTGATTGTAGTGAGTGATGGATAGTGTATGATGAAGCTGTGATTGGTGTGATTCGATTGTTTGTGTGTTGATTGGAATTGAGTGTGTTGTTGATGGAGTAGTGTAGTTGGTTATTAGGCTAGTGGAGAATGTAGGATGGTTGTGTGTGAGTGTTGTTGTGTGTGAGCGTGTGAGCATGTGGGAATGTGGGAGTGAGTGTGTGAGTGTTTGATAAATTGATTGTGTAAAAGAATGTAGGAGTGATTGAGTGTGTGGTTGAATGAGTGAATGATCGAGTTGTTGATTGTTCTATTGAAAATGTGGATATGTGTGAGATGTGTGGTGTTGTGTGTTGAGACGGAGTGAAATGAAAATGGGATACGTACCTGTTTGCATTGGTGTTGTCGGTGGTGTTTGTACTGGTGTTGTGAGTGGTGTTTGCAGTGTGGTTGATTCTGGCGACTGGAATTCCGTAGTGGGTATTGTAGGTGTTGTGTCGATCGGTTGTGATGTGGATGTGGTTTGTTGATACTGAGTTGGTTGAGTGATGATATCAGTGGTTGGTGGAATGGATGTGGAATCGGAATGGACACCTGTTGAGAAGGAGTGGTAGGAAATGTGAGAGTGAGTGTGTGGCATGTGGATGATGACATAGAATGAAGGCGATGAATTGAGAGTATTGTGAGGTGTGATGAGAGTGAGGTGGTTGTTAATTGAAGAGTGGTGGTTTGTAGAGAACTAGTGTGTGTATGTGTGTGTGTGTGTGTTTGTGTGAGAGCGAGAAGGGTGAGATACATTGGATGAATGTTGAAGGAGGAGTGTGTGCTAGTGATGCAGTGAATGATTGAGAGAGTGAGTGATTGAGTGATGCACAGAATGTTGTATAGATTGATGTCGTGCAGTGATGGCATGCATAGAGTGATGGCACGCAGTGATCGAGACATCGATGTGTTGAGTGAATGATGGAGTGTGTAGTTGATGGATTGAGTGATTGAATGAGTGACTGATGAAATGAGTGAGTGTGTGATTGATTGATTGAGTGATCGATTGAGTGAGTGAGTGAGCGTGTGAGTGAGTAATTATGTGTGTGTATGTGTGTGAATGCGTGACGCGTTTGGAGTCAGTGTTTATAGGAGTGTGATTGTAGTGAGTGATGGATAGTGTATGTTGAAGCTGTGAGTGGTGTGATTCGATTGTTTGTGTGTTGATTGGAATTGAGTGTGTTGTTGATGGAGTAGTTTAGTTGGTTAGTGTTATATCGTATGCGCCCGTAATTTGTATGAACGTGCGATGAGAGAGGAGTGAATTTATTGATCGGCCGCAAATGATGATTGAAATCGTACGAGCAGTCTTGATTGCGTATCGGCCCTGCTATCTGCCTAGCCCAGCCAGTTGAGTCCAGAACACAAATAACAGCCTCAGTAGTATGAATCATTATTTACAAGCATACTGGCTTTTTATACAAACCAAAGTAATCAATAAACTGATTATAACTCAAGAATCGTATGATCATAAATCAAAGATCAAAATAATAGAAAACACGAATATGAATAATTTAGTTACGTAACAACTGTGCAATAAGAAATAGTCATAATACATTGGTCGATAAATAGTCCTTAGAGTTATCATTCATAATTCACCAGGGGATATAACACCTCCCCTTTTTGAGAAATCCGGAGTTGACATCCGGATTTTTAATTTCTCGAATTCATCCTCCCCCACGATATACTGTTGGATCCTCATGTACCCAAGTTACCATTATTGTGACATTATTTAAAACATATTCGTCGTATTTAACAGAGAATCCGCCAGAACTGATTAGATCGTGAGGATCGACGACATTCGATTTGAGGTCACCAGCGTCTGATTCTTCTGAAACAGTTTCCTTGAATTTACTCGGAACCTCATTAGTAGATAATGAATCATTAGGATAATCAGCATCTATGAAAGTTGTATTGGATTCTTGATTATCATATAATGCATCCGATATTTTTCCCCCATTTTTATAAGAGATTTGAACAGGAACATATGAATCAGCAAAATAATCGGGATCTGGCAGAACAATTAGATAACCTTGATCATTAGATTCATTAGAAAAACTTTTTGCATCATGACTGGTTTGATTTGGCACCACTGTATTCACTATACTGTTTGGTTTGTTCCCCGTTTCTTCGTGGGCGGGTACTGCAGCAATTTTATGGGCGCTTAATAAGATATTGTCTTTCTGTGAACTGGACGATTCATTGTTCGCACGTTTTGTTTCAGGGATAGTAGGACTTGAGCCACGTATAGGGCATGCCTCTGAAACAGACAATACTGGACTACTGGGCTGATCATGTGTGACTGCTAGTGTTTCGCTTAAATTACTGCTTTTCACGGATTCATAGAGGCTTTCACTGGCATATTCATTTGTTCTGCAATCGATTTCCAGCTCTGTACGCAATTTTGAAATTAATGCGTCAACTTCCGTTGCACCCCCAAAGCATGGGTGATTCAGCAGCTTTGCATGTAGCTTGTCAATGAATTCCAATTGACTCTTCCTAAAGCGCTGCTCTTGTCGCTGGATTAGCAACTGAAATTGATCGGAAGTTAGAGCCATTTTTTTTTTACCCCGTCGCCAGTTGTTATATCGTATGCCCTCTTAATACATAAACGTTCAATGATACATAAAATCGTATGGGACTCTTAATATATATGGACGTGCAATTGGAGAGGTAGTGGATTTACTGATCGGATGCAAATGATACTTGAAATACGTACGAACAGTATTGGGTGCTTTCCGGTCTTGCGATCTGCCTAGCCCAGCCCGTTAAGTGCAGAACACAAATAACAGCCTCGGAAATATGAATCATTATTTACAAGCATACTGGGTTTTTATACAAACCAAAGTAATCAATAAACTGATTATAACTCAAGAATCGTATGATCATAAATCAAAGATCAAAATAATAGAAAACACGAATATGAATAATTTAGTTACGTAACAACTGTGCAATAAGAAATAGTCATAATACATTGGTCGATAAATAGTCCTTAGAGTTATCATTCATAATTCACCAGGGGATATAACAGTTAGTAGGCTAGTGGAGAATGTAGGATGGTTGTGTGTGAGTGTTGTTGTGTGTGAGCGTGTGAGCATGTGGGAATGTAGGGAGTGAGTGTGTGAGTGTTTGATAAATTGATTGTGTAAAAGAATGTAGGAGTGATTGAGTGTGTGGTTGAATGAGTGAATGATCGAGTTGTTGATTGTTCTATTGAAAATGTGGATATGTGTGAGATGTGTGGTGTTGTGTGTTGAGACGGAGTGAAATGAAAATGGGATACGTACCTGTTTGCATTGGTGTTGTCAGTGGTGTTTGTACTGGTGTTGTGAGTGGTGTTTGCAGTGTGGTTGATTCTGGCGACTGGAATTCCGTAGTGGGTATTGTAGGTGTTGTGTCGATCGGTTGTGATGTGGATGTGGTTTGTTGATACTGAGTTGGTTGAGTGATGATATCAGTGGTTGGTGGAATGGATGTGGAATCGGAATGGACACCTGTTGAGAAGGAGTGGTAGGAAATGTGAGAGTGAGTGTGTGGCATGTGGATGATGACATAGAATGAAGGCGATGAATTGAGAGTATTGTGAGGTGTGATGAGAGTGAGGTGGTTGTTAATTGAAGAGTGGTGGTTTGTAGAGAACTAGTGTGTGTTTGTGTGTGTGTGTGTTTGTGTGAGAGCGAGAAGGGTGAGATACATTGGATGAATGTTGAAGGAGGAGTGTGTGCTAGTGATGCAGTGAATGATTGAGAGAGTGAGTGATTGAGTGATGCACAGAATGTTGTATAGATTGATGTCGTGCAGTGATGGCATGCATAGAGTGATGGCACGCAGTGATTGAGACATCGATGTGTTGAGTGAATGATGGAGTGTGTGGTTGATGGATTGAGTGATTGACTGAGTGACTGATGAAATAAGTGAGTGTGTGATTGATTGAGTGATTGATTGATTGAGTGATCGATTGAGTGAATGAGGGAGTGAGTGAGTGAGCGTGTGAGTGAGTAATTGTGTGTGTGTGTATGTGTGTGAATGCGTGACGCGTTTGGAGTCAGTGTTTATAGGAGTGTGATTGTAGTGAGTGATGGATAGTGTATGTTGAAGCTGTGATTGGTGTGATTCGATTGTTTGTGTGTTGATTGGAATTGAGTGTGTTGTTGATGGAGTAGTTTAGTTGGTTAGTAGGCTAGTGGAGAATGTAGGATGGTTGTGTGTGAGTGTTGTTGTGTGTGAGCGTGTGAGCATGTGGGAATGTGGGAGTGAGTGTGTGAGTGTTTGATAAATTGATTGTGTAAAAGAATGTAGGAGTGATTGAGTGTGTGGTTGAATGAGTGAATGATCGAGTTGTTGATTGTTCTATTGAAAATGTGGATATGTGTGAGATGTGTGGTGTTGTGTGTTGAGACGGAGTGAAATGAAAATGGGATACGTACCTGTTTGCATTGGTGTTGTCGGTGGTGTTTGTACTGGTGTTGTGAATGGTGTTTGCAGTGTGGTTGATTCTGGCGACTGGAATTCCGTAGTGGGTATTGTAGGTGTTGTGTCGATCGGTTGTGATGTGGATGTGGTTTGTTGATACTGAGTTGGTTGAGTGATGATATCAGTGGTTGGTGGAATGGATGTGGAATCGGAATGGAGACCTGTTGAGAAGGAGTGGTAGGAAATGTGAGAGTGAGTGTGTGGCATGTGGATGATGACATAGAATGAAGGCGATGAATTGAGAGTATTGTGAGGTGTGATGAGAGTGAGGTGGTTGTTAATTGAAGAGTGGTGGTTTGTAGAGAACTAGTGTGTGTTTATGTGTGTGTGTGTTTGTGTGAGAGCGAGAAGGGTGAGATACATTGGATGAATGTTGAATGGGGAGTGTGTGCTAGTGATGCAGTGAATGATTGAGAGAGTGAGTGATTGAGTGATGCACAGAATGTTGTATAGATTGATGTCGTGCAGTGATGGCATGCATAGAGTGATGGCACGCAGTGATTGAGACATCGATGTGTTGAGTGAATGATGGAGTGTGTGGTTGATGGATTGAGTGATTGACTGAGTGACTGATGAAATGAGTGAGTGTGTGATTGATTGATTGAGTGATCGATTGAATGAATGAGGGAGTGAGTGAGTGAGCGTGTGAGTGAGTAATTGTGTGTGTGTATGTGTGTGAATGCGTGACGCGTTTGGAGTCAGTGTTTATAGGAGTGTGATTGTAGTGAGTGATGGATAGTGTATGTTGAAGCTGTGAGTGGTGTGATTCGATTGTTTGTGTGTTGATTGGAATTGAGTGTGTTGTTGATGGAGTAGTTTAGTTGGTTAGTAGGCTAGTGGAGAATGTAGGATGGTTGTGTGTGTGAGTGTTGTTGTGTGTGAGCGTGTGAGCATGTGGGAATGTGGGAGTGAGTGTGTGAGTGTTTGATAAATTGATTGTGTAAAAGAATGTAGGAGTGATTGAGTGTGTGGTTGAATGAGTGAATGATCGAGTTGTTGATTGTTCTATTGAAAATGTGGATATGTGTGAGATGTGTGGTGTTGTGTGTTGAGACGGAGTGAAATGAAAATGGGATACGTACCTGTTTGCATTGGTGTTGTCAGTGGTGTTTGTACTGGTGTTGTGAGTGGTGTTTGCAGTGTGGTTGATTCTGGCGACTGGAATTCCGTAGTGGGTATTGTAGGTGTTGTGTCGATCGGTTGTGATGTGGATGTGGTTTGTTGATACTGAGTTGGTTGAGTGATGATATCAGTGGTTGGTGGAATGGATGTGGAATCGGAATGGAGACCTGTTGAGAAGGAGTGGTAGGAAATGTGAGAGTGAGTGTGTGGCATGTGGATGATGACATAGAATGAAGGCGATGAATTGAGAGTATTGTGAGGTGTGATGAGAGTGAGGTGGTTGTTAATTGAAGAGTGGTGGTTTGTAGAGAACTAGTGTGTGTATGTGTGTGTGTGTGTTTGTGTGAGAGCGAGAAGGGTGAGATACATTGGATGAATGTTGAATGGGGAGTGTGTGCTAGTGATGCAGTGAATGATTGAGAGAGTGAGTGATTGAGTGATGCACAGAATGTTGTATAGATTGATGTCGTGCAGTGATGGCATGCATAGAGTGATGGCACGCAGTGATTGAGACATCGATGTGTTGAGTGAATGATGGAGTGTGTGGTTGATGGATTGAGTGATTGACTGAGTGACTGATGAAATGAGTGAGTGTGTGATTGATTGTTTGAGTGATCGATTGAGTGAGTGAGTGAGTGAGTGAGCGTGTGAGTGAGTAATTGTGTGTGTGTATGTGTGTGAATGCGTGACGCGTTTGGAGTCAGTGTTTATAGGAGTGTGATTGTAGTGAGTGATGGATAGTGTATGTTGAAGCTGTGATTGGTGTGATTCGATTGTTTGTGTGTTGATTGGAATTGAGTGTGTTGTTGATGGAGTAGTTTAGTTGGTTAGTAGGCTAGTGGAGAATGTAGGATGGTTGTGTGTGAGTGTTGTTGTGTGTGAGCGTGTGAGCATGTGGGAATGTGGGAGTGAGTGTGTGAGTGTTTGATAAATTGATTGTGTAAAAGAATGTAGGAGTGATTGAGTGTGTGGTTGAATGAGTGAATGATCGAGTTGTTGATTGTTCGAGTGTAAATGTGGATATGTGTGAGATGTGTGGTGTTGTGTGTTGAGACGGAGTGAAATGAAAATGGGATACGTACCTGTTTGCATTGGTGTTGTCGGTGGTGTTTGTACTGGTGTTGTGAGTGGTGTTTGCAGTGTGGTTGATTCTGGCGACTGGAATTCCGTAGTGGGTATTGTAGGTGTTGTGTCGATCGGTTGTGATGTGGATGTGGTTTGTTGATACTGAGTTGGTTGAGTGATGATATCAGTGGTTGGTGGAATGGATGTGGAATCGGAATGGAGACCTGTTGAGAAGGAGTGGTAGGAAATGTGAGAGTGAGTGTGTGGCATGTGGATGATGACATAGAATGAAGGCGATGAATTGAGAGTATTGTGAGGTGTGATGAGAGTGAGGTGGTTGTTAATTGAAGAGTGGTGGTTTGTAGAGAACTAGTGTGTGTTTGTGTGTGTGTGTGTTTGTGTGAGAGCGAGAAGGGTGAGATACATTGGATGAATGTTGAATGGGGGAGTGTGTGCTAGTGATGCAGTGAATGATTGAGAGAGTGAGTGATTGAGTGATGCACAGAATGTTGTATAGATTGATGTCGTGCAGTGATGGCATGCATAGAGTGATGGCACGCAGTGATTGAGACATCGATGTGTTGAGTGAATGATGGAGTGTGTGGTTGATGGATTGAGTGATTGACTGAGTGACTGATGAAATGAGTGAGTGTGTGATTGATTGATTGAGTGATAGATTGATTGAGTGATCGATTGAATGAATGAGGGAGTGAGTGAGTGAGCGTGTGAGTGAGTAATTGTGTGTGTGTATGTGTGTGAATGCGTGACGCGTTTGGAGTCAGTGTTTATAGGAGTGTGATTGTAGTGAGTGATGGATAGTGTATGTTGAAGCTGTGATTGGTGTGATTCGATTGTTTGTGTGTTGATTGGAATTGAGTGTGTTGTTGATGGAGTAGTTTAGTTGGTTAGTAGGCTAGTGGAGAATGTAGGATGGTTGTGTGTGAGTGTTGTTGTGTGTGAGCGTGTGAGCATGTGGGAATGTGGGAGTGAGTGTGTGAGTGTTTGATAAATTGATTGTGTAAAAGAATGTAGGAGTGATTGAGTGTGTGGTTGAATGAGTGAATGATCGAGTTGTTGATTGTTCTATTGAAAATGTGGATATGTGTGAGATGTGTGGTGTTGTGTGTTGAGACGGAGTGAAATGAAAATGGGATACGTACCTGTTTGCATTGGTGTTGTCAGTGGTGTTTGTACTGGTGTTGTGAGTGGTGTTTGCAGTGTGGTTGATTCTGGCGACTGGAATTCCGTAGTGGGTATTGTAGGTGTTGTGTCGATCGGTTGTGATGTGGATGTGGTTTGTTGATACTGAGTTGGTTGAGTGATGATATCAGTGGTTGGTGGAATGGATGTGGAATCGGAATGGAGACCTGTTGAGAAGGAGTGGTAGGAAATGTGAGAGTGAGTGTGTGGCATGTGGATGATGACATAGAATGAAGGCGATGAATTGAGAGTATTGTGAGGTGTGATGAGAGTGAGGTGGTTGTTAATTGAAGAGTGGTGGTTTGTAGAGAACTAGTGTGTGTTGTGTGTGTGTGTGTGTTTGTGTGAGAGCGAGAAGGGTGAGATACATTGGATGAATGTTGAATGGGGAGTGTGTGCTAGTGATGCAGTGAATGATTGAGAGAGTGAGTGATTGAGTGATGCACAGAATGTTGTATAGATTGATGTCGTGCAGTGATGGCATGCATAGAGTGATGGCACGCAGTGATTGAGACATCGATGTGTTGAGTGAATGATGGAGTGTGTGGTTGATGGATTGAGTGATTGACTGAGTGACTGATGAAATGAGTGAGTGTGTGATTGATTGATTGAGTGATTGAGTGATCGATTGAGTGAATGAGGGAGTGAGTGAGTGAGCGTGTGAGTGAGTAATTGTGTGTGTGTATGTGTGTGAATGCGTGACGCGTTTGGAGTCAGTGTTTATAGGAGTGTGATTGTAGTGAGTGATGGATAGTGTATGTTGAAGCTGTGATTGGTGTGATTCGATTGTTTGTGTGTTGATTGGAATTGAGTGTGTTGTTGATGGAGTAGTTTAGTTGGTTAGTAGGCTAGTGGAGAATGTAGGATGGTTGTGTGTGAGTGTTGTTGTGTGTGAGCGTGTGAGCATGTGGGAATGTGGGAGTGAGTGTGTGAGTGTTTGATAAATTGATTGTGTAAAAGAATGTAGGAGTGATTGAGTGTGTGGTTGAATGAGTGAATGATCGAGTTGTTGATTGTTCGAGTGTAAATGTGGATATGTGTGAGATGTGTGGTGTTGTGTGTTGAGACGGAGTGAAATGAAAATGGGATACGTACCTGTTTGCATTGGTGTTGTCGGTGGTGTTTGTACTGGTGTTGTGAGTGGTGTTTGCAGTGTGGTTGATTCTGGCGACTGGAATTCCGTAGTGGGTATTGTAGGTGTTGTGTCGATCGGTTGTGATGTGGATGTGGTTTGTTGATACTGAGTTGGTTGAGTGATGATATCAGTGGTTGGTGGAATGGATGTGGAATCGGAATGGAGACCTGTTGAGAAGGAGTGGTAGGAAATGTGAGAGTGAGTGTGTGGCATGTGGATGATGACATAGAATGAAGGCGATGAATTGAGAGTATTGTGAGGTGTGATGAGAGTGAGGTGGTTGTTAATTGAAGAGTGGTGGTTTGTAGAGAACTAGTGTGTGTATGTGTGTGTGTGTGTTTGTGTGAGAGCGAGAAGGGTGAGATACATTGGATGAATGTTGAAGGAGGAGTGTGTGCTAGTGATGCAGTGAATGATTGAGAGAGTGAGTGATTGAGTGATGCACAGAATGTTGTATAGATTGATGTCGTGCAGTGATGGCATGCATAGAGTGATGGCACGCAGTGATTGAGACATCGATGTGTTGAGTGAATGATGGAGTGTGTGGTTGATGGATTGAGTGATTGACTGAGTGACTGATGAAATGAGTGAGTGTGTGATTGATTGATTGGGAGATTGATTGATTGAGTGATCGATTGAATGAATGAGTGAGTGAGTGAGTGAGCGTGTGAGTGAGTAATTGTGTGTGTGTATGTGTGTGAATGCGTGACGCGTTTGGAGTCAGTGTTTATAGGAGTGTGATTGTAGTGAGTGATGGATAGTGTATGTTGAAGCTGTGATTGGTGTGATTCGATTGTTTGTGTGTTGATTGGAATTGAGTGTGTTGTTGATGGAGTAGTTTAGTTGGTTAGTAGGCTAGTGGAGAATGTAGGATGGTTGTGTGTGAGTGTTGTTGTGTGTGAGCGTGTGAGCATGTGGGAATGTGGGAGTGAGTGTGTGAGTGTTTGATAAATTGATTGTGTAAAAGAATGTAGGAGTGATTGAGTGTGTGGTTGAATGAGTGAATGATCGAGTTGTTGATTGTTCTATTGAAAATGTGGATATGTGTGAGATGTGTGGTGTTGTGTGTTGAGACGGAGTGAAATGAAAATGGGATACGTACCTGTTTGCATTGGTGTTGTCAGTGGTGTTTGTACTGGTGTTGTGAGTGGTGTTTGCAGTGTGGTTGATTCTGGCGACTGGAATTCCGTAGTGGGTATTGTAGGTGTTGTGTCGATCGGTTGTGATGTGGATGTGGTTTGTTGATACTGAGTTGGTTGAGTGATGATATCAGTGGTTGGTGGAATGGATGTGGAATCGGAATGGAGACCTGTTGAGAAGGAGTGGTAGGAAATGTGAGAGTGAGTGTGTGGCATGTGGATGATGACATAGAATGAAGGCGATGAATTGAGAGTATTGTGAGGTGTGATGAGAGTGAGGTGGTTGTTAATTGAAGAGTGGTGGTTTGTAGAGAACTAGTGTGTGTTTGTGTGTGTGTGTGTTTGTGTGAGAGCGAGAAGGGTGAGATACATTGGATGAATGTTGAATGGGGAGTGTGTGCTAGTGATGCAGTGAATGATTGAGAGAGTGAGTGATTGAGTGATGCACAGAATGTTGTATAGATTGATGTCGTGCAGTGATGGCATGCATAGAGTGATGGCACGCAGTGATTGAGACATCGATGTGTTGAGTGAATGATGGAGTGTGTGGTTGATGGATTGAGTGATTGACTGAGTGACTGATGAAATGAGTGAGTGTGTGATTGATTGAGTGGGAGATTGATTGATTGAGTGATCGATTGAATGAATGAGGGAGTGAGTGAGTGAGCGTGTGAGTGATTAATTGTGTGTGTGTGTATGTGTGTGAATGCGTGACGCGTTTGGAGTCAGTGTTTATAGGAGTGTGATTGTAGTGAGTGATGGATAGTGTATGTTGAAGATGTGATTGGTGTGATTCGATTGTTTGTGTGTTGATTGGAATTGAGTGTGTTGTTGATGGAGTAGTTTAGTTGGTTAGTAGGCTAGTGGAGAATGTAGGATGGTTGTGTGTGAGTGTTGTTGTGTGTGAGCGTGTGAGCATGTGGGAATGTGGGAGTGAGTGTGTGAGTGTTTGATAAATTGATTGTGTAAAAGATTGTAGGAGTGAGTGAGTGTGTGGTTGAATGAGTGAATGATCGAGTTGTTGATTGTTCTATTGAAAATGTGGATATGTGTGAGATGTGTGGTGTTGTGTGTTGAGACGGAGTGAAATGAAAATGGGATACGTACCTGTTTGCATTGGTGTTGTCGGTGGTGTTTGTACTGGTGTTGTGAGTGGTGTTTGCAGTGTGGTTGATTCTGGCGACTGGAATTCCGTAGTGGGTATTGTAGGTGTTGTGTCGATCGGTTGTGATGTGGATGTGGTTTGTTGATACTGAGTTGGTTGAGTGATGATATCAGTGGTTGGTGGAATGGATGTGGAATCGGAATGGAGACCTGTTGAGAAGGAGTGGTAGGAAATGTGAGAGTGAGTGTGTGGCATGTGGATGATGACATAGAATGAAGGCGATGAATTGAGAGTATTGTGAGGTGTGATGAGAGTGAGGTGGTTGTTAATTGAAGAGTGGTGGTTTGTAGAGAACTAGTGTGTGTTTGTGTGTGTGTGTGTTTGTGTGAGAGCGAGAAGGGTGAGATACATTGGATGAATGTTGAATGGGGAGTGTGTGCTAGTGATGCAGTGAATGATTGAGAGAGTGAGTGATTGAGTGATGCACAGAATGTTGTATAGATTGATGTCGTGCAGTGATGGCATGCATAGAGTGATGGCACGCAGTGATTGAGACATCGATGTGTTGAGTGAATGATGGAGTGTGTGGTTGATGGATTGAGTGATTGACTGAGTGACTGATGAAATGAGTGAGTGTGTGATTGATTGATTGGGAGATTGATTGATTGAGTGATCGATTGAATGAATGAGGGAGTGAGTGAGTGAGCGTGTGAGTGATTAATTGTGTGTGTGTGTATGTGTGTGAATGCGTGACGCGTTTGGAGTCAGTGTTTATAGGAGTGTGATTGTAGTGAGTGATGGATAGTGTATGTTGAAGATGTGATTGGTGTGATTCGATTGTTTGTGTGTTGATTGGAATTGAGTGTGTTGTTGATGGAGTAGTTTAGTTGGTTAGTAGGCTAGTGGAGAATGTAGGATGGTTGTGTGTGAGTGTTGTTGTGTGTGAGCGTGTGAGCATGTGGGAATGTGGGAGTGAGTGTGTGAGTGTTTGATAAATTGATTGTGTAAAAGATTGTAGGAGTGATTGAGTGTGTGGTTGAATGATTGAATGATCGAGTTGTTGATTGTTCGAGTGTAAATGTGGATATGTGTGAGATGTGTGGTGTTGTGTGTTGAGACGGAGTGAAATGAAAATGGGATACGTACCTGTTTGCATTGGTGTTGTCAGTGGTGTTTGTACTGGTGTTGTGAGTGGTGTTTGCAGTGTGGTTGATTCTGGCGACTGGAATTCCGTAGTGGGTATTGTAGGTGTTGTGTCGATCGGTTGTGATGTGGATGTGGTTTGTTGATACTGAGTTGGTTGAGTGATGATATCAGTGGTTGGTGGAATGGATGTGGAATCGGAATGGAGACCTGTTGAGAAGGAGTGGTAGGAAATGTGAGAGTGAGTGTGTGGCATGTGGATGATGACATAGAATGAAGGCGATGAATTGAGAGTATTGTGAGGTGTGATGAGAGTGAGGTGGTTGTTAATTGAAGAGTGGTGGTTTGTAGAGAACTAGTGTGTGTTTGTGTGTGTGTGTGTTTGTGTGAGAGCGAGAAGGGTGAGATACATTGGATGAATGTTGAATGGGGAGTGTGTGCTAGTGATGCAGTGAATGATTGAGAGAGTGAGTGATTGAGTGATGCACAGAATGTTGTATAGATTGATGTCGTGCAGTGATGGCATGCATAGAGTGATGGCACGCAGTGATTGAGACATCGATGTGTTGAGTGAATGATGGAGTGTGTGGTTGATGGATTGAGTGATTGACTGAGTGACTGATGAAATGAGTGAGTGTGTGATTGATTGATTGGGAGATTGATTGATTGAGTGATCGATTGAATGAATGAGGGAGTGAGTGAGTGAGCGTGTGAGTGATTAATTGTGTGTGTGTGTATGTGTGTGAATGCGTGACGCGTTTGGAGTCAGTGTTTATAGGAGTGTGATTGTAGTGAGTGATGGATAGTGTATGTTGAAGCTGTGAGTGGTGTGATTCGATTGTTTGTGTGTTGATTGGAATTGAGTGTGTTGTTGATGGAGTAGTTTAGTTGGTTAGTAGGCTAGTGGAGAATGTAGGATGGTTGTGTGTGAGTGTTGTTGTGTGTGAGCGTGTGAGCATGTGGGAATGTGGGAGTGAGTGTGTGAGTGTTTGATAAATTGATTGTGTAAAAGAATGTAGGAGTGATTGAGTGTGTGGTTGAATGAGTGAATGATCGAGTTGTTGATTGTTCTATTGAAAATGTGGATATGTGTGAGATGTGTGGTGTTGTGTGTTGAGACGGAGTGAAATGAAAATGGGATACGTACCTGTTTGCATTGGTGTTGTCAGGTGGTGTTTGTACTGGTGTTGTGAGTGGTGTTTGCAGTGTGGTTGATTCTGGCGACTGGAATTCCGTAGTGGGTATTGTAGGTGTTGTGTCGATCGGTTGTGATGTGGATGTGGTTTGTTGATACTGAGTTGGTTGAGTGATGATATCAGTGGTTGGTGGAATGGATGTGGAATCGGAATGGAGACCTGTTGAGAAGGAGTGGTAGGAAATGTGAGAGTGAGTGTGTGGCATGTGGATGATGACATAGAATGAAGGCGATGAATTGAGAGTATTGTGAGGTGTGATGAGAGTGAGGTGGTTGTTAATTGAAGAGTGGTGGTTTGTAGAGAACTAGTGTGTGTTTGTGTGTGTGTGTGTTTGTGTGAGAGCGAGAAGGGTGAGATACATTGGATGAATGTTGAATGGGGAGTGTGTGCTAGTGATGCAGTGAATGATTGAGAGAGTGAGTGATTGAGTGATGCACAGAATGTTGTATAGATTGATGTCGTGCAGTGATGGCATGCATAGAGTGATGGCACGCAGTGATTGAGATATCGATGTGTTGAGTGAATGATGGAGTGTGTGGTTGATGGATTGAGTGATTGACTGAGTGACTGATGAAATGAGTGAGTGTGTGATTGATTGATTGGGAGATTGATTGATTGAGTGATCGATTGAATGAATGAGTGAGTGAGTGAGTGAGTGAGCGTGTGAGTGATTAATTGTGTGTGTGTGTATGTGTGTGAATGCGTGACGCGTTTGGAGTCAGTGTTTATAGGAGTGTGATTGTAGTGAGTGATGGATAGTGTATGTTGAAGCTGTGATTGGTGTGATTCGATTGTTTGTGTGTTGATTGGAATTGAGTGTGTTGTTGATGGAGTAGTTTAGTTGGTTAGTAGGCTAGTGGAGAATGTAGGATGGTTGTGTGTGAGTGTTGTTGTGTGTGAGCGTGTGAGCATGTGGGAATGTGGGAGTGAGTGTGTGAGTGTTTGATAAATTGATTGTGTAAAAGAATGTAGGAGTGATTGAGTGTGTGGTTGAATGAGTGAATGATCGAGTTGTTGATTGTTCTATTGAAAATGTGGATATGTGTGAGATGTGTGGTGTTGTGTGTTGAGACGGAGTGAAATGAAAATGGGATACGTACCTGTTTGCATTGGTGTTGTCGGTGGTGTTTGTACTGGTGTTGTGAGTGGTGTTTGCAGTGTGGTTGATTCTGGCGACTGGAATTCCGTAGTGGGTATTGTAGGTGTTGTGTCGATCGGTTGTGATGTGGATGTGGTTTGTTGATACTGAGTTGGTTGAGTGATGATATCAGTGGTTGGTGGAATGGATGTGGAATCGGAATGGAGACCTGTTGAGAAGGAGTGGTAGGAAATGTGAGAGTGAGTGTGTGGCATGTGGATGATGACATAGAATGAAGGCGATGAATTGAGAGTATTGTGAGGTGTGATGAGAGTGAGGTGGTTGTTAATTGAAGAGTGGTGGTTTGTAGAGAACTAGTGTGTGTATGTGTGTGTGTGTGTTTGTGTGAGAGCGAGAAGGGTGAGATACATTGGATGAATGTTGAATGGGGAGTGTGTGCTAGTGATGCAGTGAATGATTGAGAGAGTGAGTGATTGAGTGATGCACAGAATGTTGTATAGATTGATGTCGTGCAGTGATGGCATGCATAGAGTGATGGCACGCAGTGATTGAGACATCGATGTGTTGAGTGAATGATGGAGTGTGTGGTTGATGGATTGAGTGATTGACTGAGTGACTGATGAAATGAGTGAGTGTGTGATTGATTGATTGGGAGATTGATTGAGTGATGATGATGAGTGAGTGAGTGAGTGAGCGTGTGAGTGAGTAATTGTGTGTGTGTATGTGTGTGAATGCGTGACGCTTTTGGAGTCTGTGTTTATAGGAGTGTGATTGTAGTGAGTGATGGATAGTGTATGTTGAAGCTGTGAGTGGTGTGATTCGATTGTTTGTGTGTTGATTGGAATTGAGTGTGTTGTTGATGGAGTAGTTTAGTTGGTTAGTAGGCTAGTGGAGAATGTAGGATGGTTGTGTGTGAGTGTTGTTGTGTGTGAGCGTGTGAGCATGTGGGAATGTGGGAGTGAGTGTGTGAGTGTTTGATAAATTGATTGTGTAAAAGAATGTAGGAGTGATTGAGTGTGTGGTTGAATGAGTGAATGATCGAGTTGTTGATTGTTCTATTGAAAATGTGGATATGTGTGAGATGTGTGGTGTTGTGTGTTGAGACGGAGTGAAATGAAAATGGGATACGTACCTGTTTGCATTGGTGTTGTCGGTGGTGTTTGTACTGGTGTTGTGAGTGGTGTTTGCAGTGTGGTTGATTCTGGCGACTGGAATTCCGTAGTGGGTATTGTAGGTGTTGTGTCGATCGGTTGTGATGTGGATGTGGTTTGTTGATACTGAGTTGGTTGAGTGATGATATCAGTGGTTGGTGGAATGGATGTGGAATCGGAATGGAGACCTGTTGAGAAGGAGTGGTAGGAAATGTGAGAGTGAGTGTGTGGCATGTGGATGATGACATAGAATGAAGGCGATGAATTGAGAGTATTGTGAGGTGTGATGAGAGTGAGGTGGTTGTTAATTGAAGAGTGGTGGTTTGTAGAGAACTAGTGTGTGTATGTGTGTGTGTGTGTTTGTGTGAGAGCGAGAAGGGTGAGATACATTGGATGAATGTTGAAGGAGGAGTGTTTGCTAGTGATGCAGTGAATGATTGAGAGAGTGAGTGATTGAGTGATGCACAGAATGTTGTATAGATTGATGTCGTGCAGTGATGGCATGCATAGAGTGATGGCACGCAGTGATTGAGACATCGATGTGTTGAGTGAATGATGGAGTGTGTGGTTGATGGATTGAGTGATCGATTGTGTGAGTGAGTGAGTGAGTGAGCGTGTGAGTGAGTAATTATGTGTGTGTATGTGTGTGAATGCGTGACGCGTTTGGAGTCAGTGTTTATAGGAGTGTGATTGTAGTGAGTGATGGATAGTGTATGTTGAAGCTGTGAGTGGTGTGATTCGATTGTTTGTGTGTTGATTGGAATTGAGTGTGTTGTTGATGGAGTAGTTTAGTTGGTTAGTAGGCTAGTGGAGAATGTAGAATGATTGTGTGTGTGAGTGTTGTTGTGTGTGAGCGTGTGAGCATGTGGGAATGTGGGAGTGAGTGTGTGAGTGTTTGATAAATTGATTGTGTAAAAGAATGTAGGAGTGATTGAGTGTGTGGTTGAATGAGTGAATGATCGAGTTGTTGATTGTTCTATTGAAAATGTGGATATGTGTGAGATGTGTGGTGTTGTGTGTTGAGACGGAGTGAAATGAAAATGGGATACGTACCTGTTTGCATTGGTGTTGTCGGTGGTGTTTGTACTGGTGTTGTGAGTGGTGTTTGCAGTGTGGTTGATTCTGGCGACTGGAATTCCGTAGTGGGTATTGTAGGTGTTGTGTCGATCGGTTGTGATGTGGATGTGGTTTGTTGATACTGAGTTGGTTGAGTGATGATATCAGTGGTTGGTGGAATGGATGTGGAATCGGAATGGAGACCTGTTGAGAAGGAGTGGTAGGAAATGTGAGAGTGAGTGTGTGGCATGTGGATGATGACATAGAATGAAGGCGATGAATTGAGAGTATTGTGAGGTGTGATGAGAGTGAGGTGGTTGTTAATTGAAGAGTGGTGGTTTGGAGAGAACTAGTGTGTGTATGTGTGTGTGTGTGTTTGTGTGAGAGCGAGAAGGGTGAGATACATTGGATGAATGTTGAATGGGGAGTGTGTGCTAGTGATGCAGTGAATGATTGAGAGAGTGAGTGATTGAGTGATGCACAGAATGTTGTATAGATTGATGTCGTGCAGTGATGGCATGCATAGAGTGATGGCACGCAGTGATTGAGACATCGATGTGTTGAGTGAATGATGGAGTGTGTGGTTGATGGATTGTGTGATCGATTGTGTGAGTGAGTGAGTGAGTGAGCGTGTGAGTGAGTAATTATGTGTGTGTATGTGTGTGAATGCGTGACGCGTTTGGAGTCAGTGTTTATAGGAGTGTGATTGTAGTGAGTGATGGATAGTGTATGTTGAAGCTGTGAGTGGTGTGATTCGATTGTTTGTGTGTTGATTGGAATTGAGTGTGTTGTTGATGGAGTAGTTTAGTTGGTTAGTAGGCTAGTGGAGAATGTAGGATGATTGTGTGTGTGAGAGTTGTTGTGTGTGAGCGTGTGAGCATGTGGGAATGTGGGAGTGAGTGTGTGAGTGTTTGATAAATTGATTGTGTAAAAGAATGTAGGAGTGATTGAGTGTGTGGTTGAATGAGTGAATGATCGAGTTGTTGATTGTTCTATTGAAAATGTGGATATGTGTGAGATGTGTGGTGTTGTGTGTTGAGACGGAGTGAAATGAAAATGGGATACGTACCTGTTTGCATTGGTGTTGTCAGTGGTGTTTGTACTGGTGTTGTGAGTGGTGTTTGCAGTGTGGTTGATTCTGGCGACTGGAATTCCGTAGTGGGTATTGTAGGTGTTGTGTCGATCGGTTGTGATGTGGATGTGGTTTGTTGATACTGAGTTGGTTGAGTGATGATATCAGTGGTTGGTGGAATGGATGTGGAATCGGAATGGAGACCTGTTGAGAAGGAGTGGTAGGAAATGTGAGAGTGAGTGTGTGGCATGTGGATGATGACATAGAATGAAGGCGATGAATTGAGAGTATTGTGAGGTGTGATGAGAGTGAGGTGGTTGTTAATTGAAGAGTGGTGGTTTGGAGAGAACTAGTGTGTGTTTGTGTGTGTGTGTGTTTGTGTGAGAGCGAGAAGGGTGAGATACATTGGATGAATGTTGAATGGGGAGTGTGTGCTAGTGATGCAGTGAATGATTGAGAGAGTGAGTGATTGAGTGATGCACAGAATGTTGTATAGATTGATGTCGTGCAGTGATGGCATGCATAGAGTGATGGCACGCAGTGATTCAGACATCGATGTGTTGAGTGAATGATGGAGTGTGTGGTTGATGGATTGAGTGATTGACTGAGTGACTGATGAAATGAGTGATTGCATGATTGATTTATCGATTGAGTGAATGAGGGAGTGAGTGAGTGAGCGTGTGAGTGAGTAATTGTGTGTGTTTATGTGTGTGAATGCTTGACGCGTTTGGAGTCAGTGTTTATAGGAGTGTGATTGTAGTGAGTGATGGATAGTGTATGTTGAAGCTGTGAGTGGTGTGATTCGATTGTTTGTGTGTTGATTGGAATTGAGTGTGTTGTTGATGGAGTAGTTTAGTTGGTTAGTAGGCTAGTGGAGAATGTAGGATGGTTGTGTGTGAGTGTTGTTGTGTGTGAGCGTGTGAGCATGTGGGAATGTGGGAGTGAGTGTGTGAGTGTTTGATAAATTGATTGTGTAAAAGAATGTAGGAGTGATTGAGTGTGTGGTTGAATGAGTGAATGATCGAGTTGTTGATTGTTCTATTGAAAATGTGGATATGTGTGAGATGTGTGGTGTTGTGTGTTGAGACGGAGTGAAATGAAAATGGGATACGTACCTGTTTGCATTGGTGTTGTCGGTGGTGTTTGTACTGGTGTTGTGAGTGGTGTTTGCAGTGTGGTTGATTCTGGCGACTGGAATTCCGTAGTGGGTATTGTAGGTGTTGTGTCGATCGGTTGTGATGTGGATGTGGTTTGTTGATACTGAGTTGGTTGAGTGATGATATCAGTGGTTGGTGGAATGGATGTGGAATCGGAATGGACACCTGTTGAGAAGGAGTGGTAGGAAATGTGAGAGTGAGTGTGTGGCATGTGGATGATGACATAGAATGAAGGCGATGAATTGAGAGTATTGTGAGGTGTGATGAGAGTGAGGTGGTTGTTAATTGAAGAGTGGTGGTTTGGAGAGAACTAGTGTGTGTATGTGTGTGTGTGTGTTTGTGTGAGAGCGAGAAGGGTGAGATACATTGGATGAATGTTGAAGGAGGAGTGTGTGCTAGTGATGCAGTGAATGATTGAGAGAGTGAGTGATTGAGTGATGCACAGAATGTTGTATAGATTGATGCCGTGCAGTGATGGCATGCATAGAGTGATGGCACGCAGTGATTCAGACATCGATGTGTTGAGTGAATGATGGAGTGTGTGGTTGATGGATTGAGTGATTGACTGAGTGACTGATGAAATGAGTGAGTGTGTGATTGATTGATTGAGTGATCGATTGAGTGAGTGAGTGAGTGAGCGTGTGAGTGAGTAATTATGTGTGTGTATGTGTGTGAATGCGTGACGCGTTTGGAGTCAGTGTTTATAGGAGTGTGATTGTAGTGAGTGATGGATAGTGTATGTTGAAGCTGTGAGTGGTGTGATTCGATTGTTTGTGTGTTGATTGGAATTGAGTGTGTTGTTGATGGAGTAGTGTAGTTGGTTATTAGGCTAGTGGAGAATGTAGGATGGTTGTGTGTGAGTGTTGTTGTGTGTGAGCGTGTGAGCATGTGGGAATGTGGGAGTGAGTGTGTGAGTGTTTGATAAATTGATTGTGTAAAAGAATGTAGGAGTGATTGAGTGTGTGGTTGAATGAGTGAATGATCGAGTTGTTGATTGTTCTATTGAAAATGTGGATATGTGTGAGATGTGTGGTGTTGTGTGTTGAGACGGAGTGAAATGAAAATGGGATACGTACCTGTTTGCATTGGTGTTGTCGGTGGTGTTTGTACTGGTGTTGTGAGTGGTGTTTGCAGTGTGGTTGATTCTGGCGACTGGAATTCCGTAGTGGGTATTGTAGGTGTTGTGTCGATCGGTTGTGATGTGGATGTGGTTTGTTGATACTGAGTTGGTTGAGTGATGATATCAGTGGTTGGTGGAATGGATGTGGAATCGGAATGGACACCTGTTGAGAAGGAGTGGTAGGAAATGTGAGAGTGAGTGTGTGGCATGTGGATGATGACATAGAATGAAGGCGATGAATTGAGAGTATTGTGAGGTGTGATGAGAGTGAGGTGGTTGTTAATTGAAGAGTGGTGGTTTGTAGAGAACTAGTGTGTGTATGTGTGTGTGTGTGTGTTTGTGTGAGAGCGAGAAGGGTGAGATACATTGGATGAATGTTGAAGGAGGAGTGTGTGCTAGTGATGCAGTGAATGATTGAGAGAGTGAGTGATTGAGTGATGCACAGAATGTTGTATAGATTGATGTCGTGCAGTGATGGCATGCATAGAGTGATGGCACGCAGTGATCGAGACATCGATGTGTTGAGTGAATGATGGAGTGTGTAGTTGATGGATTGAGTGATTGAATGAGTGACTGATGAAATGAGTGAGTGTGTGATTGATTGATTGAGTGATCGATTGAGTGAGTGAGTGAGCGTGTGAGTGAGTAATTATGTGTGTGTATGTGTGTGAATGCGTGACGCGTTTGGAGTCAGTGTTTATAGGAGTGTGATTGTAGTGAGTGATGGATAGTGTATGTTGAAGCTGTGAGTGGTGTGATTCGATTGTTTGTGTGTTGATTGGAATTGAGTGTGTTGTTGATGGAGTAGTTTAGTTGGTTAGTGTTATATCGTATGCGCCCGTAATTTGTATGAACGTGCGATGAGAGAGGAGTGAATTTATTGATCGGCCGCAAATGATGATTGAAATCGTACGAGCAGTCTTGATTGCGTATCGGCCCTGCTATCTGCCTAGCCCAGCCAGTTGAGTCCAGAACACAAATAACAGCCTCAGTAGTATGAATCATTATTTACAAGCATACTGGCTTTTTATACAAACCAAAGTAATCAATAAACTGATTATAACTCAAGAATCGTATGATCATAAATCAAAGATCAAAATAATAGAAAACACGAATATGAATAATTTAGTTACGTAACAACTGTGCAATAAGAAATAGTCATAATACATTGGTCGATAAATAGTCCTTAGAGTTATCATTCATAATTCACCAGGGGATATAACACCTCCCCTTTTTGAGAAATCCGGAGTTGACATCCGGATTTTTAATTTCTCGAATTCATCCTCCCCCACGATATACTGTTGGATCCTCATGTACCCAAGTTACCATTATTGTGACATTATTTAAAACATATTCGTCGTATTTAACAGAGAATCCGCCAGAACTGATTAGATCGTGAGGATCGACGACATTCGATTTGAGGTCACCAGCGTCTGATTCTTCTGAAACAGTTTCCTTGAATTTACTCGGAACCTCATTAGTAGATAATGAATCATTAGGATAATCAGCATCTATGAAAGTTGTATTGGATTCTTGATTATCATATAATGCATCCGATATTTTTCCCCCATTTTTATAAGAGATTTGAACAGGAACATATGAATCAGCAAAATAATCGGGATCTGGCAGAACAATTAGATAACCTTGATCATTAGATTCATTAGAAAAACTTTTTGCATCATGACTGGTTTGATTTGGCACCACTGTATTCACTATACTGTTTGGTTTGTTCCCCGTTTCTTCGTGGGCGGGTACTGCAGCAATTTTATGGGCGCTTAATAAGATATTGTCTTTCTGTGAACTGGACGATTCATTGTTCGCACGTTTTGTTTCAGGGATAGTAGGACTTGAGCCACGTATAGGGCATGCCTCTGAAACAGACAATACTGGACTACTGGGCTGATCATGTGTGACTGCTAGTGTTTCGCTTAAATTACTGCTTTTCACGGATTCATAGAGGCTTTCACTGGCATATTCATTTGTTCTGCAATCGATTTCCAGCTCTGTACGCAATTTTGAAATTAATGCGTCAACTTCCGTTGCACCCCCAAAGCATGGGTGATTCAGCAGCTTTGCATGTAGCTTGTCAATGAATTCCAATTGACTCTTCCTAAAGCGCTGCTCTTGTCGCTGGATTAGCAACTGAAATTGATCGGAAGTTAGAGCCATTTTTTTTTTACCCCGTCGCCAGTTGTTATATCGTATGCCCTCTTAATACATAAACGTTCAATGATACATAAAATCGTATGGGACTCTTAATATATATGGACGTGCAATTGGAGAGGTAGTGGATTTACTGATCGGATGCAAATGATACTTGAAATACGTACGAACAGTATTGGGTGCTTTCCGGTCTTGCGATCTGCCTAGCCCAGCCCGTTAAGTGCAGAACACAAATAACAGCCTCGGAAATATGAATCATTATTTACAAGCATACTGGGTTTTTATACAAACCAAAGTAATCAATAAACTGATTATAACTCAAGAATCGTATGATCATAAATCAAAGATCAAAATAATAGAAAACACGAATATGAATAATTTAGTTACGTAACAACTGTGCAATAAGAAATAGTCATAATACATTGGTCGATAAATAGTCCTTAGAGTTATCATTCATAATTCACCAGGGGATATAACAGTTAGTAGGCTAGTGGAGAATGTAGGATGGTTGTGTGTGAGTGTTGTTGTGTGTGAGCGTGTGAGCATGTGGGAATGTAGGAGTGAGTGTGTGAGTGTTTGATAAATTGATTGTGTAAAAGAATGTAGGAGTGATTGAGTGTGTGGTTGAATGAGTGAATGATCGAGTTGTTGATTGTTCTATTGAAAATGTGGATATGTGTGAGATGTGTGGTGTTGTGTGTTGAGACGGAGTGAAATGAAAATGGGATACGTACCTGTTTGCATTGGTGTTGTCGGTGGTGTTTGTACTGGTGTTGTGAGTGGTGTTTGCAGTGTGGTTGATTCTGGCGACTGGAATTCCGTAGTGGGTATTGTAGGTGTTGTGTCGATCGGTTGTGATGTGGATGTGGTTTGTTGATACTGAGTTGGTTGAGTGATGATATCAGTGGTTGGTGGAATGGATGTGGAATCGGAATGGACACCTGTTGAGAAGGAGTGGTAGGAAATGAGAGAGTGAGGTGTGGCATGTGGATGATGACATAGAATGAAGGCGATGAATTGAGAGTATTGTGAGGTGTGATGAGAGTGAGGTGGTTGTTAATTGAAGAGTGGTGGTTTGTAGAGAACTAGTGTGTGTATGTGTGTGTGTGTGTTTGTGTGAGAGCGAGAAGGGTGAGATACATTGGATGAATGTTGAAGGAGGAGTGTGTGCTAGTGATGCAGTGAATGATTGAGAGAGTGAGTGATTGAGTGATGCACAGAATGTTGTATAGATTGATGTCGTGCAGTGATGGCATGCATAGAGTGATGGCACGCAGTGATTCAGACATCGATGTGTTGAGTGAATGATGGAGTGTGTGGTTGATGGATTGAGTGATTGACTGAGTGACTGATGAAATGAGTGAGTGTGTGATTGATTGATTGAGTGATTGCATGATTGATTGATCGATTGAGTGAATGAGGGAGTGAGTGAGTGAGCGTGTGAGTGAGTAATTGTGTGTGTATGTGTGTGAATGCGTGACGCGTTTGGAGTCAGTGTTTATAGGAGTGTGATTGTAGTGAGTGATGGATAGTGTATGTTGAAGCTGTGAGTGGTGTGATTCGATTGTTTGTGTGTTGATTGGAATTGAGTGTGTTGTTGATGGAGTAGTTTAGTTGGTTAGTAGGCTAGTGGAGAATGTAGGATGGTTGTGTGTGAGTGTTGTTGTGTGTGAGCGTGTGAGCATGTGGGAATGTGGGAGTGAGTGTGTGAGTGTTTGATAAATTGATTGTGTAAAAGAATGTAGGAGTGATTGAGTGTGTGGTTGAATGAGTGAATGATCGAGTTCTTGATTGTTCTATTGAAAATGTGGATATGTGTGAGATGTGTGGTGTTGTGTGTTGAGACGGAGTGAAATGAAAATGGGATACGTACCTGTTTGCATTGGTGTTGTCGGTGGTGTTTGTACTGGTGTTGTGAGTGGTGTTTGCAGTGTGGTTGATTCTGGCGACTGGAATTCCGTAGTGGGTATTGTAGGTGTTGTGTCGATCGGTTGTGATGTGGATGTGGTTTGTTGATACTGAGTTGGTTGAGTGATGATATCAGTGGTTGGTGGAATGGATGTGGAATCGGAATGGACACCTGTTGAGAAGGAGTGGTAGGAAATGTGAGAGTGAGTGTGTGGCATGTGGATGATGACATAGAATGAAGGCGATGAATTGAGAGTATTGTGAGGTGTGATGAGAGTGGGGTGGTTGTTAATTGAAGAGTGGTGGTTTGTAGAGAACTAGTGTGTGTATGTGTGTGCGCGTGTGTTTGTGTGAGAGCGAGAAGGGTGAGATACATTGGATGAATGTTGAATGGGGAGTGTGTGCTAGTGATGCAGTGAATGATTGAGAGAGTGAGTGATTGAGTGATGCACAGAATGTTGTATAGATTGATGTCGTGCAGTGATGGCATGCATAGAGTGATGGCACGCAGTGATTGAGACATCGATGTGTTGAGTGAATGATGGAGTGTGTGGTTGATGGATTGAGTGATTGACTGAGTGACTGATGAAATGAGTGAGTGTGTGATTGATTGATTGAGTGATCGATTGATTGAGTGAGTGAGTGAGCGTGTGAGTGAGTAATTATGTGTGTGTATGTTTGTGAATGCGTGACGCGTTTGGAGTCAGTGTTTATAGGAGTGTGATTGTAGTGAGTGATGGATAGTGTATGTTGAAGCTGTGAGTGGTGTGATTCGATTGTTTGTGTGTTGATTGGAATTGAGTGTGTTGTTGATGGAGTAGTTTAGTTGGTTAGTAGGCTAGTGGAGAATGTAGGATGGTTGTGTGTGAGTGTTGTTGTGTGTGAGCGTGTGAGCATGTGGGAATGTGGGAGTGAGTGTGTGAGTGTTTGATAAATTGATTGTGTAAAAGAATGTAGGAGTGATTGAGTGTGTGGTTGAATGAGTGAATGATCGAGTTGTTGATTGTTCTATTGAAAATGTGGATATGTGTGAGATGTGTGGTGTTGTGTGTTGAGACGGAGTGAAATGAAAATGGGATACGTACCTGTTTGCATTGGTGTTGTCGGTGGTGTTTGTACTGGTGTTGTGAGTGGTGTTTGCAGTGTGGTTGATTCTGGCGACTGGAATTCCGTAGTGGGTATTGTAGGTGTTGTGTCGATCGGTTGTGATGTGGATGTGGTTTGTTGATACTGAGTTGGTTGAGTGATGATATCAGTGGTTGGTGGAATGGATGTGGAATCGGAATGGACACCTGTTGAGAAGGAGTGGTAGGAAATGTGAGAGTGAGTGTGTGGCATGTGGATGATGACATAGAATGAAGGCGATGAATTGAGAGTATTGTGAGGTGTGATGAGAGTGAGGTGGTTGTTAATTGAAGAGTGGTGGTTTGGAGAGAACTAGTGTGTGTATGTGTGTGTGTGTGTTTGTGTGAGAGCGAGAAGGGTGAGATACATTGGATGAATGTTGAAGGAGGAGTGTTTGGTAGTGATGCAGTGAATGATTGAGAGAGTGAGTGATTGAGTGATGCACAGAATGTTGTATAGATTGATGTCGTGCAGTGATGGCATGCATAGAGTGATGGCACGCAGTGATTGAGACATCGATGTCTTGAGTGAATGATGGAGTGTGTGGTTGATGGATTGAGTGATTGACTGAGTGACTGATGAAATGAGTGAGTGTGTGATTGATTGATTGAGTGATTGCATGATTGATTGATCGATTGAGTGAGTGAGTGAGCGTGTGAGTGAGTAATTATGTGTGTGTATGTGTGTGAATGCGTGACGCGTTTGGAGTCAGTGTTTATAGGAGTGTGATTGTAGTGAGTGATGGATAGTGTATGTTGAAGCTGTGAGTGGTGTGATTCGATTGTTTGTGTGTTGATTGGAATTGAGTGTGTTGTTGATGGAGTAGTTTAGTTGGTTAGTAGGCTAGTGGAGAATGTAGGATGGTTGTGTGTGAGTGTTGTTGTGTGTGAGCGTGTGAGCATGTGGGAATGTAGGAGTGAGTGTGTGAGTGTTTGATAAATTGATTGTGTAAAAGAATGTAGGAGTGATTGAGTGTGTGGTTGAATGAGTGAATGATCGAGTTGTTGATTGTTCTATTGAAAATGTGGATATGTGTGAGATGTGAGGTGTTGTGTGTTGAGACGGAGTGAAATGAAAATGGGATACGTACCTGTTTGCATTGGTGTTGTCGGTGGTGTTTGTACTGGTGTTGTGAGTGGTGTTTGCAGTGTGGTTGATTCTGGCGACTGGAATTCCGTAGTGGGTATTGTAGGTGTTGTGTCGATCGGTTGTGATGTGGATGTGGTTTGTTGATACTGAGTTGGTTGAGTGATGATATCAGTGGTTGGTGGAATGGATGTGGAATCGGAATGGACACCTGTTGAGAAGGAGTGGTAGGAAATGTGAGAGTGAGTGTGTGGCATGTGGATGATGACATAGAATGAAGGCGATGAATTGAGAGTATTGTGAGGTGTGATGAGAGTGAGGTGGTTGTTAATTGAAGAGTGGTGGTTTAGAGAGAACTAGTGTGTGTATGTGTGTGTGTGTGTTTGTGTGAGAGCGAGAAGGGTGAGATACATTGGATGAATGTTGAAGGAGGAGTGTTTGCTAGTGATGCAGTGAATGATTGAGAGAGTGAGTGATTGAGTGATGCACAGAATGTTGTATAGATTGATGTCGTGCAGTGATGGCATGCATAGAGTGATGGCACGCAGTGATTGAGACATCGATGTGTTGAGTGAATGATGGAGTGTGTGGTTGATGGATTGAGTGATCGATTGTGTGAGTGAGTGAGTGAGTGAGCGTGTGAGTGAGTAATTATGTGTGTGTATGTGTGTGAATGCGTGACGCGTTTGGAGTCAGTGTTTATAGGAGTGTGATTGTAGTGAGTGATGGATAGTGTATGTTGAAGCTGTGAGTGGTGTGATTCGATTGTTTGTGTGTTGATTGGAATTGAGTGTGTTGTTGATGGAGTAGTTTAGTTGGTTAGTAGGCTAGTGGAGAATGTAGGATGGTTGTGTGTGAGTGTTGTTGTGTGTGAGCGTGTGAGCATGTGGGAATGTGGGAGTGAGTGTGTGAGTGTTTGATAAATTGATTGTGTAAAAGAATGTAGGAGTGATTGAGTGTGTGGTTGAATGAGTGAATGATCGAGTTGTTGATTGTTCTATTGAAAATGTGGATATGTGTGAGATGTGTGGTGTTGTGTGTTGAGACGGAGTGAAATGAAAATGGGATACGTACCTGTTTGCATTGGTGTTGTCGGTGGTGTTTGTACTGGTGTTGTGAGTGGTGTTTGCAGTGTGGTTGATTCTGGCGACTGGAATTCCGTAGTGGGCATTGTAGGTGTTGTGTCGATCGGTTGTGATGTGGATGTGGTTTGTTGATACTGAGTTGGTTGAGTGATGATATCAGTGGTTGGTGGAATGGATGTGGAATCGGAATGGAGACCTGTTGAGCAGGAGTGGTAGGAAATGTGAGAGTGAGTGTGTGGCATGTGGATGATGACATAGAATGAGGGCGGTGAATTGAGAGTATTGTGAGGTGTGATGAGAGTGAGGTGGTTGTTAATTGAAGAGTGGTGGTTTGTAGAGAACTAGTGTGTGTTTGTGTGTGTGTGTGTTTGTGTGAGAGCGAGAAGGGTGAGATACATTGGATGAATGTTGAAGGAGGAGTGTGTGCTAGTGATGCAGTGAATGATTGAGAGAGTGAGTGATTGAGTGATGCACAGAATGTTGTATAGATTGATGTCGTGCAGTGATGGCATGCATAGAGTGATGGCACGCAGTGATTGAGACATCGATGTGTTGAGTGAATGATGGAGTGTGTGGTTGATGGATTGAGTGATTGACTGAGTGACTGATGAAATGAGTGAGTGTGTGATTGATTAATTGATTGATTGATTGAGTGATTGCATGATTGATTGATCGATTGAGTGAGTGAGTGAGTGAGTGAGCGTGTGAGTGAGTAATTATGTGTGTGTATGTGTGTGAATGCGTGACGCGTTTGGAGTCAGTGTTTATAGGAGTGTGATTGTAGTGAGTGATGGATAGTGTATGTTGAAGCTGTGAGTGGTGTGATTCGATTGTTTGTGTGTTGATTGGAATTGAGTGTGTTGTTGATGGAGTAGTTTAGTTGGTTAGTAGGCTAGTGGAGAATGTAGGATGGTTGTGTGTGAGTGTTGTTGTGTGTGAGCGTGTGAGCATGTGGGAATGTGGGAGTGAGTGTGTGAGTGTTTGATAAATTGATTGTGTAAAAGAATGTAGGAGTGATTGAGTGTGTGGTTGAATGAGTGAATGATCGAGTTGTTGATTGTTCGAGTGTAAATGTGGATATGTGTGAGATGTGTGGTGTTGTGTGTTGAGACGGAGTGAAATGAAAATGGGATACGTACCTGTTTGCATTGGTGTTGTCGGTGGTGTTTGTACTGGTGTTGTGAGTGGTGTTTGCAGTGTGGTTGATTCTGGCGACTGGAATTCCGTAGTGGGTATTGTAGGTGTTGTGTCGATCGGTTGTGATGTGGATGTGGTTTGTTGATACTGAGTTGGTTGAGTGATGATATCAGTGGTTGGTGGAATGGATGTGGAATCGGAATGGAGACCTGTTGAGAAGGAGTGGTAGGAAATGTGAGAGTGAGTGTGTGGCATGTGGATGATGACATAGAATGAGGGCGGTGAATTGAGAGTATTGTGAGGTGTGATGAGAGTGAGGTGGTTGTTAATTGAAGAGTGGTGGTTTGTAGAGAACTAGTGTGTGTTTGTGTGTGTGTGTGTTTGTGTGAGAGCGAGAAGGGTGAGATACATTGGATGAATGTTGAATGGGGAGTGTGTGCTAGTGATGCAGTGAATGATTGAGAGAGTGAGTGATTGAGTGATGCACAGAATGTTGTATAGATTGATGTCGTGCAGTGATGGCATGCATAGAGTGATGGCACGCAGTGATTGAGACATCGATGTGTTGAGTGAATGATGGAGTGTGTGGTTGATGGATTGAGTGATTGACTGAGTGACTGATGAAATGAGTGAGTGTGTGATTGATTGATTGAGTGATTGTTTGAATTATTGATTGAGTGATAGATTGATTGAGTGATCGATTGAATGAATGAGGGAGTGAGTGAATGAGCGTGTGAGTGAGTAATTATGTGTGTGTATGTGTGTGAATGCGTGACGCGTTTGAAGTCAGTGTTTATAGGAATGTGATTGTAATGAGTGATGGATAGTGTATGTTGAAGATGTGAGTGGTGTGATTCGATTGTTTGTGTGTTGATTGGAATTGAGTGTGTTGTTGATGGAGTAGTTTAGTTGGTTAGTAGGCTAGTGGAGAATGTAGGATGGTTGTGTGTGAGTGTTGTTGTGTGTGAGCGTGTGAGCATGTGGGAATGTGGGAGTGAGTGTGTGAGTGTTTGATAAATTGATTGTGTAAAAGAATGTAGGAGTGATTGAGTGTGTGGTTGAATGAGTGAATGATCGAGTTGTTGATTGTTCTATTGAAAATGTGGATATGTGTGAGATGTGTGGTGTTGTGTGTTGAGACGGAGTGAAATGAAAATGGGATACGTACCTGTTTGCATTGGTGTTGTCGGTGGTGTTTGTACTGGTGTTGTGAGTGGTGTTTGCAGTGTGGTTGATTCTGGCGACTGGAATTCCGTAGTGGGTATTGTAGGTGTTGTGTCGATCGGTTGTGATGTGGATGTGGTTTGTTGATACTGAGTTGGTTGAGTGATGATATCAGTGGTTGGTGGAATGGATGTGGAATCGGAATGGAGACCTGTTGAGCAGGAGTGGTAGGAAATGTGAGAGTGAGTGTGTGGCATGTGGATGATGACATAGAATGAGGGCGGTGAATTGAGAGTATTGTGAGGTGTGATGAGAGTGAGGTGGTTGTTAATTGAAGAGTGGTGGTTTGTAGAGAACTAGTGTGTGTTTGTGTGTGTGTGAGAGCGAGAAGGGTGAGATACATTGGATGAATGTTGAAGGAGGAGTGTGTGCTAGTGATGCAGTGAATGATTGAGAGAGTGAGTGATTGAGCGATGCACAGAATGTTGTATAGATTGATGTCGTGCAGTGATGGCATGCATAGAGTGATGGCACGCAGTGATTGAGACATCGATGTGTTGAGTGAATGATGGAGTGTGTGGTTGATGGATTGAGTGATTGACTGAGTGACTGATGAAATGAATGAGTGTGTGATTGATTGATTGAGTGATTGCATGATTGATTGATCGATTGAGTGAGTGAGTGAGTGAGTGAGCGTGTGAGTGAGTAATTATGTGTGTGTATGTGTGTGAATGCGTGACGCGTTTGGAGTCAGTGTTTATAGGAGTGTGATTGTAGTGAGTGATGGATAGTGTATGTTGAAGCTGTGAGTGGTGTGATTCGATTGTTTGTGTGTTGATTGGAATTGAGTGTGTTGTTGATGGAGTAGTTTAGTTGGTTAGTAGGCTAGTGGAGAATGTAGGATGGTTGTGTGTGAGTGTTGTTGTGTGTGAGCGTGTGAGCATGTGGGAATGTGGGAGTGAGTGTGTGAGTGTTTGATAAATTGATTGTGTAAAAGAATGTAGGAGTGATTGAGTGTGTGGTTGAATGAGTGAATGATCGAGTTGTTGATTGTTCTATTGAAAATGTGGATATGTGTGAGATGTGTGGTGTTGTGTGTTGAGACGGAGTGAAATGAAAATGGGATACGTACCTGTTTGCATTGGTGTTGTCGGTGGTGTTTGTACTGGTGTTGTGAGTGGTGTTTGCAGTGTGGTTGATTCTGGCGACTGGAATTCCGTAGTGGGTATTGTAGGTGTTGTGTCGATCGGTTGTGATGTGTATGTGGTTTGTTGATACTGAGTTGGTTGAGTGATGATATCAGTGGTTGGTGGAATGGATGTGGAATCGGAATGGAGACCTGTTGAGCAGGAGTGGTAGGAAATGTGAGAGTGAGTGTGTGGCATGTGGATGATGACATATAATGAGGGCGGTGAATTGAGAGTATTGTGAGGTGTGATGAGAGTGAGGTGGTTGTTAATTGAAGAGTGGTGGTTTGTAGAGAACTAGTGTGTGTATGTGTGTGTGTGTGTTTGTGTGAGAGCGAGAAGGGTGAGATACATTGGATGAATGTTGAAGGAGGAGTGTGTGCTAGTGATGCAGTGAATGATTGAGAGAGTGAGTGATTGAGCGATGCACAGAATGTTGTATAGATTGATGTCGTGCAGTGATGGCATGCATAGAGTGATGGCACGCAGTGATTGAGACATCGATGTGTTGAGTGAATGATGGAGTGTGTGGTTGATGGATTGAGTGATTGACTGAGTGACTGATGAAATGAGTGAGTGTGTGATTGATTGATTGAGTGATTGCATGATTGATTGATCGATTGAGTGAGTGAGTGAGTGAGCGTGTGAGTGAGTAATTATGTGTGTGTATGTGTGTGAATGCGTGACGCGTTTGGAGTCAGTGTTTATAGGAGTGTGATTGTAGTGAGTGATGGATAGTGTATGTTGAAGCTGTGAGTGGTGTGATTCGATTGTTTGTGTGTTGATTGGAATTGAGTGTGTTGTTGATGGAGTAGTTTAGTTGGTTAGTAGGCTAGTGGAGAATGTAGGATGGTTGTGTGTGAGTGTTGTTGTGTGTGAGCGTGTGAGCATGTGGGAATGTGGGAGTGAGTGTGTGAGTGTTTGATAAATTGATTGTGTAAAAGAATGTAGGAGTGATTGAGTGTGTGGTTGAATGAGTGAATGATCGAGTTGTTGATTGTTCTATTGAAAATGTGGATATGTGTGAGATGTGTGGTGTTGTGTGTTGAGACGGAGTGAAATGAAAATGGGATACGTACCTGTTTGCATTGGTGTTGTCGGTGGTGTTTGTACTGGTGTTGTGAGTGGTGTTTGCAGTGTGGTTGATTCTGGCGACTGGAATTCCGTAGTGGGTATTGTAGGTGTTGTGTCGATCGGTTGTGATGTGGATGTGGTTTGTTGATACTGAGTTGGTTGAGTGATGATATCAGTGGTTGGTGGAATGGATGTGGAATCGGAATGGAGACCTGTTGAGCAGGAGTGGTAGGAAATGTGAGAGTGAGTGTGTGGCATGTGGATGATGACATATAATGAGGGCGGTGAATTGAGAGTATTGTGAGGTGTGATGAGAGTGAGGTGGTTGTTAATTGAAGAGTGGTGGTTTGTAGAGAACTAGTGTGTGTTTGTGTGTGTGTGTGTGTTTGTGTGAGAGCGAGAAGGGTGAGATACATTGGATGAATGTTGAAGGAGGAGTGTGTGCTAGTGATGCAGTGAATGATTGAGAGAGTGAGTGATTGAGTGATGCACAGAATGTTGTATAGATTGATGTCGTGCAGTGATGGCATGCATAGAGTGATGGCACGCAGTGATTGAGACATCGATGTGTTGAGTGAATGATGGAGTGTGTGGTTGATGGATTGAGTGATTGACTGAGTGACTGATGAAATGAGTGAGTGTGTGATTGATTGATTGAGTGATTGCATGATTGATTGATCGATTGAGTGAGTGAGTGAGTGAGTGAGCGTGTGAGTGAGTAATTATGTGTGTGTATGTGTGTGAATGCGTGACGCGTTTGGAGTCAGTGTTTATAGGAGTGTGATTGTAGTGAGTGATGGATAGTGTATGTTGAAGCTGTGAGTGGTGTGATTCGATTGTTTGTGTGTTGATTGGAATTGAGTGTGTTGTTGATGGAGTAGTTTAGTTGGTTAGTAGGCTAGTGGAGAATGTAGGATGGTTGTGTGTGAGTGTTGTTGTGTGTGAGCGTGTGAGCATGTGGGAATGTGGGAGTGAGTGTGTGAGTGTTTGATAAATTGATTGTGTAAAAGAATGTAGGAGTGATTGAGTGTGTGTTTGAATGTGTGAATGATCGAGTTGTTGATTGTTCTATTGAAAATGTGGATATGTGTGAGATGTGTGGTGTTGTGTGTTGAGACGGAGTGAAATGAAAATGGGATACGTACCTGTTTGCATTGGTGTTGTCGGTGGTGTTTGTACTGGTGTTGTGAGTGGTGTTTGCAGTGTGGTTGATTCTGGCGACTGGAATTCCGTAGTGGGTATTGTAGGTGTTGTGTCGATCGGTTGTGATGTGGATGTGGTTTGTTGATACTGAGTTGGTTGAGTGATGATATCAGTGGTTGGTGGAATGGATGTGGAATCGGAATGGAGACCTGTTGAGCAGGAGTGGTAGGAAATGTGAGAGTGAGTGTGTGGCATGTGGATGATGACATAGAATGAGGGCGGTGAATTGAGAGTATTGTGAGGTGTGATGAGAGTGAGGTGGTTGTTAATTGAAGAGTGGTGGTTTGTAGAGAACTAGTGTGTGTTTGTGTGTGTGTGAGAGCGAGAAGGGTGAGATACATTGGATGAATGTTGAAGGAGGAGTGTGTGCTAGTGATGCAGTGAATGATTGAGAGAGTGAGTGATTGAGCGATGCACAGAATGTTGTATAGATTGATGTCGTGCAGTGATGGCATGCATAGAGTGATGGCACGCAGTGATTGAGACATCGATGTGTTGAGTGAATGATGGAGTGTGTGGTTGATGGATTGAGTGATTGACTGAGTGACTGATGAAATGAATGAGTGTGTGATTGATTGATTGAGTGATTGCATGATTGATTGATCGATTGAGTGAGTGAGTGAGTGAGTGAGCGTGTGAGTGAGTAATTATGTGTGTGTATGTGTGTGAATGCGTGACGCGTTTGGAGTCAGTGTTTATAGGAGTGTGATTGTAGTGAGTGATGGATAGTGTATGTTGAAGCTGTGAGTGGTGTGATTCGATTGTTTGTGTGTTGATTGGAATTGAGTGTGTTGTTGATGGAGTAGTTTAGTTGGTTAGTAGGCTAGTGGAGAATGTAGGATGGTTGTGTGTGAGTGTTGTTGTGTGTGAGCGTGTGAGCATGTGGGAATGTGGGAGTGAGTGTGTGAGTGTTTGATAAATTGATTGTGTAAAAGAATGTAGGAGTGATTGAGTGTGTGGTTGAATGAGTGAATGATCGAGTTGTTGATTGTTCTATTGAAAATGTGGATATGTGTGAGATGTGTGGTGTTGTGTGTTGAGACGGAGTGAAATGAAAATGGGATACGTACCTGTTTGCATTGGTGTTGTCGGTGGTGTTTGTACTGGTGTTGTGAGTGGTGTTTGCAGTGTGGTTGATTCTGGCGACTGGAATTCCGTAGTGGGTATTGTAGGTGTTGTGTCGATCGGTTGTGATGTGTATGTGGTTTGTTGATACTGAGTTGGTTGAGTGATGATATCAGTGGTTGGTGGAATGGATGTGGAATCGGAATGGAGACCTGTTGAGCAGGAGTGGTAGGAAATGTGAGAGTGAGTGTGTGGCATGTGGATGATGACATATAATGAGGGCGGTGAATTGAGAGTATTGTGAGGTGTGATGAGAGTGAGGTGGTTGTTAATTGAAGAGTGGTGGTTTGTAGAGAACTAGTGTGTGTATGTGTGTGTGTGTGTTTGTGTGAGAGCGAGAAGGGTGAGATACATTGGATGAATGTTGAAGGAGGAGTGTGTGCTAGTGATGCAGTGAATGATTGAGAGAGTGAGTGATTGAGCGATGCACAGAATGTTGTATAGATTGATGTCGTGCAGTGATGGCATGCATAGAGTGATGGCACGCAGTGATTGAGACATCGATGTGTTGAGTGAATGATGGAGTGTGTGGTTGATGGATTGAGTGATTGACTGAGTGACTGATGAAAAGAGTGAGTGTGTGATTGATTGATTGAGTGATTGCATGATTGATTGATCGATTGAGTGAGTGAGTGAGTGAGCGTGTGAGTGAGTAATTATGTGTGTGTATGTGTGTGAATGCGTGACGCGTTTGGAGTCAGTGTTTATAGGAGTGTGATTGTAGTGAGTGATGGATAGTGTATGTTGAAGCTGTGAGTGGTGTGATTCGATTGTTTGTGTGTTGATTGGAATTGAGTGTGTTGTTGATGGAGTAGTTTAGTTGGTTAGTAGGCTAGTGGAGAATGTAGGATGGTTGTGTGTGAGTGTTGTTGTGTGTGAGCGTGTGAGCATGTGGGAATGTGGGAGTGAGTGTGTGAGTGTTTGATAAATTGATTGTGTAAAAGAATGTAGGAGTGATTGAGTGTGTGGTTGAATGAGTGAATGATCGAGTTGTTGATTGTTCTATTGAAAATGTGGATATGTGTGAGATGTGTGGTGTTGTGTGTTGAGACGGAGTGAAATGAAAATGGGATACGTACCTGTTTGCATTGGTGTTGTCGGTGGTGTTTGTACTGGTGTTGTGAGTGGTGTTTGCAGTGTGGTTGATTCTGGCGACTGGAATTCCGTAGTGGGTATTGTAGGTGTTGTGTCGATCGGTTGTGATGTGGATGTGGTTTGTTGATACTGAGTTGGTTGAGTGATGATATCAGTGGTTGGTGGAATGGATGTGGAATCGGAATGGAGACCTGTTGAGCAGGAGTGGTAGGAAATGTGAGAGTGAGTGTGTGGCATGTGGATGATGACATATAATGAGGGCGGTGAATTGAGAGTATTGTGAGGTGTGATGAGAGTGAGGTGGTTGTTAATTGAAGAGTGGTGGTTTGTAGAGAACTAGTGTGTGTTTGTGTGTGTGTGTGTGTTTGTGTGAGAGCGAGAAGGGTGAGATACATTGGATGAATGTTGAAGGAGGAGTGTGTGCTAGTGATGCAGTGAATGATTGAGAGAGTGAGTGATTGAGTGATGCACAGAATGTTGTATAGATTGATGTCGTGCAGTGATGGCATGCATAGAGTGATGGCACGCAGTGATTGAGACATCGATGTGTTGAGTGAATGATGGAGTGTGTGGTTGATGGATTGAGTGATTGACTGAGTGACTGATGAAATGAGTGAGTGTGTGATTGATTGATTGAGTGATTGCATGATTGATTGATCGATTGAGTGAGTGAGTGAGTGAGTGAGCGTGTGAGTGAGTAATTATGTGTGTGTATGTGTGTGAATGCGTGACGCGTTTGGAGTCAGTGTTTATAGGAGTGTGATTGTAGTGAGTGATGGATAGTGTATGTTGAAGCTGTGAGTGGTGTGATTCGATTGTTTGTGTGTTGATTGGAATTGAGTGTGTTGTTGATGGAGTAGTTTAGTTGGTTAGTAGGCTAGTGGAGAATGTAGGATGGTTGTGTGTGAGTGTTGTTGTGTGTGAGCGTGTGAGCATGTGGGAATGTGGGAGTGAGTGTGTGAGTGTTTGATAAATTGATTGTGTAAAAGAATGTAGGAGTGATTGAGTGTGTGTTTGAATGTGTGAATGATCGAGTTGTTGATTGTTCTATTGAAAATGTGGATATGTGTGAGATGTGTGGTGTTGTGTGTTGAGACGGAGTGAAATGAAAATGGGATACGTACCTGTTTGCATTGGTGTTGTCGGTGGTGTTTGTACTGGTGTTGTGAGTGGTGTTTGCAGTGTGGTTGATTCTGGCGACTGGAATTCCGTAGTGGGTATTGTAGGTGTTGTGTCGATCGGTTGTGATGTGGATGTGGTTTGTTGATACTGAGTTGGTTGAGTGATGATATCAGTGGTTGGTGGAATGGATGTGGAATCGGAATGGAGACCTGTTGAGCAGGAGTGGTAGGAAATGTGAGAGTGAGTGTGTGGCATGTGGATGATGACATAGAATGAGGGCGGTGAATTGAGAGTATTGTGAGGTGTGATGAGAGTGAGGTGGTTGTTAATTGAAGAGTGGTGGTTTGTAGAGAACTAGTGTTTGTATGTGTGTGTGTTTGTGTGAGAGCGAGAAGGGTGAGATACATTGGATGAATGTTGAATGGGGAGTGTGTGCTAGTGATGCAGTGAATGATTGAGAGAGTGAGTGATTGAGTGATGCACAGAATGTTGTATAGATTGATGTCGTGCAGTGATGGCATGCATAGAGTGATGGCACGCAGTGATTGAGACATCGATGTGTTGAGTGAATGATGGAGTGTGTGGTTGATGGATTGAGTGATTGACTGAGTGACTGATGAAATGAGTGAGTGTGTGATTGATTGATTGAGTGATTGCATGATTGATTGATCGATTGAGTGAGTGAGTGAGTGAGTGAGCGTGTGAGTGAGTAATTATGTGTGTGTATGTGTGTGAATGCGTGACGCGTTTGGAGTCAGTGTTTATAGGAGTGTGATTGTAGTGAGTGATGGATAGTGTATGTTGAAGATGTGATTGGTGTGATTCGATTGTTTGTGTGTTGATTGGAATTGAGTGTGTTGTTGATGGAGTAGTTTAGTTGGTTAGTAGGCTAGTGGAGAATGTAGGATGGTTGTGTGTGAGTGTTGTTGTGTGTGAGCGTGTGAGCATGTGGGAATGTGGGAGTGAGTGTGTGAGTGTTTGATAAATTGATTGTGTAAAAGAATGTAGGAGTGATTGAGTGTGTGTTTGAATGTGTGAATGATCGAGTTGTTGATTGTTCTATTGAAAATGTGGATATGTGTGAGATGTGTGGTGTTGTGTGTTGAGACGGAGTGAAATGAAAATGGGATACGTACCTGTTTGCATTGGTGTTGTCGGTGGTGTTTGTACTGGTGTTGTGAGTGGTGTTTGCAGTGTGGTTGATTCTGGCGACTGGAATTCCGTAGTGGGTATTGTAGGTGTTGTGTCGATCGGTTGTGATGTGGATGTGGTTTGTTGATACTGAGTTGGTTGAGTGATGATATCAGTGGTTGGTGGAATGGATGTGGAATCGGAATGGAGACCTGTTGAGAAGGAGTGGTAGGAAATGTGAGAGTGAGTGTGTGGCATGTGGATGATGACATAGAATGAGGGCGGTGAATTGAGAGTATTGTGAGGTGTGATGAGAGTGAGGTGGTTGTTAATTGAAGAGTGGTGGTTTGTAGAGAACTAGTGTGTGTATGTGTGTGTGTGTGTGTTTGTGTGAGAGCGAGAAGGGTGAGATACATTGGATGAATGTTGAAGGAGGAGTGTGTGCTAGTGATGCAGTGAATGATTGAGAGAGTGAGTGATTGAGTGATGCACAGAATGTTGTATAGATTGATGTCGTGCAGTGATGGCATGCATAGAGTGATGGCACGCAGTGATTGAGACATCGATGAGTTGAGTGAATGATGGATTGTGTGTTTGAATAAGTGATTGATTGATTGAGTGATTGCATGATTGATTGATCGATTGAGTGAGTGAGTGAGCGTGTGAGTGAGTAATTATGTGTGTGTATGTGTGTGAATGCGTGACGCGTTTGGAGTCAGTGTTTATAGGAGTGTGATTGTAGTGAGTGATGGATAGTGTATGTTGAAGATGTGATTGGTGTGATTCGATTGTTTGTGTGTTGATTGGAATTGAGTGTGTTGTTGATGGAGTAGTTTAGTTGGTTAGTAGGCTAGTAGTGAATGTAGGATGGTTGTGTGTGAGTGTTTGATAAATTGATTGTGTAAGAATTTGTTGGAGTGTTTTTTTGAGTGACTGAGTTTTTGTCTATTGATTATGTTAGTGAATAATTATATTTATGTGTCAATTTTTCCATCTTTAACTCCTCCGTGGATTACTGCCTGTCCCATGCTTGATTGAAATAGGGGGGTCGGTCATGTTTTCAGCGATCACATCCTGTAGAAATCCAACTCGCTAAAAGGAAAACCCTTACCAGATAATATTGTCCAAACTATTTTTACATTGCCCTTGGTTTAGAAGTAATCATTATGACGTCTCATGATGAAAGCGGAGTTCCTTCGGAATTCGTGAGGCCGATGCACCTTCTTACGATCAGAGCGACAATTTTTATAGGTACATGGAATGTCCGAACAATATGGGAGACCGGAAGAGTCTTCCAAATTGCTGCAGAAATGAGACAATACAACTTGGAGGTTCTTGGAATCAGCGAAACACATTGGACGCAGGTTGGACAACAACGACTGTCTTCAGGAGAACTTCTGTTATACTCCGGTCATGAAGAAGAAAATGCCCCACATACACAAGGAGATGCATTGATGCTGTCCAGAAAAGCACAAAATGCACTTATTGAATGGGAATCTCATGGACCAAGGATCATCAAAGCCTCCTTCAAAACAAATAGAGAGCATTACAATGAGCGTCATTCAATGCTATGCGCCTACCAATGACTACGATGAAGACACTGAAGACCAATTCTACGGTAGGCTGCAGTCGATCTTCGAGAAGTGCCCAACCAAGGACCTGACCATTCTGATGGGAGATTTCAATGCCAAGGTTGGAATGGACAACACTGGATACGAAGACGTTATGGGACGACATGGACTGGGAGAAAGGAACGAAAATGGTGAGAGATTTGCAAACCTATGTGCCTTCAATAAACTGGTCATAGGTGGCACCATATTCCCACCCAAAAACATACACAAAGCCACTTGGATTTCACCGGATCACATTACACAGAATCAAATCGACCATATCTGCATCAACAAAACGTTCAGGAGGACGATGGAGGATGTGAGAACCAGAAGAGGAGCTGATACAGCATCCGATCATCATTCGCTTGTCGCCAAGATGAAACTAAAACTTAAAAAGCAGTGGACAACGGCGCGGACAACATCACAAAAGTTCAATACGGCCTTTCTTCGAGATGCTAACAAACTCAACAAATTCAACATAAACATCAGCAACAGGTTCGTGGCCCTCTATGATCTACTCAATGGAGAGGAAGCTACCATGGAGAGCAACTGGAAAGGTATGAAAGAGGCAATCGTTTCAACATGTCAAGAGGTTCTGGGTCAAAAGAAGCACCATCACAAGGAATGGATCACTGTTGGTACACTGGATAAGATTGAAGAAAGGAGGAACAAGAATGCAGTAATCAATATCAGCCGAACAAGAGCAGAAAAAGCCAAGGCACAAGCCGAATACACAAAGGCAAACAAGCAAGTGAAGAGGAGCATCAGAACCGACAAACGTAAATATGTGGAAGATTTAGCAATGACAGCGGAAAAGGCTGCAAGAGAGGGAAACATAAGATAACTGTATGATACAACAAAGAAACTTGCTGGAAATTACCGTAAGCCAGAAAGACCAGTGAAAAACAAGGAAGGCAAAGTAATCCCCGACATTGAAGAACAACGAAACAGGTGGGTAGAACAATTCAAAGAACTCTTGAATCGACCAGCTCCACTTAACCCACTCAACATCGAAGCAGCACCCACAGACCTCCCAATCGATGTTGGCACACCAACAATTGAGGAGATCAGCTTGGCCATTAGACAAATCAAGAGCGGCAAAGCAGCGGGACCAGGCAACCTCCCGGCAGAGGCACTGAAAGCAAATGTAACAGTAACTGCCAAGATACTACACATTCTCTTCAGTAGGATTTGGGACGAATAACAAGTATCAACAGACTGGAAAAAAAGACTTCTGATCAAGATACCAAAGAAAGGCGATCTCAGCAAGTGTGATAACTACAGAGGCATCACTCTTCTCTCAATACCAGGAAAAGTCTTCAACCGAGTATTGTTAAACAGGATGAAGGATTCCGTGGACGCCCAACTTCGAGATCAACAAGCTGGATTTCGTAAGGATAGATCGTGTACAGACCAAATCACAACTCTACGTATCATTGTGGAACAATCAATCGAATGGAATTCATCACTGTAAATCAACTTCATCGACTACGAGAAGGCATTTGATAGCGTGGACAGGACGACACTATGGAAGCTCCTTCGACACTATGGCGTGCCTGAGATAGTCAATATCATACGGAACTCTATGATGGACTAAACTGCCAAATCGTCCACGGAGGACAACTCACCGACTCGTTTGAAGTAAAGACCGGTGTTGGGCAAGGTTGCTTACTCTCACCCTATCTTTTTCTCCTGGTCATCGACTGAATTATGAAAACGTCAACATGTGGAGGAATGCACGGGATAAAAGTGGACAGGCAGGATGCAGCTTGACGATTTAGACTTCGCGGATGATCTGGCTCTTCTATCACAAACGCAACAACAGATGCAGGAGAAAACGACCAGTGTAGCAGCAGACTCAGCAGCAGTAGGTCTCAATATGCACAAAGGGAAAAGCAAGACTCTCCGATACAATACAATATGCACCAATCCAATTACACTTGACGGAGAAGCTTTGGAGGATGTGTAAATCTTTAAATATCTGGGTAGCATCATCGATGAACACGGTGGATCAGATGCAGATGTGATGGCGAGGATCGGCATAGCAAGAGCAGTATATCTGCAACTGAAGAACATCTGGAACTCAAAACAATTGTCAACGAAAACCAAGGTTAGAATTTTCAATGCAAATGTCAAGACAGTTCTACTGTATGGAGCGGAGACGTGGAGAACTACGAAAGCCATTATTCAGAAGATACAAGTGTTTATTAACAGCTGTCTACGCAAGATACTTCGGATCTGATGGCCAGATATTATCAGCAACAAGTAACTGTGGGAGACAACAAACCCGATTACAGCGAAAGAAGAATATTGGAAGAAGTGCTTGAAGTGGATTAGGCACACCTTGAGGAAAGCATCCAATTGTGTCACAAGACAAGTCCTCACATGGAATACTGAAGGTCAAAAGAAGATGGGAAGACCAAAGAACACAGTACGCCCTAAAAATAGAGACATACATGAGAAAAATGAACAAACATTGGATGGAATTAGAAAAGAAAATCCAAGATAGAGTGCGTTGGAGAAAGCTGGTCAACGGCCTACGATCCGTTGAGAGCAACAGGCGTATAAAAAAAAGAAAGAAAGCATGTGTGTGAATACTTGACGCGTTCGGAGACAGTGTTTATAGGAGTGTGATTGTAGTGAGTGATGGATAGTGTATGTTGAAGATGTGATTGGTGTGATTCGATTGTTTGTGTGTTGATTGGAATTGAGTGTGTTGTTGATGGAGTAGTTTAGTTGGTTAGTAGGCTAGTGGAGAATGTAGGATGGTTGTGCGTGAGTGTTGTTGTGTGTAAGCGTGTGAGCATGTGGGAATGTGGGAGTGAGTGTGTGAGTGTTTGATAAATTGATTGTGTAAAAGAATGTAGGAGTGATTGAGTGTGTGGTTGAATGAGTGAATGATCGAGTTGTTGATTGTTCTATTGAAAATGTGGATATGTGTGAGATGTGTGGTGTTGTGTGTTGAGACGGAGTGAAATGAAAATGGGATACGTACCTGTTTGCATTGGTGTTGTCGGTGGTGTTTGTACTGGTGTTGTGAGTGGTGTTTGCAGTGTGGTTGATTCTGGCGACTGGAATTCCGTAGTGGGTATTGTAGGTGTTGTGTCGATCGGTTGTGATGTGGATGTGGTTTGTTGATACTGAGTTGGTTGAGTGATGATATCAGTGGTTGGTGGAATGGATGTGGAATCGGAATGGAGACCTGTTGAGAAGGAGTGGTAGGAAATGTGAGAGTGAGTGTGTGGCATGTGGATGATGACATAGAATGAGGGCGGTGAATTGAGAGTATTGTGAGGTGTGATGAGAGTGAGGTGGTTGTTAATTGAAGAGTGGTGGTTTGTAGAGAACTAGTGTGTGTTTGTGTGTGTGTATGTGTTTGTGTGAGAGCGAGAAGGGTGAGATACATTGGATGAATGTTGAATGGGGAGTGTGTGCTAGTGATGCAGTGAATGATTGAGAGAGTGAGTGATTGAGTGATGCACAGAATGTTGTATAGATTGATGTCGTGCAGTGATGGCATGCATAGAGTGATGGCACGCAGTGATTGAGACATCGATGTGTTGAGTGAATGATGGAGTGTGTGGTTGATGGATTGAGTGATTGACTGATGAAATGAGTGAGTGTGTGATTGATTGATTGAGTGATTGCATGATTGATTGATCGATTGAGTGAGTGAGTGAGTGAGTGAGCGTGTGAGTGAGTAATTATGTGTGTGTATGTGTGTGAATGCGTGACGCGTTTGGAGTCAGTGTTTATAGGAGTGTGATTGTAGTGAGTGATGGATAGTGTATGTTGAAGCTGTGAGTGGTGTGATTCGATTGTTTGTGTGTTGATTGGAATTGAGTGTGTTGTTGATGGAGTAGTTTAGTTGGTTAGTAGTCTAGTGGAGAATGTAGGATGGTTGTGTGTGAGTGTTGTTGTGTGTGACCGTGTGCGCGTTTGATGTAGTCATGCAATAAATCATTTAAACTTTCATCCGGTCTCTCACTCACTCGATTTCTCTTGAGTATTAACTTTCACATTTCTATATATATGTTTTCTGTGATTTTTCATCTTTATTCTTACCAGTTTTGTCTGGTTCATATTCGCTGAATTTCGTTATAGCTTCTACTTCATTGATGCTTGTCTGTTAAGCATTGTACACGATTTGATGAACAGACTTCGTCATCAATTATTTACTTTTGCTGATAAACGATGTTTTGGTGTATGAATCAATGTTTACAATAAGGAGGTAATAAAAGACTCACCCAATGACGAGTGCTTGGATAATTCTGTTGAAGTGTGTGGTTCTGTGCTGATGACGTCTTGGTTGGTAGTGAACTCTTCAAATTGAATTTGTATACTGGTCTGAGTAAGTTGGACGATTGTTGTGGAATCTGGTGTAACCACTATAGAAATGTAGGAGAAGAGGAATTTGTCGATGAGTTGTGAATACTTATGTCATTGATCGAGTGAGTGAATGAGTTATTACATGGTAACGCGGCGTTAGTCGACAGGTAATATTTTAAAGAAAATGAACTACGTAGAATGTGTATTTGAAGTGTTGGAAGATAGAGAACATATATTCCCACATATGCATGCTTTGTCCATCGCAATCTACTTTGTTGACTTCTCCAAATAACCGCAGTAATATGAAGGTTCACAATGTATTAATTTAGCATAAACTTATTTATTATTGTGATCGCTGATACAGTCTACTCATCATCATAATGTCTATTTGAGTATCATGTAGGCTACAACTGAACTGGTTCTCATGACAGACATTTGTCCGACAGTCTTATTTGTGTATTCTAACTAAAACATTGATTGTACACATCACTCATGATGAAAATTCACTAATTGATTTACCTAGATCTTACTGTTAGTATAGACACTTTCCAGTATTAATTGTTCAATGGACTGCATGCAGTCAAGAAGACTGGTAAACACTTGATGGATGACAATGTCGAAATGTTGTTGAAACTTATGTTTCTCTTGTACGAGTTACCTTATTCGCCAATCTGTATTTCTCTCCATCTAATAAAACTCCAGCTTGTAATCTCGATTGCTCGAGGTTTTTTCACTTACCGTTTTCATCCCATAAGATAAATGTCTCCAATTATCATAGGTGCAATTTAACTGGTTATTTGCTCACAGAACAATTTGTCGGGAGTTCTTATGTTTCCCACTCGTCTTTTATTTAATAAAGGAACCTGGACAATATATACAGGAATGTGAACTCGAAGCAATCAAGTCACTTGATCAAGCATATCTAATAGCTATTATAAATCTTATAAAGTGTTTCCCCTGACCTACCGTTAGTTTCTACATTGAATAATTGTATTTCACTGCTTGAATTCGCTTGATTGTATCCTGTAACGAGAATGTTGTTGAATTCTGTCTCATTAAGTTCTGTTGCATTCGGTGACACAAGTTGTATATCTGAACTCGCCTGTACACCTTGTGTAGAGTTTCCACTCGAGTTCCCTGTTGTGTCAACTTGACGTTTTTGATAATAAAATATGATGACTGGTGTGAAAACAACATTTTGACATTTTGCATCTTTTGTAATATGTGGATTGCCCAAACGTAAACTATTTAAGACCTGGTCATTGATGAGTGGGAGAAAAGAGAATAGTGATTAGTCTTGTTATTTTGCATCGTACACGACTGTAGTAGCTTCGTTTTACGCAACAGTGAACATATCTTAAGTTATTCGATAGTTGTAAACTCTCGGTTTCTTTTTCCATTCTTCACAATTGACTAAGAATTTTCCGCGCCATTATTGACGGCTCAGTCGTTCGTATAGAATACGGGTTTGGTGGTCTGCTGTTGTCTGACTCGAATGTGTTTGTCCAAAGTCGCATGTGCTTGGTCATTTATGGTTGTGTCTTCATTTGCGATCGGATTTTCAACTATTAAGACCTTGTGTATGCTCATGATCAGTCAGATGGTATCAAGCCTAGTCAGTCAGAAACACAACAGAATCCGCCACCTACGAGACATCTTTTAGGAACTTAATGACACGTATCACAAATTACACCTAAAATGTCTATCAATCATTGTGATTCTTTCTTTCGTGAGGGTTGATGCTAAATATTTTCTGTTGTATCATCATTATTGTAGTCAAAGAAAATTATTTTACAATTGGTATGTGAAGCAGTCATCACAAACATAGACACTCGTACTAAATGTCGAGGTAGTTATGATAATTCTTCAAAGGCACATTGGTTTGTGCAAACGACTTCTAAGTCAGTGGATGAAAACAACCGTGACGACGGAAAACAACACTCTATCAGTTGTCAGCATGTGAATGGAATGATAAGCAATATGAATGCAAATGGAACTATTATTCCAAATGTCCATGGATTCAGTTCTATGGTGAATGTAAACAAGTTCCCAGTCTTCTCGTCTCCCACATAACTGAGTGTTCATTTCGTGGTTCACTGACTGAAGTGTATTCAAACAACCGAAACAGAATAACAACTGACCAGTCGATATGGAGCTTACATACACAGAATTGTGTTAGAACATATTGGAGAATCTGTTTGACGTCAGATGTTCAATATGTCGGAATTATTATTGAAGTGAGACCAATCGGTTACTATATTTTCTGTTTTTCACTCTTCACTACACACACATCCTGAGATGTAAGCTGACTGTGATTTCCGTGGAGTGCGATACAATTTTTGGGGAGTGAAAGTGTGATGAGAATAAGCGTGTAGCTGTAAATAATTACCTAAAATCAATAGCTTTCTAAGTGTTCGACATTGGATGCTGACCACGTTGTTTAAGTGGACTTGTTTAACCGAAGACTTTCGGTCATACATCCGTACCAGATCACGTTTTGACCCAGCGTGGGACACTGCTCCTACGTTCACTAGTCAGCATAGAGTAAACGCTTCTCGATATATTGATAACCTATCAAATATATCTTTCCCATCTCTGACTTGTGATTTCGATTGGTTGGGAACGCTTCGTACAAAAGTGTTACTGGAAGCTAGTTGTAAAATTAAAATACTAGTCGTATCTGTAAAGTGTGATCGATAAGTGAACACACCAATGATAGGTGAAACGCTCACCACCGCACTTAATTCTTTGACCTTGTATGACTGTCTTTGTTTTATCCACCAATCACAATTTTATGTTCATTCTGAAACAATATTCCCCCTTTTTGACTCACTTTTCCTATTCTCCAGTTACTGTTCGGTATGTCATTTATATTTCTCCCTTTCACTATGTAATAGACTACTGTTTATTCACATACTAATGTTGTCAATTTACGTTTTAGAAACATACAAAGTTTATTAAGCCAAATAGCTTACTTGTTCTGACTTTGGCGAAACCAAGACTCTGTATTCGACAGTTTAGAGAATAGCTTAAAGTTACCCCTGTAGGAAATTGCTTCCTACAAAGTTTCGAACAGTAAACGTCGATGTACTTACTAAAATGGCTTCTAATAAATACTACAATCCCGATGATATTCCAGAGTTATCACCTCATTGTCTGGGAGTTTATGATGAGGACCAATTTGAAAAGGACAAACCCGAAACCGATAGCATAGGATAGCTTAGGATACTAGTCGTATCCTCAAGTAACTAAACTCTCATCCTACTGCATAAAGATTCGAATGAATACGGACCACTTCTAAACTTACTAATTGACAGAATGATTGTGACAGGTTTTTATAGTATTCAGTCAGCGGATTCAACAAGTCATCAGTCCATATATGTGGTTTCGCTCCTTGATCTTTATACAACACTCCTTTTACTCTGAAGACGGCAACTGAAAGTATATATGACAAACAGCAATCACGTAATCTCAAGTTCGACATAAAACATCAAATTTAATAAAAGATATGCAATGAAACAATATGAATGTGCAATAATTGTGGATGAATCATTATTTTTCATTCGTGATTATAAAAATAGGATGTGAATCATATCTTCTCAATTTAATGATAACCATGAAACTGTTAGCATAATATGTTATCGTCATATTTGATCGAATATTCAGTGTTCATGGTAATTTGTATCATTTAATCAAAGTTCGTGTTACAATGCCTTGTTAACAAAAAGACTAGGGTGCCTTGGTACGGTCGGTTAGCACGTGAGAAACTATTCAGAAGACGAGGATTTCGCAAAAAAACATTTAAACGACCACAACGAATAGAAATTTACATTCAATCGACTGAACGCGATGTACATCTTTGATTTGGATCGACAACACAAAAAAATATATTCCACTGAATTATGCTAGCGTAGAATTGTAATAATATAAGTGAACAACAGTGATTATCATACAAGCTATGTATGTAAATGTGCATATCAACGTTTTCCAGATTGAGTATTAGAAAAAGAGTGCGGCAACGTACAAAGCCAAGCACATTGATTTGAGCTCCATATATATGGATGGTTGAAATTAATTAAAACTTACGAAGACATTTAATGGTACTGACTGTGAAACAGTCTACAAAATGAGGTTCAACAATAGAAGGAGCATTAAAGCAACCTCAAAATGCCTTGTATATATGTTTGAATGTGGAAATGTATTAAAAGGTGTTTCTTCATCGAAAAATATGTCGAACTGCTCAAAATACAAAGAGTAATATGAGGTAAAATGCATTGAAGTATAAGTACAATGAGGACGATTATGCGAAATGTGTTGGTATTAGGGGACCGAAAATGTAATGGTGGACAAAATGCTCATGAACAAACCTCAGTCATAAGAAAAAGAATACAAGATCAGAGCTGGACACAGATATTCAGGATCTAAGCGACTGGAGTTGTGGTCGTATGACAAAGTATATTTCTGTTCGCTTAATATTAGAAAGACAATATCAGTGCACAAATGCATGAAATTGTGTGAATAAGAAGAGTTTGTATCGGAGTACATAGGTGAACAAGATTATGGGATAGAGAATGTGCTGCAACTTAGCCGCAAATCTTGAAATTCTTTGGAGTTGTTTGTGTGTTTTAGTATATCGGAGACCGTCTTTAATTTATTCGTGTGCATGAGTGTTATTGTTGATAGACGAGTGAACTTTGACCAAAGTGAATGATTTTTAGACCAAACTAGCAATGCGATGCGTTCACGGGTTTTAATATGAATCAAGTGAGTTAGAAGATGATGAGATGCGTGGTAGAGTGGCACCAACGACTGAAGAATTGGTTTTAGAGAGAGGACTTGAAACTGAGAGAACCAATTGGTGAATGAAATATTTTTGAAAAACACAATAACTGAAAAGATGTTATGTCTACTTACTAGTTTGGACTGGTGTTGCAGCAGATATCACCACTACCGATGGCGTTTGTGTAAACGTCGAGGTTGCTGTGCTGCTGAACAAAAGTGACGGTGTTGAGTCTTGAGATTGAGTCGGGTGAGTAATGCCAGTTGTTGGTGGGATAATTGTGGAACCCGATGCAAAATCTGTTGAGAACAAGTAGTAAGAATTAACTGATATTCAAAGATATAACGATCGTTTGAAATGTACGTCTACATTAATGTGAAAAGATTAAGGGAGAGAGAGAGAGACACAGTGCTTGATGTAGCATTAGGTTATTAGAACATTGAGGCGGAGCTATGCAGGTGATGATGCAGATTATGTAAGCGAATGTTTGTTCAAAAGTGCTGGAAAGACAGTGTAACTGTGAGTGTGTTAGATTGTGTTTGTAGATTACTGAGAGAATGGTGTGAATTGCTAACAGGAGCAACTGTCGGATAAACGTGAGTTACATATCGACAGTGAGAGGGAGAAGAACTTAATGTGTGAACAAGTGTACATCTGACAGTAATTTGCCGTTTACGCTCACACGCAGAGAGGAAGTCGAGAAACAGATACTAATTTATCATTTGTGTGTCTGTGAATTTGTACATGTGTTATGCAGTTTTGGTTAGATGTGAGTGGTTAGTTGAGAGACAGAATGTGTGATTGGCAACGAAATATGCCACACTAATTATGTGAAACTGAATTCGAAAGAAGGAAAGTAGATGTTAGCGAAGGTGTTCAATTACGAGGTTTTAAACTGATATGTAACATTTGCAGCGTAGTATATCGGTAATCAGAAAGTGACTGTTCAGTAAAACAAATAAACATGGAGAGTAAAGTTGAAAAAACAAGTAGTCAGAAACATGTGTGAAATGAATTCTGTAAAACAGATAAATATACTCTTGTTCAGATACACGTTTGCGAACATCAAAATATTTTGAAACTTTGACTATATATAATTGAGAGACAGACAGTCATTAAGGTACATAATCCCTAGCTTGCACAAATTTTTATATACACGTTGCTTAGGATTAAATATACATATGAAGACAAAAAAATGTGTGTGACAATGAAAATGAGAGACAGACTATATGAGAAGAGAATGAATTGAGTGCACGAGATAATAAGGAAAATCAGGATGCGAAAAGATCTGTAAGTAAAGCGTTAAAAAAATGATAAAAAAATAATATATGACAAAAAATGGCAATGAAAAATAATAAATAAAATTAGAAAAAACACACAGAAGAAATATTATATGAACAAAACAAAATATCGTTGATAGTAAGAAAAGTGGGAGGAGGTGTGTAAGATTTTCTGATAAGAGCGGATTTATGACTCAAGTATACTGTGCGTGAGAGATATAAAGAGGATGACATAGTGGAGGAAAGACAACGACATACTAATCATCACTCCTCACCTACACTGTCTCCACTCTTTCACTAACACAATCATCCACTAAATCATTTAATCAAACAACCAATCCCTGACTCACACATTCACTCAATCACTCACTCACTGACCCACTCACTCACTCACTCACTCACTCACCCACTCACTCGCTTAATCACTCACTCTTTCACTCAGTACAGACTAATAATTCCTGAATCACTGTGATGTTTAAATAAATCAATGACTTCTTAGTATTGATGACTGTTGTAATTTTGAATTCCAAATACAATACATTCGTTCGAGTTCATCTGATACTTCTTGATTAAATTGCGTTATTCCTGGGATAACTAGTTCATACTACAATTCAAATACTTCTAATTATCATATTGGCGTCGCGACTGAGCCTGTGATGGAACGGTTAAATATAAATTCAGATTGTAATGCTTTTGAGGAGTACATGGAAAGGTTCGAAATCTGGGCTATGACCAAGGAAGATGATGAGGATTTTAATATTTTGGCCCATTTCCTTACATTCATCGGGAAAGAAGCATACAGCCTTATAAAGATTTTGGCACTTCCAGACAAACCGATTTCACTCCCCTATGCAACTCTCAAGCAACTTCTGTTGGATCATGTAAAGTATACAAATTCCGAATGCGGTAAGAAAGGAAAATCCGATAAAATGACTCGTCAGAACATCAGGAATTCCACTTATTCAAACAGTCGTCGTAGTTCGATGCGTAATCAAATTTATTCAGATAATACTTCATTGAGTTGTGAAACAGTCCATGATGATGAGCACAAGTTTAGTAAATGCATGTTCTGCGGCAAGTTTCACCCATGTAATTCATGTATATTTCGTAATTCTAAATGCTTTAAATGTGGTATAACTGGAAATATTCAGTCAGTTTGTAATACCATGGTTCATTTCGCTGAAAGTAATGCTAAGATGGATGCTTCTAATGATCAGTTATCTTTATCTAGAAGAGGTATAACGTTATATAACAGTCCAGAGTTGAATGAAACCCAGAGTCATTGGGAGGCGAAAATTCTCAACCAATCAACTTATCAGATTTCTCATGTTATTGTGCCAGATATGGTTTGTCGTAATAATTCACATACTTCTGATGTAATTTCTTACAACTCTGAGAATAGAATGTTAAATGAGTCAAATCATGATCAAAAACCAAATTCAGTCATGGTAGATGTTGAATTCCCTGATGATCCATTACCTAATGAAACTCTTAATCAATTTGAGGAAAATATTTCAGAAGAATCGAATTCTGATATCATATCAAGTGTCAGTGGTCCTCATAATGAATTTATCTCTAATGATATTCCTCATGAATGTGAAAAATATGTTTCTTATGAGTTGAATTCTAGTCATATTTCTGATGTTATTGTGTCATATGTTGGATACTCTCACGAACAATGCATGTTGAATAGAATCCCTAGTCAGAGGTATAATGATACAGAGGGGATAGCAAAATTTTCCGAAGCAACCAGAGAACCAGTTTGCCCAGAAGTGAAGTTTGCACAGACAGAGAATCCAAATCAAGTCCAAGATTATCCTAATGAATATGAGGCAGATGAATGTTTTCTATCCGACTGTTTCGCAGGTAAATCAAGCCTAATTGAATCACGTGTGTTAATTACATATATCAATGTATATCCATCTGTGTATTTTAATATGAATAACAAAAAGAATATGTATCATGATTTTTATTCAAGTCAAAGTCACATGATGGAATACCTCAAATTCTATATCAGTGTTTATTCCCAAATACTCACATACAGTAGTCGGTGCGTAAGATTTGAGATAATGCAAATTGGGAACGTCATATTGGCTAAAACATTGCGAATCAATGACCCAACATTATTTCGTGGGGGAGGATATTGTTGGAAAGTCCATGATGCAAATTCTAAATATCAATGGTTTCACTACACAACCGACATGCTGATTGTATACAATTCTAGAACCCAGAGTGCATTCTAGATAATACAGAGTAAACATTCAATACACCATCGGACAGATGTAGGATGAACTTAAGAAGAAGACAAACAATCGATTACAGACACACTTCAATTCGAGCTGTGACGGATGTGATGTTTAAATAAATCAATGACTTCTTAGTATTGATGAATGTTGTAATTTTGAATTCCAAATACAATATATTCGTTCGAGTTCATCTGATACTTCTTGATTAAATTGCGTTTGTCCTTGGATAACCAGTTCATACTACAATTCAAATACTTCTAATTATCATAATCACACACATACACACACATTCAACACGCATTCGAAGTGCACACACAACTGATGTGCAATGCAATCGTGCTCACATGACCATCAGTAGATGAGTGGGATGAGTGTTCGTCAGACACTCTTCCACCTCACAAAACAAAACACCCAACACACATGCATGCAACAAATGCTCAAATACACATCACCTAATGCAAAACAATCATTGAACTCACTAGTCACGATCGATGAATCAGTCTGTGGATGAGTCGGTGTAGTTGATGTTGTCGGTTCTGATGATTGACTGGACTGTTCGGACGGAATGTGTGTGCTGGTTTGTGAAGTGGATGGCTCGGTTGTGTGATCCGATGGAACACCTGACGTGTATGCAAACAAATAAACAGACAATCAATTCTCAGTGAACATCAACTTCATGTGGTTTCATTGACTGAATGAAAGAGGTGAACATCATTCGAGTGAAATGAACTCCACACAGACTACCAGTCACCAACCCACTCAGTGGTTCCACACACACACACACACTACTAATCACAATACCGACTCACTTCACACAAGTTCAAATCTGACTGCATCGACTTGCATGGAACAATCGTCACTCATCTTCTACTTGACAATTCAAGCACAACGTGCAACCACATCGACACAAACGATCGATGTTGTACAACCAACCACACTCAAATACACGTACACACACACACTGAAGTTTCAAACCGATGTGGATGAGTGGAGCACTCTTCAACCTACAATTTCTCCAATGTGTCATGTCAGTAGACGCGTCACTCCTCACCTACACTGTCTCCACTCTT